AAGAAGAACACAGAATCCAATAAATATGATTGTGGCGACGATAGAAAAGATGGGAACTGTGTAATATCCTATAAGGTCCGTCAAGATCTTTCCCAGAAATATTCCAACGCTAACACCGATCCCGAAACTGTTTCCAAGAGTTGTTTTGAGGCTGTCCGTGAAAGAAATTAAATATACCAAATGATATAAAATTAAATCAGTCTTGCAAATCCTCTGTCTTATTTGTCTTACTTTTTCTCCGCGATCTCAGCAACGAATATGGGAACAACTACTCGAGCTGTTCCAAGAAGAACTCCACCCATAACTCGTGAAATCATGAAAAGTAGAGTTCTCTGATTAATGAGTACGAAGATATTGGCAATAAGAAATGGAATTATCGTGACTATGAGAGTCAATTTCCTTCCAATCCTGTTCAGCAACCAACCAACGAGAAGAGATCCCAACATCGATCCAATATACGGTAAGGAAGACATGAGAGCCACTTCGTCAGCAGCCATTTTGCCACTCTGCAAAGGACTTTCGTCTGAAGACAGAATCCTCACGAGAGGCGATATATTTCCTATGTAAATTCCAGTCATAATCGCAGGTACTGATCCTGAAATATGAAATTTCCATATATTTTGACCCCAATTAATCAATTGGGAAACAAACTAACCTACGATTGTCACTAAAATTTGAACAATTTTCCCACGATTAATCACAAACAACATCTTCTTAGTAGTCTCAATGAACACTGACTAAGTAAATGAGTTCTAAAGCAATGCTTTCGACCAGCATTTCATTTAATGTTTCGTCTAAATACATTGACAAAAGAAATATATGGCTTCATTAGGTTTTAGAAGTTTTTTGTAAAAAAAAGAGTATAATTTTCAACACGAGTAGTGACGTAATTTATTAATCGTGGAAGTAGTTACTCCAGAATTCAGCATCTTTTCGCCATTGTCAACACTTACAGACTATATACATATTCACAGCCAGTTAAAGAATAATGATCTTGATAAGGTTTTATTCTATTCATATTCTTTATTTTTATTCCAATTTGTTTTGTAACAATTACAATATATTATGTTGTTTTGACTTAAATTTAAGAGTAGTAAACTGGATTTCTGATTATGACATCATGTTTGTACAATTCTAAAATATAAAACAGCTTAAGTGTTGTAACTGTAGCCTAGAACGCCTTTAGTTAAAATCCTTCTTGGTATTTGAAAGTACAACCTGAAGTCTCACTTAGAGTAAAGGTATCCCGAGTACGCGAACTAAGGTATAAGATAGTAAGACATGCATACATATAATCATAGATCCTCTAAAATGTGTCAAAGACTTGGGCTTTTATTTGAACTTACTGTGAATCCCAGAAACTCTCCGCTCTAAATCCAATACAATCTCACTATAAGATTTCTTGTTGACTTCAGGAATGAAGAAATACGTGAAGATCAGCGCAAAGAGGCACCAAAGGCCAAAAAGGCTCATCACAATTGAGTTCCCGAAGGTGTTTGCGAAATATAAATAGTACTGCATCGTGACGAAGCCGATCAGGAGTCCTAGGATGTTGAAGAGCCCCAAAACACTGCCTCGTAGCTTCATTGGTAATATGACTGATAGGCAACACAGGCTGATACTGGTATGAATTATTGCTGGAGCAACAACAGCAAGTCCGAAGAACATTAAGTAAGCTAAAGTGTAAGGTTGCAAGTCGAATTGATTTTCTCGCAGTGCGTAGAAGAACGCGGTGCCAAAGTATGCGAAGATGCTGATCAAGAAGTAGACAAGAAAGGATATTCGAACTCCAATTTTGCGGATGATGAAAATTGTCGCTAATCCAATGAGAATTTGCTGGAACGATATTGTCATGTCCACAAATGAGATGTCAAATGGAATTTTGGAAGCTTCCAACAGAGTTTCGGTAAAGGACATCATAATAATGAGACCAGAAGTAGTCGAATTCACAGTAAGGACGAAGCAAATAATCACGGCCAGAGTTGTCGATCCTTTTTCTGCAAGGAAAATTCGTGAGACCAACTAAACAAAGCAATCAATTAAATAATCTTACTAAAGTCTTCGATGCTGATGTAAGTTTTCTGGCCTTTCGCAAGCACTTGATTATTCATCTCCTCGAGCTCAAGAGCGCAGGATTCCGGAAGAGGATCTTTGTCAGAGATTCCTCTGTAGAATCTCAAGGATTTCTCAGCGTCTTCCGGTCGATTTCTGAAGATCAGATACTCCGGAGTGTCAGGAAGAAGAACACAGAGTCCAATGAATATGATTGTAGTGACGATAGAAAAGATCGGAACCGAGTAGAATCCCAGAAGATCCGTCAAGGTCTTCCCAAGAAACACTCCAAGGTTGAAGTTGATGCCTAAGAAATTTGCAAGGGCCGTCTTGAGACTTAACGACAAATTAAGTGTTGTATTAAAATTATTGCACACAAAGTGTTATTACTCTTCTACTTGAATGCTTACTTTTTGTCACAGATCTCAGCTATGAAGATAGAAGAGGTCACTCGTGTGGATCCCAGAATACTTCCTCCAATTGCGCGTGATAATAGATAAAGACTGGGCGCTTTGGATAACATCACTAAGATATTGGCAAAAAGAAACGGAAGAATGGTGACTATGAGAGCCCACTTTCTTCCAATCCCGTTCACTAGCCAACCAGCGAAGAAGGATCCTAGGACAGATCCTATATATGGCAGGGAAGACATTAGAGACACTTCGAAGCTCGTCAGGGGTTCGCTAATCAAAGGACTTTCATCAGACGATAATATCGTGACGAGCGGTGAAGAATTTCCCATGAATATTCCGCAGAAAAGTGTCGTCATCGATGCTAGAAGTTTAAAGTTTCTATGGATTTTCAGTTTCCAAAGTAATTTGTAAGTAATTCACCAAGAATTGCAACGCCAATTTGAATAAGTTTTCCACGATTTATCACAAGCAACATCTCTACATTAGGCCAAACAAATGTAGACTGAATGCTTAGAGCTTCAAGACGTTCTATTTTATCCATGTAAATAAGTTTTTCATATACTTTTCCGTAATCATGACTGTTATTTTATTGCAATTTTACGATAGTTTCTTTAAAAATAAAAACAAATTTGCAGCTGTGTTTGGATCATTAACTTTTTATTTCAACTTCCTAAGAATTTGTGGGATTTTTCTCTCTAGATCAAATAAAATCTCACTATAAGATTTCTTGTTGACTTCTGGAATGAAGAAATACGTGAAGATCAGCGCAAAAAGGCACCAAAGGCCAAAAAGGCTCATCACAATTGAATTTCCGAAGGTGTTTGCGAAATGTAAATAGTACTGCATCGTGACGAAGCCAATCAGGAGTCCCAGGATATTGAGAGTTCCCAGAACACTGCCTCGAATCTTGACCGGCAGAAGTGGCGATAACACACTCATGGTGATGCTGTTGTGAATCGTCGCTGGACAGACAACAGCCAGTCCGAGGAAGATAAGGAAAGACCAGGTGAGTGGCTGCAAATCGAATCCGCTTTCATGCAGAAAATAGTGTAATCCACTGACAGTGAATGCCAGGACACAGACGGTGAAGAGACACAGAAACGACGTGCGAACTCCGATTATTCGCAGAATAAGAATGGCAGTTACAGCTGAAGTCAGTTGTAGGAAAGATATGATCATATCAGTAGATGAGATGTCAAGTGGAATCTCAGAGGCTTCCAAGAGAGACTCAGTGAAGGACATCATTATACGGAGTCCTGAGAAGTTCATGTTCATTGTGAGGACGAAACAAATAATCACGGCCAGAATTGTCGATCCTTTTTCTGCAAGGAAAGTTCGTAAGAACAACTTTAAGAAGCAATTAATTAAATAATCTTACTGAAGTCTTCGATGCTAATGTAAGTCTTCTGGCCTTTCGCAAGCACTTGATTATTCATCTCCTCGAGCTCAAGAGCGCAGGATTCCGGAAGAGGATCTTTGTCAGAGATTCCTCTGTAGAATCTCAAGGATTTCTCAGCGTCTTCCGGTCGATTTCTGAAGATCAGATACTCCGGAGTGTCGGGAAGAAGTACACATAATCCAATAAATATGATTGTGGCGACGATAGAAAAGATGGGAACTGAGTAGAATCCCAGAAGACCAGTTAAAGTTTTCCCAAGGAACACTCCAAGGTTGAAGTTGATGCCGAAAAAGTTACCAAGAGTAGTTTTGAGACTGCCCGGAAAAAGAAAATATTTATAACTCTTATAAGAAGTGACTTGAATTTTCAAAAGAAAAATTTCATATTTCTGTTGACATTAACATAACTTTTTATCAAGTTCTTTGTCAATTAAATACTCTTCTTACTTCTTTTCCGCGATCTCAGTTGTAAAAATTGACACAGCCACGTGAGCAGATCCAACAATGCTTCCGCCAATGACGCGAGAAATGAGAAAAAGAATGGGTTCTTGAGCTAATATCACGAAGGCATTTGCAATAAGCTGAGGAACGACGGTGAGCAGAAGAGTAAATTTTCTTCCGATGCTGTTCACCAGAAATCCAGCCGAAAGTGACCCCAAAATTGATCCAATATAGACCAAAGAAGACATGAGAGCGACTTCGTCAGCAGTCATTTTGCCACTTTTCAAGGGACTTTCGTCTGAAGACAGAATCCTCACGAGTGGCGATGTATTTCCAACGTAAATTCCAGAAAATAGTGCGGAAAGCGATCCTAAAAGTTTCCATTTATCAATGAATGTTTACTATTTTAGCACTTTTTCATCACATTATGCGAAAACTCACCAAGAATCGCGACAAAAAATTGAATGAGAATTCCACGATTTATCACAGACAACATCTTATCAGTGGCACAAATGATTCCAGACTGACTGCCTGGAAATTTCCTCAAAAGTTCAATGCAAATCTCTAAAATGTGAATAGCACCGTTTCATAAAATTTTTGCTAATGTTGCTTGACTACGTTGACGACCTTGACGACATTGAAATCACAATAAGCGTGACGTTCTTTCTGTTCCTCTTTTCCTTTTAATTTCTGTTACTTCTTTTCTATGCATAATTAATTTTTTTTCCAATATATGTGATCAGAAAAGAATATCGTTCAAAATAACCGTTTATTTTCATTCTCTTGAAATTTTCAACGCATCACTTTGTAGAACTGCCGCTAGAGCGCTGCAGATGAAGAATCGAATTTTCATCGATTTTACGTAGAAAGTGCCGGTTTGTTGTGCATCCGTGTGTCTCTCAGTTTTTACCCATTTTCATGCATTTTCCCATGTGAAGATGGAAATTTCAATATCTCCACAGATAGTTGAGAAGCTGAGTAAGTAATTTACACCGCAATCTCCGCAAATTTATGCATTATTCGACGGGAATTTGGCGTTTTCAGATCACTCCATAGAGGAAATCAGAGTGCGAGCGTTGAAGAATGTCGAGGGAAAAGTGGGAAAAGCCCTGCAATGCGGCTATGAGATCAGATTCCACGGAGTGGATCTGATCAAGGCGTTGCTTAAGTGGTTCTCCCAGGACGTGCTCAGTCACGAGGACGTGGCGCTGAACATAATCTTCCTGATGTTGAGCGTAAGTGACGCTTTGACGTAACGAGGATGAAAAAATCTAACGGAATCCTTTGTTTTCCTAGAGTAAATACGGTCCGGACATTGTGAATCACTTGACCAAGAGTTTCCTGAGGAAAGAGTTGGCCAAGATTGGAACTGTCCTGAAGCAGGAGATTCACTTGACACTGCTGGAAGACATTGGAAGCGCTGTTGAGCAAGTTCAGGAGATTGTAGCGATTATTGATCTCACGGATGATTTGCCTTCCCTGATGGAGGATCTTTGTGTCGAAGAGGTGCCGCTCACGCCCAGGGAATACGTGAAGTGCTGGAGCGTGCCAAATGCCATTGACCAGAAGTCGCTGAAGAACCTGAAAGATTCTCTCGAGTCAGGAAGCTTGGAGAGTCGCAATCACGCTCTGGACTTTCTCTCGATGGCCATTGAGGACTATCCGGCCGAATTCTTCCTCCAGCCACCGTATCTGGTGATCACGTTCCAGGAATTGCTCTCGGAGGGACGCGACTTGAAGACTGTCTTGTGGAAGTTCAACAGAATTCTCTTCAAGCGCATCCACATGCTCGCCTCCTCGGCGGCCTACACGCCGCCAGAGAGTGAAGCTTCTCCTGGGATCTTCACGCAGATCGCCGTGTCCAAGTACTGCGGCGACGCCTTCAATCTACTCAATGGGCTGCTCAAAGGCACCGAAGATCAGGTCACAATCAATTGGTGCTTTGAGATCTTCGATCAACTTGTCAATCTCCTCGTGATTGACGACCAGAGACTCCTGGCCACCGGAGAGATGATGCTGAGAGAATTGGGATTGCTGGCGAAGTTCTTCCGAAACTGCCTGGGCTTCAAGATTCAGGACTTCACAGCAAGGAAAATGTACATAAAAGTGCTGCAGTTGATTGTGAAGCTGAGAAAAATTCCTGGCTACGGACGAGAAGAGATATCCGGCCAGGAGTTGAGCATCGCTCGTCTGGATGTGGCTGTGAAGACGTGCTATCCGAAGATTTATCGCTCCATTGAAGCCGCTTGTCCTGAGCTGGAGAAACGTGTGGAGATTCTTCTGAATTGCGAGCAAATTCTGCGACCGGCAATCTTCCTGCTGCGTCCCATGTTCAGGTTCACCGATGACGAACTCTGTTACACCGGCGTGGCATTCCTCGAGACTTCCAACCTGCACAAGAGCATGCAAATGACTGCCAAGTTGATCGAAGCCGTGGCGAATTGTGTTGTTGAATCGCCTGGGAATAATATTCTCATGTACTCAGCGGAGAAGATAATGCTGCAGTTGCTGGCGCATCCTTGTTTGAAGATCAAACAACTGACGTACCAGAAATCCACCGAGAAGATGAAGTTCTTCGTCTCGTCTCTCGCCGGCGGCGAGCAAATAATGAGCAAGAGGGGATTTCTGGGCGACAATCTGTTCAAACATCTGGGAATTCCGCTGTCCAAGGCCATCCTGATTGAGATCACAGCCTTCGGGTGCACCCATGAGGATCCCATCATCCACTCCAGTGCGGAAGCCATGCTCCTCTTCGTCCTCCAGAGTCGCGTGATCCTCAAAGAGCACTGGAATGTGCTCAAGGAAGTGCTGTTTCCCGTCTTGCCACTCCTTCAGTGCTTGACGACAAAGTCTTCGAAGCTCGGACAGGCAATTCTCAGTCTTCTGCATCCGGACGGTGAATTCACGAGTGCACAGGAAGTGGTGGAGAGCACGGTGAGATTCCTTTTCTGCCCAGATCCCAGTGTCAGGGACGAAGCAGTCTCGAGGATTCTCTACAGTGTCAACAATTTCTCCAAATCCGAGGCTTTCATCCCAAAGATCAGTCACATTGCCGATACAGTGGCCAATGATCTGATCATTGTGGACTATCAAGTCGACATGGCGGCACGCTTCAAGGCGGATTCCCACCAAGAAGCCTTCGTGGACAGTCTTTTGGGCATCCTGAAGGCGGACAATGTGGAGCCGTCAGTGAGAAAAAACACTGTGATGCAGCTGAACCTCCTCGCGATGGATCCCAATGTAAATGAGCATCTTGTAGAGTCCCAAGGATGGATGACAATTGCTGAAGTGCTGGACAATTGCTTCAAAGTGGGCCAGACTAAGGATTTTGTGGAAATTTGCATTCCTGCCATTGGGATCTTCTCAAAAATCCTCCTCCACTCGCCACTCTTGCGTCAGAATCTCTCTGATGAGATCAATGTGTACTTTATTGTCCTGAGGAGTCTCCTGATGTTCCAGCATGACGCCAATCTCAAGGCAGACGCCGCGACGTCACTATTTCTACTCGCCTTCAGTGGCTACACTGTTGGCAGTTACAGCATTTCCGTGCCACGCATCATGAAACGCCTGAAAATTCCCTTCCTGCCGCAATTCCACTGGACCGAGAGTCCGCACAAGTCACTCTCGCCGCTGGAAGATATTTTCCAGGAAGAAGACGTCGATTCTGCTGCAGAGAGGGAACTTTTCTGGCAGATTCTGAGGATCTCCTTCGCCAATGTGTGGTTCGATGGTCTGGAGAACATGCTGGCGAACATGAGGCAGCCCAAGAGAGATGGAGGCGATGAACAGAGGCTCGACTATAAATATGTGTCGGAGAAGAGGAGGATGCCGATGGTGGGAGAGCTGGATTTTGACGATTGTCTGAGGCTGACCAAGAAGGATCTCCTGCTGATCCACTCGTCGCTGCCGATGGACTCCTTCAGGTACTTCATCCATCACATTGAGAATAGTACAACACACCAGGAAATGACATCAGCCATCGCACATATCAAATGGTGAGTGTGACTGTCGAAGAATGTTGGAAATATCATTTCAATACTTCTTCCTTTCTTTCAGCAACTTAACTCTGGATGCAGAGAGAAAGTTTCCAATGGAAAGTCTTTTGGCAGTGCTGAAGAAATACTGTCTCACGCCACCAACACTTCCTGAGGATGTGGAGTTGTTTGGGAAGATTCTGAATTTGCTGCAAACAATGTTGGATCACGATGAAGGTGGAAAAGTGAAAGATTGGCTGGAGGATCAATTGAAGATCAGCAACTCTGTGTTCACGAGTGTCTTTATGGCTCCGGCAATTCCTCTTGGTGTCTATGAGGAGAATACCAAATTGCTCATTAAGTTTTTTGAGTTCTTCACCCGAATCGAGCGTGGATCGGTAAAGGAGAAGAACTTTCTGGGAAAGATCTTCAGATGTGTGCTGAAAGCCCTGGAGAAGTGTCTCGAGCAGGAGACTCAAATGAATCGTGCCAGAGTTCTCATCTCACTCCTCAATTGTCTGATCTGCACAACTTCCCTGGAGTGTGAGATTGAGAGTCAATTGATTAATCGCATCTTCAGATATGCAGCTTCCACGAAGAGTCTGTGCCAGGGCGGCTCGAAGTTCATTCTCAACTGCTTGCTGAGCATTCGAGGACTCTTGGAGAAGGCGGACATGCATCAGGTGGCCATCAAGCCAAAGTACTTTCGCTACATCTCCGGATTGTGCAGTCACACTGATGTCTGGATCCGACAAGCTTCCTGGATGATTCTCCGCAAAGCGGCGGAGGATTTTTCGGCCGCTCATGTGCTGATTGACGAGCTGAAGTTTCTGCCAGGCGGATTTCATGCGTGCTGCATTGTGACAGTGCTGGATGAGCGCGAGGGTGGATGTGTGCGAGAAGTGGCTGCTCAGACGTTCAGGAATCTCGTCTCTCATCGCTCTGGGCAGATTGCTCTGCAGGTATCGCCGAGATGCAGTGAATATGAGATAGAAGGAAGCTCAGCCGCTGAGCCGCTGATCATGATGATTGTGAAGAAGCAGAAGGTGACTGAAGGGATTGTCAAGCAGCTGAGTCACTTCTACATCTGGGATGCTGTGCTAGAAGCCGAGGAGGGAAGTCTTCTGACCAATGCAAATACCGTCAATGGATTCTGTGTGTTGCTGATGTCTGTGATTGAGATCGATGAGTCGTTCATTGATGTGCTGATGGAGGAGAATTGTCTGCAGAATCTGGCCAATATTCTGGCCATGGTGCCAATGAATCCGTCCATGAGTGTCCTGCAAATGGCAGCAGCAATCTGTAATCTCCTGATTCAGTGTCTTCAGCACAGTGATGAGATTCTCCAGAGTATTGTGGGACAGAATCAAGCCTCAATTAGTGCTCTGCTCTTCCTTCAAGACGATCAACTTTACGCCGATGAGGAGCAACTTCAGGACATGGCAGTTGTCTTCCTGAAGATGCTTTCTGTCTTCGGAACATCTCCAGTTGGCTTCCACATTGTCACGAGTCTGATGCAAGAGAGAAATGCTGAGAAGATTTTCTCTCTTTTGGTGGCGGGATTTAAGATTGAAGCTTCTCGGGAGTTTCAACAGGCTGCCCTGGATTTTCTCTCCACTTATCTCAAGATGGGCGTCACTCAGGAGAATGCCAACTTCCTCCACCTCATGGATCCGGCGAGTGATGCAGCGTCTGTGCAGGAAGATGAGGAAAATCAGGATCCCAATGCTGTATCTGATCGTGAATGTGCAAAGACTGCCGGTGGGGAGAAAGTGATGGTCACGGTAATCTTCAATAGGATTCAGAAGCTCTTTGAGACACTTTGTGCGCGAGATAAGCCAGAGATCGCCTCTTTTCGTGCGTGCAACGTGATGAGGTGCACGGGAAAGACACTGGCAGTGCTTTTGAAGTGTAGTTCAACAGCCAGAAGCTTGGCCGCGTGCTCTGAACTGCTTCTGTTTGTGCTGAAGCGATTGGGCGCATTGAGTGGCTTCTTGGGAAACTCTGCCGCTGACTTTGTGCGTCGCAATGGGGAGCTGAAGAAGAAGTTCATTGTGGACGAACTGATGCTCATGACGGACATCCTGTGTGGATGGTTTGAAGTCGACAAGCTGAATAGTCCTGATGACGTGAACGCCATTTGTCGGCTTATGCTGAAGCTCTGGTCTTGGAGTGGATCGAGTGCACATCTTCAGGTAAATTGATTACGGCATTGTGTTAACTTCTTGAGTGTAAAAATTGCGTAAATTCTCTCTCCAGATGAATTTCTATCTTCTCATCAAGCATCTCAGTGAGCAATCTTACTTGTTCTGTTGTTGTGTCAGCAAGAATGTCAGCGGATCTTCTGACACAATTCTGCAGCTGATAATCAGTGCTGCTGTGCAGGAGACAAACCGTGCCAAGCAGCAAGAGGTGAAGATTGCCAAGCTGTCAGTGCTTCTGAGGGTCCTCAGCAATTGCTGTGCTAGCATAGATGGGCGTCTTCTGATGCTGAAACTCGGCGTTCTGGACAACATCAGTCAATTCCATCCAGCAGTGACGCGCACTCAGCGTCCGCAGCGTCACGTCATTGAGTTGTGGCTGGCATTCTATGAGATCTTCTCGAGGCATCCGGAGGGAAGTGGTGCGAAGCATCTCACAGTGCTGTGCGCTCTTGTTGCGCAAAAACAAAGTGGTGTGCGCAGGAAGGCTGTGGAGATTCTCAGGAATTTCGCCTTATCCGACAGCAATATTGCTGCTCTGCTGACGTCTACGGACTTTGTGCAGACGACAAAGAGCATCCTGGATGGCAGCGATCGAGAGGATCAACTTAATATCGCAGTAGCAATTTGGTCGATCATTGCGAACAATCACAGAGCCACAAATGCCATCAAGACATCATCAATTCCTGGCAAGATCAATAAGATCCAGAATCAATTGATACTTGATAATGCGACCAACAGTCAACTCTGCCAAACACTCGAAGACATCACGAAGATCCTAAACAAGTGATTTGTCGATTTTGATCTCTTTATTCAAAAAAAAAATTATGTGTTCTATCAGGAGACAATGTCTGTCCTTACGAATTCTAGAGAAATTTTGACAACTGAAATGGAGATTTTTCTACCGAAACCGGAAGATTGTGATGAAGATCGCGGTGGTGAAGAGAAAACTGCTGAGAGACATCAGGATGCCACTTCCTCTCGCGCATATTTCAACGCTGTCGAAGATGTCAATGTAGTTCTGCACGCTGGGACTCAAATCCGTCGCATTTGCCCGAACCAAGCCGATTGTGGAGTCCTGAAAGGATGAAAATGTAAGTACAAAAAAGAAACAAATTGAATTGAACATACCTTGAATAGAAGATGTTTCACGCCTGCGAAGATGTTGTACATCTTGAAGTCTGGCTGATTTTGGAAGTAGAGATCAAAAGACGTCAGAGCATTGATGATCCCATCGCGTCTCGCTGAGTCGCGCCGGACGACAATCTCTCCATCGATGATGGTTGTCATGACACAATCGGGATCGACGTTGAATCCTGGATAGGCGGCTAAGCTGCCGTTCTTGCACAGCACCCGGAAGTCATGCGGATTCAGCATCAACTCATGCGCGTGTTCTGCAAAAGATCAAAGATTGCGCTTGTGTCAGGAAGATGATACAATTGATTGAGCGACTCCAACTCACGCTTGAGGTACTGCAGCTCCAGCACAGCAATATCTCCGACTTCCGCCAGACATCTCAAGGCTCCTTGGTTGCCGTAGAAGCGATTTGTGGCGTCTGGATTGCAGTTGGCGGATACGCGATCGAGCTCTTGGCGCCTCTTGACCTTCTCCTCCTCATCCATTTCCTCGTAGTACATATCATCGTCGGCTGGCGCGTCCTCCTCCTCATCTGCTGGCTCCTCGTCGTCCGCCGGCGGATCTGCTGCGGGATCATCGGTAGGAGTCTCTTCGCCCTCCTCGCCTTCGGTCTGTCTTCGTCGCCTGCGCGACACTGAGGCGTCCTCGTCTGTTAGGGGACGCAGCGGCTGGAAGGAGCGACAGAGGCTGCAGAGATTGTTGGGCGTGTAGCCGGCGGGATCGTGCAGAGGATCTCTGGCACCGGGCATGCAGGACTCCCCGAAGAACTCCCCGAGGGAAATGCTGAAGTTGCAGTTGTTCTGCTCAAAGATGTTCTCAGCCTTGGCGGCATTCAGGAAGGTCACCTTGGCGATGCCACCGTACTCCGGGAAGCACGCTCTGGTGTCTCTGAGGGATTCCAGGCCACGGAAGGTGGCATTAGCTCGCACAAGGATCACTACTGAGGAATACTTGTTGCTCTCGGTCTCCGCATACATGGCAGCGCTAAGATTGTAGACGCTGCAAGAGGAATGCTTTGTTAGTCTGAAGACAGTGAGATTTTGGAGAGACAAAGATACTTACTGTCGCGCCAGGAAGCCAAAGTTGGAGTCGATTCCCATGAAGTCCGATCCGTTGGTGTTGATGTCGTTGAGACAGGCGACGGGATTCGATCTGGGTGCGCGACACTCGATCGTGGGCAGGACGCCAGACGTCAGGCCGCCGGCAGAGATCACGAGGCACTTCTCATACTCATCAGCAGACGTGGTGCACCAAGTGGAGCGTGTGGAGCAGAAGTTGAAGTCAATGGGAATCTCACGGATGCTTCGAACGTAATCTCTGAGTCTCTGCAGCGACTGCGGACGGTGGATAACTGAGCTCTCGGCTGTGATAATGGCTTTGATGGCGTCCTGGGGAGCAGAGAAAGGAGGTCAGGGGAGATTCAGTTGATGGAACGGGGAAGATTTACCTTCCAGGGCTCGCTTCTGCCCGTGTTGAACCAGTCATTCATGAGTTGTGGCAGTTGCACAGCCATGGCATCACTGGAGACCACAAGTCGCCACGGCTGTCGAAGCCACACGCAGGGATTGTCATTGAACGTGATGCTCTGGAGTGTATCATTTGGGCAGAGGTAGGCGAAACTGTCCGCGTGCTCGCGCAATTCCGTGTTGAAGAGATCCTGCACCACTTCCAGTGCCACATAGGCTGCCGTTCCGCCGCGGATCAGACAACGCAGAGCCTCCGCGTGAGAGTTTTCCGATCCAGATCCATCGCGAGGATAGTCACAAGTGTTAGCACCAGGATCGCAGAGTTCGCACAGGTTTGGAAATTGCTCCTTGAGGCGTGCATCCTCTTCGGGATTGTTGGACCAGGCGCCTGGGCGGCAGGCGGACGTGAAGAATCTTGACATGGCGGACGCCTCAATCTCAGCCGGAGACACGCCGTCCAGCTCACACTCCACCGGCACCACGGCGCGCTCGAAGTGCTTGAGAAAGCGCTCCGACCAGCGCTGCGAGCGATCGTAGAACAAGCCTGGGTGGCAAAATTTCGCGCCGCGCAGTCCTCTGGTGCCGCCCTGGTGCTCACTCCGGACAATCACCACGGACTCGTAGTCCACGGGATTGTCCGAGCGGTCAGAGTGGCGCAACTCCTTCACCACCGAAATGCCGTCCCACGCCAGGGCGCCGATCTGCAGGACAGTCTCTGGGCCGAAGATGCCAAAGTCGGCGGTGTTGTTGAGCATTCGCTGTGCGCACTCGATGCTGTCCTGGACACGGATGCACTCCACTTGCGAATTGCCGCGGTCCATCTGCTCGCACTCGGCGGCGAAGCGGATCGAGGAGCAGAAGCGCAGACGTCCTCCTGGGAAGAGAGGGAATTTTCTCAATTTTTACTCCAATCCATGTGAATGTTCGTATCAAAATTTTCCCTCATTGGAGAGATGTAAAGAAAAAAAATCAACTAATATCAATCCTTGTAGCGCTTGAGGATGTCAAGGGCTCCACTCTGTGAGCGAGATGCGACAGAAAGTGATTAATCGGTCTTATCTTGGTGATATCGTGAGTCAATTGCTGATAAGAAGCCGTGAGTCTTTTCCTGGGAAGAAAAGTGACGCTGCGCGGATGATGTCACATACGGCGAATCCTCTATTGCGCAACAAGGCAGCATATCTGGGACTTGATTGACTCCTCTGACCACTTTTTGGGTATATAATCTCTGGCGCTGACCGTGCGAGATTAGATAGCGCGGACTTGATGGCGAAGGAGGAGAAGAAAAATGGTGGTTTGTGTGGAACCACACCTAAATGCGAGAAAAATGCCCCGGGAAAACGGGTTTACCTTGGGCAGCGCTGAAGCTGAGGAGAGACAGTGCCACAAGTAATCCGAGGAGATTCCCTCTCGCCATGCTGAGTAACTTTCACAAGATGTCCTTTTGATAAAAGCTGTTTCTGGCACAAGCACTGGTAAAATCCTCACTTTGCCACGGATTCCAATCAACTGAACTCTGGGCTGAGTGAGATTAAATTGGAGTGCGCGAGTGGTTATCTTATCTGGAAGCCCACCTTGCCCAGGTGGAAGGGAGAGTGAGAGAGAGAGCGCGCGCGGGAAGCCGATCCCTGTGTGCCGATGATAACGGGCAAATCGACAAATAACACTGCGCGATGAGATAAGCGAAGAGAGTGGAGTTTTTCACCTTATTCGAAAAAAAAAATCGATCTGCAGTTTGATTTGCCACTCAGCGGGATTTCTTGCGAACATGCCCATGACTTTACATCTTTTAGTCACACTTCCTGCACTTGCATGATTCCACCCTGGTGATTCATTTATTCATCTATTCTCTGGATTTGTCTATTTCGTCTCTATTCTATCAACTTTGTGGACTTCTCGCGGCGACTCTTGAGGATGCTGCTGATGAAGAATTCTCCAGCTTTGTAGGAGCTCCTCACTAGAGGTCCGCTGGCCGTGTAGAGGAAGCCCAATTCGTTACCCCTGTCCTCCCACACCTTGAACTTAGCCGGCGTCACGTACTCGTTGACTTTCAGGTGTCTCTTCGTGGGCTGCATGTACTGACCCAGCGTCAGACAGTCCACGCCAGCCTCTCGCAGATCCTTGAGCGTCTGCTCGATCTGGTCGTCCGTCTCGCCGAGACCCAGCATAATTGACGACTTGGTGACGAGGCTGGAATTGATCTCCTTCGCCTCTCTGAGGACTTTCAGCGTCTGCCGATAGTTTGCTCGCCTGTCGCGCACGAATGGCGTCAGATCTTCCACAGTTTCGATGTTGTGAGCGTACACATCCAGTCCAGATTCTGCCACAATCCTCACAGATTCCCCATTCCCACGGAAGTCTGGCACGAGGCACTCCACGAAGATGTTGGGATTGAGATTCTTGATCTCCCGCACAGTTTCTGCAATGTGATTCGCTCCGCCATCAGCCAAATCGTCCCTGTCCACGGACGTCAGGACGATGTAATCCAGTCCCCAGCTGGCGATAGCCTTGGCCGTCCTGCGAGGCTCCTCGGCGTCCAGCGGCGGCGGATTGCGGGCTGTTTTCACCGAGCAGAAGCGACAGCCTCTCGTGCACGTGTCGCCCATCAGCATGATCGTGGCCGTTTGCGTGCCGTGCTCACCTCCGCCCCAGCACTCGCCAATGTTGGGACAGCGCGCCTCCTCGCACACCGTGGCCAGCTTCAGCTCCCGCAGCTGCGCCTTAATTCGCGAGAAATTTTGCCCTGTCGGAATGGTCGTCTTCAGCCATGGTGGCAGCCTCAATCGCTCAGTTTCGTTCTTCTCACGCCTCAATTTCCCCTCGTATTCCTCCCACTCGGCCCGCGACTGCGTCGGATTCTGCACGAAGTCCTGGAAGTTGGGTCCCGTGGCCAGACGCTCCCGGATCTGAGCCAGACTTCCAGCGCTGTCATGCTTGCAGCGCACAGAGAGCACCTGAAAACACGCACTTTCTCAGCTTCCTCACGGGGATTTTCCCTGATTTCTACTCACAGTCAATTTGGGGCACTGTCGCAGCATTTTAGCAGCAATTTGAGGTATGTTTTGATAACTTTTGGTCAGAAAATGATAAGAAAAGTATTATGTAAACAACGCGAGAGGAGCGAATCAGGAGGAATCGATGAGTTTTCTAACCACAATCAACCCGGCTGAGCAGCCTTTACCTTATTTTTATAGCAAATTTATTTCGCGTTAATATGAAACAAACAGGAGCTACGGCAAGACGGAGTATTACAATTGGCTATTAATCTGCAGTAGCATAAGAGGTTTAGTGAAGGGATTGAGATATTGAAGAATGTCTAATACAAATCACATAAATGATTTTTTGCAGTGAAAAATGTATTTCTCAGCATGTTTTCGTGATTTCCCTCTGCCATAAGTGAAACACCGAATTTTCATCGTACAGCTGATTCAGATTCGAACATCGAGTGGAGGGGAAGTGCGACTTTCGGACAAGGCCGTCAAGTGTCGTCGTTCTTTGTTGAATGGCCGCAGAGAATTCACGCAAGAGATTTTCTTGAGCCTCGCAGCCCGGATTTTGGAAGCCACCGCCCGGTGATCAGTGAGTGTCCGTGAATTGCGTGTGCCTGGGGTGTGATTGTACGTGCGTGCCGGCCGTGACAGTGGGAAAGTCGTGAGAAATCGCCATCGAGTGGCGCGCGTTGTCACAGAGTTGCGTCCATTGCGAAGCATCTTCCGCACTTCCGCATCCACTTGGCGACGATGATTGTGGCCTGCAACTGCCTGAATGTGGTGGCGAGCATCGCCGAGGGCGCCACGGTGGTCGAGGCGCCCCCGATTGGCGACGCCAGGGCGGCGGCCGAGCAGTTCCTGCAGAACGAGGGCAAGAGCGACATCAGCGTCTTCTTCAAGGAGGTGAGTTCGCTTCCCATTCCTGCCAATCCAGATAGCGCCCCGGGCCGCGCGGGGCGGCCTGTCGCCCACCCGCGGCTCCCTTCATCTTCTTCACCGCCCGACCATGAAGAAAACAACCAGCTGAGTCGCCCACACAGACGCACGGACTCCGTGTGAGTGCGCAGAGGCTCCCCTGCCTCCGTCAGCTGGCCGGACCTGCCCGCGCGCCGGGCACTTTGCCAGTGACGCAGGCACCAGAGGAGGATTTATGCGGCGTCCGAGGGAGTCTTCCGGGACGCAGCTTGCCAGGCGGCCTTTGTCCATCCGCCACCTTTGTTTGCCGACAAGTCCGAGCGGATTGTCAAAAAATATGCGGCGCTGCTCGAGATAAAAGATGTTTCAGTTTTCACAGACAACTGCAGAAATCAACTCTGAAGAGTATTTTTGCCAGTAATTTTAGAACAAAAACATTCTGAAAATAGACTTGAAATAGAAAAACAATTACTCGATTAATTTTTGATCAACAAAAAGCACAAAAAAAAATTCAGGAATTCTTGGATTTGAAGTGCATTTCGAAAAGGATTCTTTACGATAATCAGAGAAAAATGGTTAAAAGACACATTTTAATAGCAAAGAATGTCAGAATTGTAACTCCTTGTTGAAGACATCAACATCTTCATTCATGAACATGAGCTGTTAATTGTATTTGGAGAGTTTCCACAAGATAAGTTAGGCAGAATAACACATGAGCAAATGCGAGAACGCAACAATGCTAGATTTGAAGGGTTCTTTTGCATCTTATCTTTTGTTTTTCTCACAATTTATCTTATAAAAATGATAAAGCAGAAGTTCAATGTCAAGCTGATGTCCAATTAAGTCACGATTTGTGTGGAAAAAGTATGACAAAACATACAAGCTTGTTTATGCCATTTTTCGCGCACAGGGAAGAATGATGGAAAATCTTATCTAGCGCGCGACTGCAAAACGACGTCAATCTAATATTAATGCGTCGATTTACGCAAAATTTCGGCTGTTGCCAAGGGACGCGCACGTCCGAATGCTAGTGAAATATTCGGGCGGAGTTGCAGTATTGAAAGTTGGGGAAATTCGGCGGCGTGTCTCCCAATCAATGAATCAGATTTAGTGATAAGGCGCTGTGTCGTTGACACGCTATCACGCTGTTCCTCTCTCTCTCTCTCCCCCGCAGGCCCTGGGCCCATTCCACGCGCAGCAGGTGTCGCTGAAGAAGGAGCAGCCTGACCTGGTGCACGTCGTCGCGCTGGGCAGCTGGTCGGTCCATCAGTGCATCAATTGTGGCCACTTGTGCGTCTTCGCGACGCTGGAGAAGGACGCCGTGGTGCTGTTCAACAGCAATCTAATGGTGAGGAGCGGGAATTTTTCGATGCCGAGGAGATTTTAATGCTGATTTCTCTTGCGCAGACTAATCAGGAGGAGATCAACGTTTTGAGGGCCAGCAGTGGCTACTCGTCTGTCTTCAGGATTCTCATGGATCAGCAGTTCCCAGAGGAGGAACTCTTCAAAGTCAACAAACTCGGTAGGAATTCTCATTATCAAAGAGAAAACACCTCACGATTCTCTCTTTCTCTCTTTCTCTCTGTTGAGTGCAAATGAACTTGAGCAAATGACAAATTCACAAATATTTTCGGCGAATTCTATTTGCCATCTGTCGAATTTGTACGTGATAATGCTATTGAACTGTGTGTCGCTCATGCTCTGCGTCTCTCTCTCTCTGTGTCTTGTTGCAGTGCAACTGCATCCGAAGGTGAAGAGCTTAACGCAGCAGTTTCAGCAGCATCTGCAGCGCGAGACTGCGGCCACGGATGAGCGCATCCAGCGCTTCACGGAGCACCAATTCACGCTGCTGAAGATGTTCAGAGAGCGCACGGAGCAGGAGCTGCAGATTCTCGTGAGTCTGGTGTGTCGCTTGCCGGAGAGCCTGACGCTGGTCACGGAGACGCGGCAGCAGCTGAGCAACCTGGAGACGCCGCCGTCGACGCCAGACACTCCGATGACGATCGGCACGAGTCCGCCGATGGCTGTGAGAGTGTCCCAGGCGCCCGCGATGTCGACGTCCTCCTCGGGCGCCAGCTCGCCAATGCCGATGAGGGGCGTGCGGCGCCACTCGGCCAATCGCACGGACGCGCCGCGAGGGCGTCACGCGGACGCGGACTCGGAATGCTTCTTCCTGCTTGAGGGCATGGAGAATGACACGCTGCCGCTGGGGCCACAGGACATGTCCGATCTCGACGAGTCGGACTCAGAGAGTGAGTGGCCAATGCTAAATCCAGAGAAAATATCATATTTTACTATTAAATTGTCAATAATTGTAAAGACTGATTCAAAACTGAAATCTCTATTGAGTTATCTGAAGACGGTTAAACAACTAATTCTCTCCATCTAATCTGCAGATTTTGGGGATGACGAGCGACAGGCAATGTCCATTCCACGTCAAATGGCGCGACAGGGAAGCCTGAGCATGGCCAAGAGTCTGCCGATCTCCATGCCGGCAGTCATGGATCGCTCGATCGAGGATGACTTCGACGATCAGCCGGTGGATGAGAAAGTGGACATTGCGGCGAGCATCAAGGCGCTGGCCAAGAGTGTTCACGGCGATGCTGTGTTCGGCGATCTTCCGCGGCCGCGCTTCAGCACTCAGATCTAGAGTGTGTTCTTGAGATCACAAACAATCCTGGCCAGAAGGCAGCACCATCGAGAGCACCGCAAGAGAATCGTTTACAAGTTATGAAATACTTTCTTCATGGAATTCTTCACCTTCATATTTCGTCTCAGTTGTTTGTCTCTGCTAGAAGAACAAGAAAAAGAAGAAGAAGGGAAAAAAGGTAAAACAACTCATAAAAGTATATATCATAAAGTCAAGTTTATAGAAAAACAAAATATCTCTTATAATTTTTGGTTAATTCACGTATATTTTAGGGATATATTCATTTTTATTTACTATTATACATATATATAAATATCTTTTTTATACGAAGAATTGAGCTTCTCATTTCATAACTATTTGGCAACTAGAAGAGATTCACTTGAGAGGATAAGAAGAGAGTTCCTTCTTTCTTTCTGTCATAAGTGTTTAAGCAAAGAAAATCATCTACTTGGTACCTTTATTAATACAATTTATATTACTATTAATGATTAGAATTTACACAATATATATATTTTTTTTCGATATCTCTCCTAATTTTCACATGAACTACTGATGAATAATCGCGTGATTATTGGACTTACTATAATCCCCACACGAGTAAAAAGGAGTTTGTTTAGTAATTTACAATGTGAAGAGAACATTTTTACAGTGAAGAATGAACATGAATTTAACGAAAAAAATTCTTCCATGGACAAAATGAATTATGAGTCTTGATTTCATGAAAAACCATGTCAATTGATTTTGAGAATGACAATTTTTTAAAGCAACACTAAAGATAAAACATACAAGAAAAAAAACAGCATCCAATTGTGCCATAATTTTTTACAAAGGAAAATGAAGCAAAGATGTTTAGTTTTTTTTTTTCAACATGAAATGGCATCTTTTTATCCTTTTCTTTACACCTAAATGATAATTGTCAGAATGGAAGAATAAGCGGCTTTACTATGATTTTATATTAATACAGAAGAAAGGATGGAAATACGATTAACATAAAATGAAATCATTGTGAAGGAAGATTACATTGATGTAAGAATAAAAATTATTGAATAAAGAATCTTTACACGACGTCCTGATAGCGTTACTTAAATTCCCAACCATGCGAGTCGCTGGGAATTTTTCACCATAAATCTACACGTCGTGCATTTCCTGTGTAATCAAAAGCATAACATCTTCATTGTAGAAAAGACCTCGTGTTTCTCAAGAATTCCCTCCGCTGGCGATTCTCTCTACCAAAACGCATGTTACAATTCTGGACAAGTACAAAAATTTTCCGCAGTGAAAATAATAATAATAATCATAATTTATGCGTTAGCACACACACACAAAATACATGCTACAATTCTGCTGCCGAAGACAAGCAATAAATTAAATTCGTAAATAACAGGCTTTTTTTCCATGTTGATGAATCCAAAAACAAATTGATTTTTGAGCTCTGCGCGCAGAGTCATTGAAGTGCGAAGTTTACCTCTATTGCTGTATTATCGATAAATTATACAATTCATGCATAAAGCTTGCGATGTTGCGAAAAGACAGGACCTCTTTCTTGTTCTCAACTCTGATTCACTGCCCGCGCGCACCGCTCTTCCTGGACAACACACTCGCGGTCACGCTTTCACGCGTGCAGTCGCGAACGGTCACCGGACGCGTCGAGAATGCGTCTCGCAGTCAAAATGGTTTATTTTTTTGTGTGCAGCGCAAATAATGACCCCGTGAACTCGATACTCTCGCAGCGTAACTGTGCGGAGCGCACACAAAAAAACAGCGCGCCATCCACCGGTTGTTGTCTCTCTCGATCGGCTGGAAAAGTGCGAGTCAGCCGAAATTCTCAGCTCCGCAGGGCAGAACTTTCCCAAAAAAGCGCACACTTCCGCCTCATTCGCGGCTGCAGCGCGGCGGCTCTCGCGCGCTTGGACAGATGCTGCCGTGCGTAGCGGTCCGCATGGAAGTGAACTCAATCGGAGGATGCACGTCATCTCGCTGGCCGGGCGCGATCTTCACCTAGTAAAGTCCCGCTCTCTCTCCCACTCTGCCGCGCCGCGGGCACGAGAGCGAGAGACCAGCGGGAATGGGTGGAATAGGAGAGAGAGAGAGAGGACCAGACTTGAGAGCTGCACAGATGTGAGATTGAGATTGTGGCCACATACGAGACTCTGTGGAGTTGAGATCACTCAATTTGCCAATCATCAGAACGCAGTATGTATAGTAACTGCAATCTTTCGACCTCTTTTGAGTCAACAATGTGAAAAGCAGCAAATCTTCAGAACACTAGATGTTCCTTTGATCGTCGCTGGTGGCGCTGACGTCGTAAATAAGATCTTTCTTTTTCAGAAATCTGAGGTAAATTCGCAATTAATTCATAGACAATTCAAATAGATTTCACTTAAATTTTACCTCCAATATAATCATGAAAATTATGACTCGCGACTCAATCAAGTCAAAAACACGCGCCAAGACATTTTCACAAAATTAAAACAATCAAAATGGCGAGAAAAGTCTGGTTTCTACAGTTTAAACTTTCAAACTTCCAATAAATTTTTGAAACAAAAGAACTGCATAATATTTTCCTAATCTATTTCTTAATGATTATATAAATTGCCGAAACATTGAATGTTAGGCAGAATCGGAGGAGGAGCTACAATATTCTACTCATCTCTAATCTACCTTTCACCACAGTGACTATTATCAACTCTGTTGTGTGCTTAAGTCGTGCAGAGCGCGAGAAACCCCACGATCGCTCTGTGGATTTAGTTGTAAAAAGTCTCTCGAGTGGTTAACAAGTTATTCTGTGGTCAGGTAATTACTTGTAGGGCTTCAGCAGTGTGCCTCGAGAGTCCAGAGTGTGTTGCAAAAGAAGAAGAGAATCCAGCCAGTGTCAGTGTTTCTGAGTGCCTTTTGAGTTTTCGGGCGGAAAAATGCAGAGTGATTCGTGTGATTGAGTGCAGAATTTCCCGGATTCGTGATCAGCAACAAAACAGTTCTGAGCATCGACGCAGCATCAATTTACTCGCCAAGCCGAAAAGCTGGAATAACTCACGGTGAGTCTTCTGCATAGAATCCGCCTTTGCCACTCTTCCCGTTACAGTTAATAAGCACACTCAGCGTCTTATCTGCTGATGTTGGTGACTCTCTCTCTTCATTCTGTGAGCACAATATGCTTTAACCACCCGCTTTTGGTGGTGTTCTTTTGGTCATTGACACCTTCTTTGCGTGCAGCAGAACGTCTCTGAGAGTGTCTTAATTGCATAAGACCAGCAAATTGTCCAGACTCATGTGAATGGGGAAGGGAAAAGTCAATTTATCAGCGTGAAGTGCAGCGAAAGAAGCAAAATTATCCACTCGAGAGCCTCCAAGAATGCCTTTTGCCATGGTTTCGCAGCAGAATTCACTGCGCGGACTGTGTCAAGTGAATTGGAACACTCAGAAAAGTCGGAAGGCGGAAAACTAACAACACTTGATGTGAAATGTTTGGTGCGATAGATCAAAAGGACAGGCGCGCGCGGCTTTCGAAATGATGAATTTGAAAGGAATAATTTTCAAAGGGGAATTTCCAAAAAATACCCATTATAGCCAAACAGGTGTCTTGTGAATTTGGATTTCACCCTACGAATTTTTATTGTGGGTGATTTCAATTGCAAAATTCACTCTGAAATTTAAGGTATATCAGTGCGTAATGGCAAAGTATCACGAAAGTCTCCGCAATTAAAGCATCTTCAAAGTGTGTTAAATTAGCTGAAATTTTCCTATCGTGCAATTACTGAGTCACCCCTCGGCTTAGAATACTTCTTAAGTGAAGCACTTGAGGATGCATAATGAATTTAGAATGCTTTTACCGCTCTTTGGGGAAAATATATAAATAATTAATTGGTGAATTGCTGAAGAGATTGAGGAGTGATTAGCAAAGGCATTGCCTCACATTCTCAGGTAATTCATCATGTTTCTCTTCTATGAGATTGTGTGTTATTTGGTGTTTGAATTAATTCAATATTATTTTTATAGCCACACAATGGAGAAGTTCATTGGTCTAGTTTCTTTTTCGAATCCATCGTCTCATGGCAGATGGGCAAAGAATCTCACCGCGATTATTCACAATAAAAAAAAAAGATGATGGAGAAGAAAAAAAAATGCTCTCATCGCTCAATTAATGTGTCTCTCGCGCGAGGGGGGCAATTTTTCATTGTTTAACTCCAATTGCAGCCTCATCACCTCAAACATCGCGCAATGAAGATATCGCGAAGTGAGAATTTGCAGTTTATGCACAAGCCACGAAAAATCCATCTCTCAATTTTCATTCTTCGCACTACTTGACGCTAATTTCGATGCACCAGAGAAAACACCCAATTAATCCTCCCCTTCCTCTTGCCGAAGGCCATGCAAATTGTGCACGCCAATCACCCACCAGATTCATATCATCGTGACAATACGAGGTGGAAAAGCGTGTGCGCGCGCCTTGAGATAATCATTGGAGTTTTTCCACCCAACTGAGAGAGTTTTGGTGTGTTTGTCACGGGCAAATTCCCAATACATTGCATGCAAAAATCCATTTAAAAACACTTCGCTTCTGCACATACTTCACATTCACATTTTGCACTAATTTTATTTTAATTTCATTTACACTCTTTGAAAAAAAAAAGACTTTCTTCCATCCACGCTACAAGATTCTGCAATTAAAATCACAACCATTGTGTGGCAAATTGCCACAAGTGGCTTTTTACTCCCGCCAACAGTCGTTTTTCACCATATTTTCATTTTCATTCACCTCTTTGGGATGCTTTACAAACTGATAAAGCACTTTTAGGCTCAATTGCCGAGCATTTCGCACAGTGGCGTCTAAAATAATAGCACACAAGGAATTCAATCTAATCAAATATTAAAGTGTTTTGGTGTTCCTTAAGATTTTATTGTAATGCTTTTGATTCTGACTGAAATCATATAAAATTTGTCCAAAAGACGCCAAATTGCTAGCTTTTCGCCTTGGTTTTTCTGCAAATAATTCAAGCTTATCTCTTGAATATTCCCTCAAATGGATATTTAAAACCGCTGACCGATTTTTTAAGTGTCCAATTAAGTTTCTTATTCAAATCGCGAGAAATAGGAGAGTCTCTTATCGTCCATAGGCAATTTGTGAAATTTTATGGACATCATAGTGTTAATCATCATTGTTAAATTTATGCAGAAACCACATTAACATTATATAGTACCTAATTTCAATTGCACTCTCGATATTTAAATCGCTTCAATGGCAAAACCATTTAAAAGAGTGTTAATGAACTCTTTGCTGTGGTTTAATTTAATGTTCTGCACTGGCAAAAGTGCATTAAAACCCTTCCTCAAATTCCGATGAAATGAAATTCGCAGCAATATTTCACCTATGAATTTATTTCAGCTGTTGCGAAGATTGATGAGAGAATAAATAATGATTAGATGACAGTGAAGTGTGCAATAAATATTATCAGCGTATAATTCGCAAATCGCGCATAGTTTAGGCAAATTAATTGGATATTTATCGGTGAAAGAATTATAATGATATTCAATCTAAGTGACGAAGATGGATTTGCATAAAATGACAGTCAAGTATTGAGAAAGTTCTGCAAGCGCGCTTCCTGTGCTGGAGGATGAAGTGAAAATTCACCTTGAATGTCGCGCTTGAGGAAAATTTGAATTCTCAATGAATAATTAATTGCCTGATAATGTATAATTCAATTGCTGCTAAGTTTACCATGAAAGAGTCTTTAATTAATGTGTGGCGTATTGAATTCTGATGCCGCTTTTTGGCAGCACGCAAAGACTCTTTCCCCGTGAAATGTGCAAAAGACTCTTTTCTCTGCGATGTTAATTTATTGATCACGATGACACCTTAAGATCCCCAGAGAGTGTCTGTAAATTTCCATTCCACTCTGTGCTCAAGATATGACATCTCCTTATCGCTGATGGAAAAGGAAAGGCAAACAAGATGGTCAGAAAGTTGAGATTTCACCGCGTGAGTGACGAGAGAATTGAAGGCTCGAAAGGTCCTGCAATTGCAACAACTCTTCCACTAATGATGTGCTTAATGCCAAATCTCCAGTTTTTGGCACTGCTTATCAGTAACTGAAAACATCGTGCCAAAAAATGTGAATCGGAAATTAATAACTTCCGCAATTTCCTCGTCGCTTCATCGCATTTCGGTGCGGCGAAAGGGGCAGCGCGAAAGTGGGTGAGGCGCGCAAACATTTACCAAAATATGACGATTCTGCTTCCTCAGGAAGGAGTTCTCCCAGAACAAATAAATTGAATGTCACGGTCGAGTGTGTTTTTGAGGGAGAAATTCAACCATATTTTCCACAACAATTCAACTTTTACCCAACATGGAAAATGTTCATGGCCAGAAATGCCTTTACCATGAATTGAATTCTCTCGAGGGATTTTCACACTCAAATCCTCTCTCTCTCTCTCTCTGTCACTTCCTTTAGAGATGGACAGAGTGTGATATAACCATAATAACTTCATTGTATATTCCGTCTCTCGTCTTACATCATTTCCCATTTGATGTTGTGATTCAATTAGACTTACACAAAATTCCTCTCATTGAATTTCCTACCGCTAAAAAAATATCATTGTTTAACGCTCTTTTTGGACTCCAAGATATGGTATAATCGTGGAGAGGAAGACGTGTCAATTGAATGGGAGATTTTCGGTGGCATTGTCCTCATCAAATTATCATAACTCACTGGACGGCGCATCAGGAAAAGATGATTGCGCAAGAGCTGAAAAAGTGTTCAAGAATTTATCAAATAAACATATTTGATGCATTTTAACACACAACACCAGAATCCACTTGAAGCCATGTGAAAATTATTGGCTTTAAAAATTAATAATTTCTACCGGTAAATTGAAATTCGCATGAAATTCAGTTTATTTCAAGTGATTCTCAAATTTGCTCACTGGCATAAATGAATAATTTAGCAGAGCAGAAAATGCCAAAAAAAAAAACATTCTAAAAGTCAAATTCACATGCGGAAAAGTATTCTTAAGTTATATTAAATAACTGGAGTAACTGAGAAATTATGCAATTATGACTTCCGATTATTTGTGTCATTTTACCTTTATCAATTTTATCTCTTCTCCCCCAAAAAAAACAACATTAAATTGCCAATGAACCTCGAGATCAGCGAAGAGGAACAATTCGTCAGACACAGAGAGACTGCGTCATTCCCAGAGTGATCATTAACTGTCACTGAGAAATCTGAGTTCGGCATCGTCATGGGTAATTTTGTAGGGAAATCCAATTACAGAAATTGACTATTTTAAGTTGGAAATTGGTGTTTGCCCTCGAGTGTCACGGCGATGAAAGAAAAATCGGATAAATTTCACATTTCGTTACACTTTTCTGATCTCACGTTCATGCTCGGTAATTGACACTTTTGACACCTTTTTCTTCATCACAACCAAAGTGAAAAACCACTGACGAATAGACATTTGCGCCTCCTCAGTGCAAGTTACCTTCCAAGTGGTAGAAATGATGCGGTGACTTCATTAAGACGACATAGTGAAATGATGAAAAAAAAAATTGCGTTGTAACAGCCAAAAGCCCCGCAATAATGTCTTATTAATGTTTGTCAGGCAAGAAGAATCTACACTTTTTGACGCTAAATTAACCATCAATTGCAAGTCCAATTTATTATTACCATCGCAATCAATTATTTAATAATTTGCCAGCCCAAAAGCGGAACCATCGGGATTCCATAATAACGCCTTTTCGGTCGCGCCACTCAATTGAATTCAATTCCAAAAAGTAATCGTTGCGCAACTCACCGAGATCAACGCGAGGAAACTGTGATGCTGCCAGTCATTGCCGGTATTCATCTGTCCACTCTTGTGTCTCTCACTTCCGGCGCTTTCTGCATCGCCTCATTTCCCCACAAGCTCCAGTCGAAGGCACGTTTGCCTCTGGGTTTAATTGAATTTTAAGCGGCACATGAATTTGCATTGAAAACTGCGACGTCGCGCTAATGAAGAAATTATACTCCATAAGACTTGCTTTTAATTTGCTGTGAGTGATGAAACTTTAACGAGCCTCTTAGTCCCAAACTCTAATGAGTCAATTCTGCGACCGCACATCGCACGCCAATCAATCCGAGACCCTGATATTGTACTTTTTTTTTCACCAATCATGCTCACGATCGCGTGAAAGTTGCCCAAATCGAGCGTGATTGTGAGACTTCTGACATTGAGATAAATTGCAAGTCTTTGGATTCACTGTCAATTCTAAACAGTTGTGCGCCACTCAAGGATGAGCAAAACGAGGTATCACGATTTTACCAACAGTAATTTTAAATAGAAATTATAATGGCTTAATTGGCACACAGCAAAAAGCGCTGAACTTTGACTTGGCAATGTTGACTGTAAGAAGAAGAAAAAACTGTGACACTTTTGGCTATTTGCGAAAAGAAACTCACACTTTACCACCGTTTGTATCTTTCTTGACCAATAAAAATCCACTCAAGTGTTTGTTTTCTCTCACAACCAATTAATTTATATCTTATCCACATTTTCTCGTCAGCAATTTTTTTTTTTGGTGAGAAATCGTGGGATTTGCATAGCCAGCACGCTTAAGGGTTGAATATGTTTTCTCAATTGCTATGCTTTTTTTTGCATCATCACCGCCACTTTATGGCTATATGATATTGTTCCCTGGAATTGCGCCATATATGAGAATCATCAACCATTGTTCTCGTGGTCAAAGCACACCATCAGCAGAAAATGATCCATTTTTCCCATCTCGGCTAATTTGCATTCATTTCCATCGTCTCTGTGTCTCTCTGTGTTGTGTTCTTTTTTTTCTAACCGTGAGATGGAAACAATGATGAATCCTATACAAAACTCTTGCTAGAAAAGAGATGGTGAAAAAATGTGCGTGATGAAACTGGAGATGCCACAGTGCTAAATTCAATTGCAGATGTAATTAATTGCAATCTCGAGGGGGTTTTATGGAGAGACAATCACTTACAGTACCACTAAGGAATGTGTAAACACGGAGTTTTTTTTTAATCATGCTGTTTTTCAGAGGCTTCAACGGCAGAAATTTAAGCTCACCCAAGCCACGCCCTTTTGAATGCTCCGCCCATTCTCAAATGTTCACAAATACTCTTAATTCTAATGCAACAGATCGTTTGATTATAAATTTTTTCATGGCGTATTAGACGCTGAAATTACATGAAAATGATAGAATATTAGCAAAAGATGTGTCAATCATTTAGGCAATGATTTAACACAATTATCACTTTAATTATCTTTCATTAATCTCAAAGATTACCAAGATAGATCCGCAAAATACCGTATTTATTGCTAATTTCTATACAACCTTGTCCGTAATATAAGTAATTGGGGGTTTTCTGTAATCTCCAATAAACTCGCCTCTGTAACTCCAACAATCATTGCTCCATTTTGCTGCAATCCACCCCAATCGGTCAAAGCATATCGAGATGATGAGTGGCTTAACATTAACAGAAGACATGCACAAGACCTCGATTAAATGCAAATTAATCCATATATTGAGATTAATTTTTTAATAGTCTTCACGCTTGTGTACTCCTTTGATTGATGATTAATTTCACACCCATGACTATAATCTCTCTCCTACTCTTATAGTCAAATGAGTAAATTAGCAAAGGCGCAAATATCGTAAAGCGCGCTGTGCGAATAAATGCCAAAATAAATTGGCTGTATGCAAAAGTGTTGTGAACTTGTGAAATATGAAGCCAGAAATGCTTTCCATCAGTTCGACTTTTCCTCTTTTCATACACACATTGTGGGTGAAGGAAGCAAAACAGACAAGGTTTAATTAATAAGGCACGTGGTGCTGAAGTGTCTGCACGTGACAGGGTGAGAGTTAAGTCGAGCGCATTCTTGGGTCTTCTTCAATGGTGTTGTAAATTCAATACTGAATGGCCGTGATATGGTGACCAGGATAGGGATCAGGAGTGAAAACATTGAATTCACTTATCGCAGTACCGAGAAAGTTGAAGATTTCACTTGACGCTGCTGCAATATTAATTCACAGGCAACTTTTCCAGTGCCACTCAAGCTCATCCTTCCACAGGAAACAGTCAATGTGACAAGCACGAGGTTCATCTTAAGCCTCGAGAGCCTCGAGAAGTGTATGAATATAGATTGAGACACTCATGGGCTTCCTTCTAATCCCATTAGACGTGCTAGCACACGCTCTTGCCCACCTTCCAATGCTGAGGGGAAACCTCCAAATGCGTCTTGAGTTACACTTTTGGCCGAGAGACTCAGTGGAGTTTTCAGTGCGGAAAGAATTTTTTCATCTTTCCATTCATTGTGTATGGAATTATAACACTGTTCGATTTCTTTCCACCAACACTTCCAACCTTGATCATCTTGAGAATTATGAGTTAATTGATTTATTAAGTTTCATCGCATCTGCAACTCCAATGTTTTCTTCCATCCCATTTAACTCCACATGGAAGGGTTCAGAGCCAAAAGAGTGCGCGCTTTTTTTTTTTGATAAGATTTATTGGCACCCGCGCGACGGATATTAGGGTCGGACGCGATGCATGGCGTGTTACACTTTGGGGGCGATTTGCCACTGATATTTCTCAAGCAATTTATGGCCCTGTCTTAAGAAATGCGCTGTGGTATTTAATGAGCTTTCCAAAATTGTAGGATTCCTCAAAATTAGGCCTGAAATCATGAGGGTTTTCTCAAGTAATTATGACATTCTTTTTGAGTGGCGCAACAACTTTTTTTTTGGAGGATGAATGTAACCAAAAAGGCCTCCTCTCCTTGCACAGAACTTTTATTTTTATCGATTTTCTTTCGCCTAGGCAATGTCTTATGCCGGACTGTCGCAGCATCTGGACATAGCGCGACTTCCGCCGCCGGGTGATCGCTTTGACCTGCTGGAACTGATCGGCGAGGGCACTTATGGCGAAGTGTATAGCGCCAGAGACAAGCAAACGGGAAATTTGGTGGCTGTGAAGGTGCTCGAGAACATCCCGGACAATGTCGAGGAGATCGAGGAGGAGTTCCTCGTTTTCCGCGATCTATCGCAGCATCCCAATCTGCCCACCTTCACAGGAATCTTCCTGCGACGCGGCGCCACGATTGAGGATGATCAGTTGTGGTTCATCATGGAACTGTGCACCGGTGGCTCCGTCACGGATCTCGTGCAGGGCCTGAGGAGTCGCGGCGCGAAACTGTCTGACCAACAGATCGCGTACATCCTCAGAGAGACGGTGAAGGCGCTGATCTTCCTGCACGAGAACCACTGCATGCACAGAGACGTGAAGGGGCACAACATCCTGCTGACGGAGGAGGCGCGCGTGAAGCTGGTGGATTTTGGCGTGAGCTCACACCTGGCGGCCACGATGGCGCGCAGGAACACGAGCGTGGGCACGCCGTACTGGATGGCGCCGGAAGTGATAGCGTGCGAGCAGCAGCTCGATCAGTCTTACGATGCGCGATGCGACGTGTGGTCGATCGGGATCACGGCGATCGAGCTGGCTGAAGGTGATCCGCCCCTTTGCGATCTCCATCCCATGCGAGCACTCTTCCAGATCCCACGCAATCCGCCGCCCAAACTCTCGAGACCTGAGCAATACTCACCGATGCTGGTGGATTTCATTGCCGAATGCCTGGTGAAGGATCTCGAGCGGAGGCCCTTTTCGCGCCAATTGCTCGCTCATCCCTTCCTCAAGGTAAGAAATTGCTTCAAATATGCCGCGACTTTTTGTCACTTTAAGTGTTTGCACATAATGCGGCAAAATGAGATTCAAATGATCCCGATAAATAATAAAAGAGCCATGAAATAGCTGTGAGTTGTTGCATGCGAAGCAGTTTCACTGAAAGTTAATTATTACATGTGATCATCACGAAAGAGAATAAATAATAATAACTATTGCCAGATCACAGTGCCTATTAATTCGAATAATTGTTATTTAATTCATTCAATTGAGATTGAGATCTAATTCCGATTTAAACTGCCACTTGTAGCTTCTGCTCAACAAGCTTCATATTAATGGATTTTCAAAATATCCACTCACTAATTGCGAAAGCCAGGCGTATTTTCCATAAAATGTGTGGACCAGTGAAGGTGACCAAAAAGCCCTTTCTCTTTAGCCGCTTTTCACTTTTGCAGGCTGTCGTGAATTTCGAAGACAAAGTTCGCGTGGAACTTCACCAGGAAATCTTGCGACAGCGTCGCGACGGTCGTATGTCGCGTCGCGTGGAGGTAACAACGAAGCACGGACGCTTGCGCAGCGATCGGAAGTCCAGGCCGCAGAAAATGTACATGGACGATCTCGCGGGGCTGGAGATCCTCACCGAGGACGCCATCACGGAGCAGCTACAGAAGCGGTACGAGTGCAATCAGATCTACACTTACATTGGGGACATCCTGCTCGCTGTGAACCCCTTCGCGAACGTGGGACTCTACGGATGCAACTACCAGAAGCGATACATGGGCAGCGTGCGCTCTGAGAATCCGCCACACATCTACGCGATCGCCGACGCGGCGCACCAGGCGCTGGTGCACCAGAAGCAGAACCAGGCGATTGTGATCAGTGGCGAGAGTGGATCGGGCAAGACGGAGAGTGCAAATCTCCTGCTCAAGCAGCTTGTCTTCCTGGGCAAGGCGCCGAACAGGAGTCTGGAGGAAAGGATTCTGCAAGTCAATCCGCTGATGGAGGCGTTCGGCAATGCAAGGACGGGCATCAACAGCAATAGTTCGCGCTTCGGCAAGTACCTGGAACTCACGATGACACGCAGTGGACGTGTCACCGGAGCGAGGATCTCTGTGTACCTCCTGGAGCAGAGTCGAGTGGTGCAGCAAGCGGATGGGGAGGGAAACTTCCACATCTTCTACTACCTCTATGATGGCCTGCTGGCCGACGGTCGCCTGACTGAGTATCATCTCGACGAGGCCTACAGACGCCAGCACAAGTACCTGGCAGACACCTGCGCTCCCGTCCAGGCCAACATTGAGCGCTGGCGGCAGCTGAAGGGCAGTTTCAAGGTGCTGGGCTTCAGGGATGACGAGCTGGACACCGTTAACCGAGTTCTGGCGGCCATTCTGAACCTTGGAGATCTGGAATTCGGTGAAATGGCCACCAATGATAACACAGACAACAAGGCAAGGGTCATAGACGTCGCGCCTATGCATAGAGGTAAGATCCTTTCCCATCTCAACTCGCCTGTATCTAGTCATCATTGAATCTTTGCAGTATCGAAACTCTTGGGTGTGGAGCCAAATGATCTATTGGAAGCCCTGACTTCGAACTCTGTTGTCACTCGCGGTGAGACCATAACGCGAAACAACACGGTTTTGGAAGCCGCTGCTGCCAGAGACGCCATGGCCAAAGGACTCTACGGTCGTCTGTTCGACTGGATCGTCAACCAAATAAACCTCCTGCTCGTCTATCACCGACCCAATGCGTGAGTATCTAATAAAACACTTACCTAGATCAAGCTAATTAATCTCCTCATCCATCCTTGCAGACCCGAACAACTTGCTGTTGGTCTTCTGGATATTTTCGGGTTCGAAAACTTCCCCAAGAACTCATATGAGCAGCTGTGCATCAACATAGCTAACGAGCAGATTCAATACTACTTCAATCAGCACATCTTCACGTGGGAACAGCAGGAGTACATGGCCGAGGGGATTCCCGTGGATCTCGTTGAGTTCTCAGACAACAGGCCCATCCTGGATATGCTTCTGTGTCGTCCGCTCGGCCTGCTCGCTCTCCTGGACGAGGAGAGTCGCTTCCCGCGTGCCACTGACAAGTCCCTGATTGAAAAGTTCCACCAGAATGTCAAGTCTAAGTTCTACATCAGGCCAAAGTCCGATGCCGTCTGCTTTGCCATCCACCACTTTGCCGGACGCGTGGTGTACCAGGCGGATGGTTTCCTAGAGAAGAACAGAAACTTCCTGCCATCAGAAGTAATTCAGCTGGTTCGACAGAGCTCATACGACATGGTGCGCTTCCTGTTCCAGTGTCCCATCACGAAGACCGGAAACCTCTATTCTGCCCTTCAGGACACCGGAACAAAGCAGAACGTTATCAACTCTGATACTAAGGTAGATTTTGCCGATAAAGAGCGACATTTCGTTACTTCAAATGCCTTGCTTTTCAGGAGCGCTGCAATTCCAGAGGCCTGGCTTCGCAATCCAGAGCTCAGCAGACAGTCTCCACCTACTTCAGATACTCTCTGATGGATCTCCTGCAGAAGATGGTGGCGGGATCTCCGCAATTTGTGAGATGCATCAAGCCAAATGACGCCAAAGAATCGAGACGCTTTGAAGCGCCTAAAGTCCTGAAGCAACTGAGGTACACGGGCGTCTTGGAGACCATCAGGATCCGCCAGCATGGCTTCAGCCATCGATTCCCATTCGCGGAGTTTCTCAAGCGCTACTGCTTTCTCGCCTTCGGTTTCGACGAGAAGGTTGTGGCCAATCGGGAGAATTGTCGTCTGCTTCTAGTGCGGCTGAAGATGGACGGCTGGGCTCTTGGGAAATCCAAAGTCTTTCTCAAGTACTATCACGTAGAGTTTCTGTCGAAACTGTACGAGGAACAGGTAAGACTTTTGATCTTCTAATGTGAGCATCTTTTGATCTTCTGTGATTATTCCAGGTGAGGAAGATCATCATTGTTCAGGCGTGTGTGAGACGCTGGCTGGCACGCACTCGATACCTTCGGACTCTGCGCCGAATGTCCGCGAGTGCCGTGATGGTGCAGAAGCACGTCAGAGGATGGCTCACAAGACGGAGAATCTCTTTGCTGCGCGAGCGCAGGAATAAGGAACGTCGAGAGCGCATGGAGACACGAGATGTACGCCATGGGAAACGACAAGATCCGGACAGTGGGAAGGAAAATCTAGAGCAGGCCGCTGTGGTAATTCAAAGCTACTTCCGCGGATACACCATCAGAAAGAGACGCTGGTGCGCCGAGATGGAAGCCAAGACCAGGCAAGCACTCAACAACGCTCGCAATCGCATTGAGGCTCAGAAGCTCCTACAGCGCGAAGGCTTGTCCGTGAATGAAGCCTCACGAGTGGTGCAGCGATTCTACAGGACTCTGAAGAAGCACACGCAGAAGTCAGAAGCAGAGTGCAGGGTGGGAAAGAAGCCCCTAACACCAAGAGATCAGCAGCTGGAGTTGATATCTTTCTCGCAGAATGTGCATTTGCTGAATCAGGAGATGCACAAGAATATGAGACGTAACAAGCCTCCGGTACGCCTCGAGGAGGTGGAAAAACTCCTGCCGGACTACAAACGACCGCCAGGGTTTGTGCTGGTACCAGGACTCTTGGGAGCGATGCCAGGCGGAGAGGATATGACGCATCGCTTGAGACGACCATCCAGAGATCATCGATCTGAGGGATCAATCGAAGAAACTTCCAAGTACGTTCATTCTGTGTATTTATTCCTCACTTGTTATCTATTTTTTGCATCTTTCTTGGGGAAAAGTGTCCTCTTGGAGGGTCAGAATGCTGCCTGGGATCTTCCTTTCTACTTCATGGAGATGCGAATGAGGAACTTATGGTTATCCAGGGTAGTAGAGTAGTCAGATCAAAGAGTCCTTTATTATTACTCCTTGCTAACTGATGGGCTCTTGGGCCCATGACCTATTCCTGCTGCGTAGGCTATCAAGTGTGGTAAGAAGCTCTGCTCCATCGTGCCAGTGAAGAGATGAGCATAAGGTCCACACGCGTGGACAGTCACATCATCGCCTCCGTGCGTTTCCTCTTGCTCAACTGATACAGGAACGTAGAATGGGAAATTCGAATTCCATCTGCTGAAGTCCGAAGTGGCAGGATTTACTCGGCCTTTGGCTGAATATTGATTTGAGGACATCAATCCATTGGCGTAACTCAAAGTCATGTAAGGCATTCCATCCGTGGCTATTTCTCTGTCGACCTCACCGAAGATGTCATTTCCTCGTGTCTGAAAAAGAACTTATTTCCACGATGCTCTGAAGTTAGATTTAGATCTATTTATGAGCTTACCGGATATCCTGACACCGTCATTGTGTGCGCATGATCTGCGGTCACGACGAAAAGAGTGTCTTCATCGCTCAACATATCTCTGGCCGTTTTGATCGCCTTGCTAAATTCTATGGTTTCCCAAATAGCAGCTCTTGACATCAGCAAATGATGCGCGAGATCGATTTTACCGCCTTCCACAAAGAGGAAGAATCCCTTCTTGTTCTTCTTCAAGATCTCAATCGCCTTCCTCGTCATCTCCGCGAGAGTTGGTTCCGACTTCTGACTGCCCTTTTCCTGGCTCTCCAAGTAATATTGCATGTGCGACCGCTCAAACAATCCCAGCACTTTCTCTGTGTCCGAAGGCAAGGACATCAGTCCCTGGCGGTTCCACACGTACTTCTTCTTGGCTGTGCCGGAATTGAGCCACTCAGAAATCAAGTCCCTGGAATCGTTGCGATATCCAGAGCCGCCTTCCTCATCTGCCATTGTCGAGTCCCTGAATTCTCCTCTCCCTCCGCCCAGGATCACGCTGTAACGACTGCCTGTGGGTCCGTGGATGAGCTGTTGAGCGATATCCTTGATTTTCTTCGGATCGCAGCCACTCCGACGTATTTCATAATCATTCTCCCAATTGCGGTAAGCGATGTGAGCATAACTGGCAGCAGGAGACGCGTGAGTGACTCTGGTTGTCGTGACAATTCCTGCGGATTTCCCTGCATCTAAAGCCCATTGGGTTATTGACTCAGTGTGGGTGGCTGGATCTAGACCAGCGGTGCAATGTGCACGAAGAACTTGAGCATTCACTCCCAGAGTTTCATAGTTAGCCTTAACTCCACACATGTAGGCTGTTCCTGTGCAGGCTGAATCCGAGACTTGAGCGTCGACACAGTAAGTCTTTGAGAGACCTGCGAAGGGAAACTTCTCGAAGGACAACTGCTGCTCTTCGCCACCCAGAGCGACTCTGGTTGCGAATTGCGTTGCGACGCTCATTCCGTCTCCCAGGAAGAAAACAACATTTTTGGCGCGATTCTTGTTCAGCTTTTTGCTCACTTTCTCCACCACGTGCTTCTGGCCCAGTTTTATCCAGTAGTCTGAGCTCTGCTCCCACGGATATCCTGAGGAGCGAGACGAGGACGCCTGTGGTGCAGGATGTAGCTGTTCCTCCCCAATGAGCACTTTGCACCTCTCCGACTCACTCTCTTCACAATTCTCAAGGTTCTCAGCGTTCGCCTGGACGCGAGCGAGCGTCAGAGCGACGAAACACAGACTTTTGATCCACTTCATTGCGCGACATCGACTGAGTGTCTTCCAGACGATCTGCTGAGCTTTTATAGGCCGCGCTTTGTGGGTCAGGTTTGGACAAAAGTCAAATCTCTCACGATGACTCTTTGATAAGAGAGTTCAATCTGGCCTTCATACACGTGTTCTGTGGGCCAAGGGAGATCATTTTTTTTGCATACCTGCTCTGACAGTCCTAAGAAATTGAGCAACATTTCCATTAAGTTAAGAGAGATAAGAAAGATTTGAAGGCAAAATATTCTATAGATAAAGTATGAATATTTATAATGTTGAATTTGTTGATTTTGTCGTCAACTCAGGTAAAGTAATCTTGTATTCCGTATCTGATTCTGTCTGTTCGTCGAGGGTGGTCTGAAATTTATCACATTATAATTGGCAATCAGGTCTACGAATTTTTTGCTAAAGATTAATTTCATTAATAAATCAATAATTTGAAATAAATTGTGAAAAATGTCACAATATTATAAATTTTACGCGAAAATTCGTTAGAATTCCTCGCGTACAAAATTCTAATAAAAGCACATTAAACAAAACTTGTATTTCATTCAAATACAGTGACGACCAAAAAAATAAAGTCAATCGTGTTTTCTCAACTGGTATAACAGATAATCTAAATATAATTTTATAGAAAAAATGTCAGGTTGATTCTTGTAATAAATGACTATAATATTTTGTGACAATATTTCATTATTTAAAATACTTGCTTTTAATTTATTCACTGATTTCAATGGTTCTGTGTGATTTCTTGATTGGTACTTCTTAAAAAAAATCCTTACTCTCGTATTGACTGTCTTTTCATCGCTTGCTATTGTTTCATGTGATGTTGTAAATATGAAACATCTCCAGAAATTTCAGCTTGACATCACTATTCTGAAATGAAATATCCTTTGTAATTCTCTTTACATACATTTATATTTCACCTTGTATTTCACCCCTTAAATACATTTTCTGGCGTTCAGGTACTTAATTAACTATTCACAAATGTTCTTTCACATCACATCCCTTTATTTATGTATTTCCACTTATGCTTTAGAAAGAAAAAGAGCATCTGGACGTTTTCGTTGCATAAATGATTCTCTAGTATATCGTCTACATTGCCTGAAGTAGATTATTTTGCTTGTACACAGAACACCCCCTAGTTATTCGTAATTACAACACTGCTGTTTGTGAATATATGAGCAGAAAATGCATTCAATTGCTTGTTTTTTTTGCCTTGCAGACGCCGCAGTTCTAGTCGCGGAGCTCAGAGTCCGCCTAATGATGTGCTGCTGGTGAGGAATGAGCGCAAGATTTCGCCAGGGTGGCAACAGGCTCTCCAGACGGACGCCGACCGGAAGCTGAGGGGCATTGTGAGGTGAGTGGAATGGATTAGAATTGGCACAGTATTTGAGATGCTCAAATGTGATATTGCATGCTTGCACAAGAGCCAAATTGGTCGCTGGCAAATTGGACGAGATGGTAAAATTGATTTTCGAGACGATGGCATGAGCCGATGTTTAATGAAATCTCTTTTGCAGCAACCTTAAAGCTGTGCCAGCTTTTAGCTACTTGAGCCCCAACACCAACACCAATCCCGTCATCACGGACCTCAAGCAGCTTTTGCGCCAGTCTCCACCCTCCAGCGATGCCCAGCCGAAGCTGAAGAACACCAATGTGGTGCTGGAGAACTCCCAGATGCACTTAAAGAGTGTCCTGGGCATGGTGTTTCACAACAAGTCGCCGCAGCAGCGCCCCAAGAAGGAGAAGCGCGACAAGAGGACCTCCGAAGTGCCCGTCCAGCCCCACAAAGTCGCCTCGCGGCGCATCCTGCAGACGCACGAGTACCAGAATGTGAACGACGAGGCGAAGCACAGCAAAGTGATGAAGATTCCCGTGTTCAGGAAGTTCGGCGACACGAATATCCTCGTGAAGAATAGGAAGAATCTCTATATGAACAATGTGGCGTGTGGCGCCAAGTTCGACGGCGTCTATCGGCCCAATATCACGTCGTTCGCGCAGATGGAGAGGAGCCCACCGCTGCCGGAGTCCGCATCGCCCCAGCACAAGTACTCCAACTTCAACATATCCAAGTACCTGAACATCGACGTGAAGGGGCCGCGCTCGTCCGAGTCCTCACCCAATCTCACCATGTCCACGAGCTCCTCGGCCAAGTCGTCCGGCGCTTCGCTGGAGCCCTGCGAGCAGCCCGCCTCGTACCTCGGCCCCTTCAATTTCCGCCAACTGCTGCGCCCCACGCAGGGCCCCACGGAGAGTCTGCGCAAGCGGAAGTGCCTCAGTCCACCCACGCCTCCGCCACCACAGCGGGGCCGCAGCTTCAACTGAGCCCCGTGCGCCTATTCGAGCAGCGAAGCGGCCGGACGCTTCCTGATTATAAATAAAAATATATTGAGGAGAACAATAAATTTTATTTGCATACTAGAACACATCTCTGTGGCTTACTAACTCAAGGGCTCTTAGGCCCATGACCTATGCCTGCTGCGTAGGCTATCAAGTGTGGTATGAAGCTCTGCTCCATCGTACCAGTGAAGAGATGAGCATAAGGTCCACACGCGTGGACAGTCACATCTTCGCCCCCGTGTGACTCTTCTTCCTTAATAGGAACGTAGAATGGGAAATTCGAATTCCATCTGCTGAAGTCAGAAGTGGCAGGATTTACTCGGCCATAAGCTGAGTACTGCTTTGAGGACTTCAGTCCGTTAGCGTAACTCAAAGTCATGTAAGGCATTCCATCCGTGGCTATTTCTCTGTCGACCTCACCGAAGATGTCATTTCCTCGCGTCTGGAAGAAAACGAAGTTAATCATTGGATATTTCAATTGATAAATACACAATAGTTGTAAATTTACCGGATATCCCGACACCGTCATTGTGTGCGCATGATCTGCGGTCACGACGAAAAGAGTGTCTTCATCGCTCAACATATCTCTGGCCAATTTTACAGCGTTATGCATTTCTATGGTTTCCCAAATAGCAGCTCTTGACATCAAGTCATGATGTGCGAGATCGATTTTACCGCCTTCCACAAAGAGGAAGAATCCCTTCTTGTTCTTCTCCAAGATCTCAATCGCCTTTTTCGTCATCTCCGCGAGAGTTGGTTCCGACTTCTGACTGCCCTTTTCCTGACTCTCCAAGTAATATTGCATGTGCGATTGTTCAAACAATCCCAGCACTTTCTCTGTGTCCGAAGGCAAGGACATCAGTCCCTGGCGGTTCCACACGTACTTCTTCTTGGCTGTGCCGGAATTGAGCCACTCAGAAATCAAGTCCCTGGAATCGTTGCGATATCCAAAGCCGCCTTCCTCATCTGCCATTGTTGAGTCCCTGAATTCTCCTCTCCCTCCGCCCAGGATCACGCTGTAGCGACTGCCTGTGGGTCCGTGGATCAGCTGTTGAGCGATATCCTTGATTTTCTTCGGATCGCAGCCACTCCGACGTATTTCATAATCATTCTCCCAATGGCGATTGGAAGTATGAGCATAACTGGCTGCAGGAGACGCGTGAGTGACTCTGGTTGTCGTGACAATTCCTACGGATTTCCCTGCATTTAACGCCCATTGAGTTATGGACTCAGTATGAGTGGCTGTATTCAATCCAGCGACACAGTCTTCATAATTAACTTGGGCATCCACACCCAAGGTTTGATAGTTAGCCTTAACTCCACACATGTAGGCTGTTCCTGTACAAGCTGAATCCCCGACTTGTGAATCCACACAATAGGTTTTCAACAAGCCTGCGTAGGGAAACTTCTCGAAGGACAACTGATGCTCTTCGCCGCCCAGAGCGACTCTGGTTGCGAATTGCGTCGCGACGCTCATTCCATCTCCCATGAAGAACACAACATTTTTGGCGCGATTTTTGTTCAGCTTTTGGCTCACTTTCTCCACCACGTGCTTCTGGCCCAGCTTTATCCAATAGTCTGAGTTTTGCTCCCACGGATATCCTGATGAGTGAGACAAGGACGCCTGTGGTGCATGATGTAGCTGTTCCTCCGCGTTAAGCCTTTTGCTCCTATTCGACCCGCAGTTCTCAGCATTTGCCTGGAAGCAAGCGAGCGTCAGAGCGACAAAACACAGGCTTTTGATCCACTTCATTGCGTGAAAGTAACTGAGTGTCTTCCAGATGAAACGCTGAGCTTTTATAGGCCGCGCTTTGTGGGTCAGGTTTGGGAAGAAGTCACGATGTAACTTTGATAAGAGAGTTCAAGCCAATCTGGCTTGAGAACGATTTTCGCGTGACAACTTATGTCCATAATTGATTAAATTACATTTGTAATTCACTTATTTGGCTGCCAAATTACTTATCTCGGGTTGATAATCTGATTCACTTATTTTTGTATTCATTGCAGTTTTACTTTTACATTAATTTCACGTCAATAAACTCTGAAATTTGCCAATAAGCATATTTTGTTGACATAAAGAATTTTAATAAAGTAACTGGCTTTGTAATAATTTGATAATAGTCTAAATATTATATTCTCGAATTTATTTTAGAAGATAAAAAAAATTATCACTGTTTAATCAACTTCAAGTATTCACATAGAGTAGATTTTAAAATCAAGAGTTTTCCACGTACTCAGATTTTATAAGCATTTGTGGATTAAGCACGTAAGAAAATCTTTTAGTTTTGACTTTTAACATTATGGCAAACAAATAAGATAATGTAACTAATTTCTTCACTGACGTCATGGCAAATACAGGAATAACGTATAATTGAGCATGAAGAAATAAAGCGATTTCGCGAAATTTTCCCGCGAATGGAATTCGGAAGGCATAACAACAGGTGAAGAGACGGAAAATTGGAACAATCAGCCCGCGGTGAGTGTTCGGCGCTGATTAAAAGCAGAACACACCGAATCTGATTCCATTTTCCACATCTGCCCGCACAAAAGCCACATATTTCACGTACACCTGCGGCTATAGTGACTTGAGCGCATATGAAATAGGAACAAAAGCTCGTGGCTTTTGCACTCCATCTGCAGTTCTCTCATGCGAAAGCCCTGAAATTCGCATTGTTGATCAAAAGCAATTCGAAGAGTCATTTCACTACCTCGGAACATGTTCTATTTCTGGCTTTATTGCTATTTTCGTGGGCGAGTTTTCCAACTTTTGCTCAACCCCGCGCTTGGATTCACGTGAGCTTCTGTCCGTTGCGTCACGAGAGTCTCGAATGCGCCAAGTCAATGTCGATGGGCAATCTCGAGACCGCACGATTGCACGCTCACAGTTCTGTGCCTGGCGCTGAATATCGCGGATCGTTTCGCGGCGTCGCGCGGTCGCGATGGCGAGCAAGAGCCAAGAGATGATCGTTAAAGTGAAGTCCATCGAGAAGACTCTCCTGCCGCTCATAAAGCAGGTAAGATCGCTGCCAAGAATGTCCCATCAGATTATGATTTATGCCCCGAGAATTCCTCTTGTCTGTTTATTTATCAAATAGTGTCTGAAAATGGTTGATAGAGTGTCGATCGCACTGGCAAATTGTGACTTGCGAAGGCTAAAAGACCAAAAGATTGTTTGTGTGTATATTGAAAAAAAATGACAAACAGCCATAAACACTGAGCCACAAGTTTGATTTTCACTCTCCAAAGCGTTCCATTCAAGTGACAAGAATTTATTTTTCTAAGACACTTCCTCACAAAGAGTTGTCCACACTCTAGATATGAGATAGTTTATCACTAAATAAATAGATTCCATGGAAAATACTCTGCTGACAAAATCACAAAGTGTGAGTATATTAATCCTCAACGTTTCGAGTCGACGAGGATTCTTCAAGGGTTTTAACCACTAATCCCTCCGTACATGTTCTCTCGCTTCCCTCTCATTTGCATATTCAATTGGCACGGAAACTATTCTCGCTGTAAGCAGAAAGTCTCTTCGACAGCTGGTGAGATTTGATCAGGGATTTGACGATATTAATGAGTTCTGTGGAATTGATTTCGCATCCAAAGTCCGTCGTGGCGGCGAATTAATTATCTCTCATCTACATTCCGTCGGCCTCCGCCTCTGTGCCCCATTTTCCCGTCCGCCCATCGCGTCTGTGACTATTTTTAAGCGCGCCTGTGTGCGCCACCCATCCTCCGCCTTCGCCAGCTGTGCCACTGATTGCCATCCCAAGAGGTCCACGTGGTGCTAAAACTACAACAAGATAGTTTGTGAGGCGCCCCCGTCGCGGGCCGGGGGCCGCGGTGCTTGGGGAGCACGCGCATGCGGCCCAAGGAAGGCCAAACTGTTGCACCACAGCGTCCCTTGCGACGACCGCGTCTGGGTATTGATTCGCGCCTCCCCTTCGGCTCCAGCTGCGCCTCGGCTTTCCCCGCCAGCGCCAGGGAGGGACTGGCAAATTGCGTAAGTGGAAAGGTGGTAATGCCTCACCTCCAGAGACACTTTATGCCACCATCCAGCTCCGCAAATTGCCTCGTTACGGCTTCGGCGGGGAAGAGTGCAAGGCACAGGGGCTTCGCCGTACACTGTCTCTCGGCTTATGAGGAATTCACATATTTCGCGCTATTTGGGTCAATGATGATGTGTTTAATCATGATCTGTCGATCATTTCTCAAGCAGTGCAACACTCAAGTCTCAAGGAATGAAGGAGTCTCTGTACATTTTGTCTTCACTCGTAATTCCTCCAATTCATTTTATGTGTCGAAGACGAAATGTGCCTCAGACGTTCTTATTTCAAAACTCCTGCCATTCTCTGTTCTCCTGGTCTTTTTACAAGGTTAATGTAGAAATTGGCATTAATTCTCTGACAATTCCTACCTGACAACGATGGAAAGATTCTTGGATGCGACGCCTACGCAACTGCTCCGCCCACAATTCCTTTTCAGATGTCTTTTTTTTATGCAAATACTCAATGTCACTGTTTTCAGAGTGAATTTCCCCAAATGCCTGCGAAAACAGCAGCTTCGCCCCCAACTCAGCGCGCACAGAATTGGGGAAGTTCGCAAAATATCCCCACCACGGCATCCACCCCCAACATTGTCCGGGGCTGCTGATGGCAGTGAAATTTTTCCTCCAGTTGCACACTGTCTTCCGATCGCGTTGCTCTCTGTCCGTCAGCGACTGCAATAAATATTTCTCTAGTGTCACTCGCCCACCCCACTGACCACCCTCTCGCTTATAGTGTTCCCAAAGTCCACGGATTGCGAGAGCAAACTCTCCCCGGTGTCCTAGTGACGAAGATCCCGAGCATCACAAGGTCGTGGCTCCTACTCAAAGAGTGCACAGTGGAAAATTTCGTGGTGTGAGAGAAGAAAGGTTGTGCAAAGTGAAGGGGTGGGAAATTCACCTTCGCGACTTTCCAGATCTCCGCACAAGGCAGCTTTTGGCGAGCGCGACTTTGGCAGGAGCATCTTTGTGCTGGGGTTAGAGTTGAAGGGGTCTTTTTTTCTTGCGACTTGCCTTACTCCCATTTTTCATGTACACATCACATCGTATATCTTCTCCCTGTGTCAGGGCTGCTCGTGAAATCTCTCCCCCAAAAATAGCTCGCACAACAAAGGAGTCGCGCTCCGGGATCTGAAGGGAAAATTGTGGCCGAAAATGTCAACGGCAAAGTCGAAACCATCCCCATTGTTCCCTCTCTTCTGCCCACTTCCAATCGGATTTCGGATGTCGCAGATGCTGTTTCTCTCTAACTCTCAATTAAAGCGACTTCTCCGAGTCGATTCCAGTTTTCATCAATTTCTATGAAGCTTTTTAAGCTTCTTGATGTATTTGCGTGTGTGTGATAAACTTGCATTTCAGCTTCGAAGAGATGAAGCAACCGAAATCACTTCAGACATTCTACATTATTAATTCACGTCTAAAACTGTAGAGTTTATTGAGAGACAAATTGATATTCACCGTCTTGAAAGTGTTTTATGCTCTTGTTCATAGGCAATAAAGTGTTTCAGATAAGTTTAATGGGTGAGGAGAATTATTTAGCTTAAATTAAACTTAGTGAATATTGCGGTAAAATATTCTGCCATCATCCAAATTCAGTATGGTTGTTTTAGTTTAAGAGATTGTCTCTGTGAGTCCGCAAAAGCGTATCAAATATTTCAGGTTGAAAGTTGAACAAAAACAAATATTTTCCTAGATTATTAACAAGTTTTGTGCCATCGTTGAAAACTTTCCATGAAGCTGTGATGAATAATTTTAAAACTACCTAAAACATGTATGACTACATTTTCCCCAAATCCCATTACCATAGCTGGGAAAGCATAGAGAAATTGATTAGGGGATTTTCAAGGCTCTCCATTGTCCAGTATTTCTGCCAAATAAACAATCCCAGAGATAAACTTTTTTCTCTGTTACATTTAAAACCACCCTAAAGCCCCCAAATCGGTGGAAAACCCCAAAATTTGATATAATTTATTGTGGGGAATTTTACTAGAGATGCCATAGTGTCCATTGCGTAACATTCGAGGCATTTTTGGAGTTGAAATAATTATATAAACGACACAAACATGTCCCAATAAATTGCCCGACAGGAGGAGATCTCAAATGTGCTTCGGTGTGACGCAACAAACTCAATTGGCACACAAATTCAAATTCCATTATTGAATTATCTTCTTAGCACGTTGGATTAACCTCTTTTGTGTAACACTTCGCCAGCAACATTTTTCTCTGTTCACCCTGTTGAACGCTCCCCGAGTGATAGTATCGAATTTCCATTTCCCCGTGACTTTTTCTTTCGCCCACCCATGAGAATATGCCATCGCATCTCCCCCTTTTTTTCGCCCAGGGTGTGCTGCAAAATTTTCTCTGGCTGTCCTGGAAAAATTGACACTCTCAATCCATTCCATCAGTCATGGACGGCAAGCACTACCATTTACCCTCATTAGCAATATCTTGCCTTTTTCCTCGTGTCACGGCTGAGCGCTATTTTGCCTTGGGGTTTGGCTGAGGGTGGTGAGGCCAAGAGATCGCTCATAGGATATGCAAAGCCATCTAGGGACTGTTTGTCCAGGGTCCAAGACATTCCAGGATGAGAGGAGAGGCCAATAAAAGGACGAAGAGGATAGCAACTAGTAGAGTTTAGTGTAAATGTCTTCGAGAAGCTCAAGCAGAACTCTAGACTGCAACATTAAGAGCTTTGCTCCAGAATTGGCTTTAGATCTCATTAAGAGATTGAGGATAGAAGTTAGCGGGATAAAAAATATAGGTTCTTAATTTGGAATTGACGGAATATTGATCTAATTTAGAGATTTTTCTTATTCTATGTCATTTATTTTATGTCTTTTGACGAATCGGAAAATTAACAATTAACAAAGCATGCTTCTTCTTTCCACATTTCACTTTAGATTTGACAATAATATTTGCAAGTCGTACTGTGTTAATTCCTTATTAATTGTATTTTAATACCATAACAATGCCAACACACATTATTATTGCCAATTGTCCAGAATTGCAACGAAGCTTCGTTGGGTGCAATTAATAATTCAAGCATACCTTCATTCACGCATATAATATGGAAATAATTGGTGTACCTATATTTGTTTTGAGTGAAATTAATAATACATACGTTCAGAGAATGTAGAGCTTCACAAGTAAGATGATAACACAAATTTTATCAGGAAAAACCACAAAAAATTCAATTCAATCGAATGTGTCGAAAGTGACATTGAAATTCCTTGTCAAATTCAGAATAACAAAATGTTTTTAAGACTAATATTTTATTACAATGAGCAGAATTGTAGTGGATTTGGGCGTGAGCCAAGACGTCTTCTGAGCTTGTCCGCCACAGAGTGCCCAGTTATTATCCCTTCGAGTGTGAAAAAACTGACAAGAAAAATGTGACATTTCCTCTTTTTCGCCAAACAATAACAATAAGACACAAAAGAGGATGAAAAAACGCCACGAGACCATGACCAGCCCCATTTGTATAACAAAGGGCCACCGAGACGAGGAGGGCAGCTGAAGTCTCACTAGTAAATTGGAGGGAAAACTAACCCCGGGGCCTCTGGACACATTCCTCCAACCGCCCGCCAAATGACTATGCGACTTTGACGGCACATGTCGTGAAATTTTATGTGAAATTGATACATTTCACCCATCAAGAGTCATTCGACATGTCTTTTTATCAGAGATCGAGTTTTTTGCCCCGCCATTCTTTCGTCTTCGCGTGGCTCTCTTTGCTCGTCTTGATGGCGAAATAGGGGTGTAGAGAGATAAATTCTGGGTTGGAAAATAGCTGTGAATGGTGGGTGAAAAATGGCTTTGAGAAGAGGAAGTGTATTTGCGAAGGAGAAAATTCCGGGGGTGGCGGAAAAAAAACTATCGCAAGTCATTCTTACAGCCACGTTGAGCGTGCAGTGGCATAATAGTCCATAAATAGACAATTTCCCAGTTATATAATGCCTCAAATTTATTTATAAACCCACCCTCAATTTCGCATAGTGACCACACCGAGTCGAGGATAATTTATTTTACTGGATAGTTTCGCGGGAAATGTGAGTAGAATAACAGCTCGCTTGGCTTCTTTGCGCGCCATTATCTCTGCCCTTCACACACGTTGGGGAAAATTGCACGGCAAAATATATGGGGAGATAAATCCACCCTATTTTATAGCCAATATCATTGACAAATTGTCGAGGACTCGCCTTGCATCACCAAAGCCGTAGGACTTTTCGTGTCTTGGATATGCAATTATTCTATCTGGGATTTTTTTTGTTTGAACCAAAACTAAGAGCAAAATATTCTCAAATATTCACCTCGATATTTAGGTGTACTATTAAATGAATGGTTTGTTTTGCGACACATTTCGATACGACAACTACTTGTTGAACAATACAGATAAACAACAATAATTCTTATTACTCCAACAAATAAATAATTCTTTATGGAAAAATATAAGAATACATATATATTTTAAATAAAATATTGCAATTTCTTTAAAAAAAAAAACCCCATGAAATGCAGTTAGAAGAGTTGCTGATTCAAAATATGTTTCTCAAAGGGTATAAATTTTTGTTTGAAATTGTCTGCTGAGCTTTAGCTCAAATTTACATGGAATTTGAAGCGCACATTAGATTTCATGACATGATATTGCAGACATTCTCGTGAAAGGTTAAATTAACCATCACAATATATCAAGAAAAATCATGCTCTAAAAAATGAATACACAACAACTTTCACTGCACAAAGTGAGAATATCCGCTAAAGTTGAAGTGCTTTTGACGGTCGAATCAGAAAACTTTTCTCCTCACATCAACTGTTGAGATTTTGCTTTGTCGAAGAGAGAAAAAAATTCCATCCATACCAACTTTTCACATCGATAAGAATTTATGATTGTTCGTGACTATAAAAGTCCGTGTTTTCCATTTGCCATATTCTATAAAATACATTCCCAACGTATTAATTAATCGGCACGGAAAAGTCATGAATATTGTCTAATGCAGATATAAAATTCATTTTTATACTATCTCTCGTTAAAGCTTTTGCATTTGTTGGGGCAACTTTTCGATGTTCGGATTTTGCTTAGGACACACAGCATAATCGATATTTCATGTACATACACACACACACGCTTCGTCTAAGCTTCTTTGCTATGGTGAAAGAATGTCTGGAGAGGGACGAATTTCTAAAGTTTCTCAGGCGACTCAAAATAGAAATCTCTCTCGGGAGGAGCATTCATTGGAAAGTTTTGCAGGAAAACAAATACCCAGGCAAGATATTTCTGCTCCCTCAATACTTCAGGCGTGCACAACAACCCCCAAACTTTCCCTCCCACGCCTCGTCATTTACCACAATTCAATAGCTATATTTCCAACTGCGTGATTTATTCTCAAGTATTGCGAGTACAAATTCAAAGATTTGCACTTTCCCGATAAACTGCGCCGAGCCGACTCTCAGGGTGGCTGTTCAACTTTATCTCGCCACTGGTGAGAACTTTTCCTCTCACCATAGTTAATTAAATTCCTCATGAGCCTGCAGGGACTGACGTCCGAGAAATTTGCATGGAAATCGCCTGCGCTGCAGAGCCATATCGCTGGGAAGCTTTTCTCGCATTTCTAATCAAAAGTTTCCCCATAAATAAATGCCACCCCGCGTGGCGCACCATTCTTGGGGTGGTTGTAAAAGAGTCCACGGCAGACCTCACAAATCACCGTGCTAAACAATTGGATAATTGTTGCAAACACATGGAGACTCACACTCGAATTCCTCTTTGGAATTTCATTAGATATTCTTGGATAAGAGCCTCTGCCGCACCCGCGATAAGATTTTCATGCTTGTGAGATATTTATTGTGGAAATTTTCTCTCCACCCTCAATGGAGGGCGGAAATGGCATTTTATCGGGTTGTTTAGTGTCCACAACGTCAAAGCTCCGAAGGCTGATGGGATGGCGAAGGAGTGGTGATATATGGCCTGGACAATGGCTCTGAGCTTTTTTCTCTCTCGCCAAAGCGGAACCCTTTAGTCGCAGAGTGGATTTCCCAAAGACAAGAATTTACTTCTAGAGGCAAAGTGGGTGGAAAAGAAAGTCCATTTCAGCATTTGTATTTATATCTTCATGCAAACATTTACCAGTCAATTTTGTATTGCGAATATTAAATCATTCTGTGATATAATTTATTCTGTTTTCCTGGAATATTGAAAGCGTGAGTGCAAATCTGTTTGTTTGCGCGAAGCTTTTGAGATTTTCGTCACGGTGTCCGTGTGAAAAGCTGCCAAGTGCGCTGTTTCTGGGAAATCTCTCTTTCACTGTGACTGTAAATTTCACTTCTTGGGCCTTCCAGTGTGTCAGTCTCAGATGAGAAAGGAGTGGAAATTCACGTGAAAAATGGCGAAATGCTGAAGGATCAAGTGTGGCAAAATTGTGGGTGTTGTGAATGAGGTGATTTCTGAGAGCAGCAAGCAAACTGACGCCCAGAAAAATGACCACTACTTATGGAAGACAGGTAAAAAGTTTGTCATAATCAGCCAAAATCTCACTCTTCATCACATGTGGTTTGGAAAATTGATAAATATGGGAATCTCATCGAAAACCATAATAAACCCCGAGAAATTTATGCGAAGAGAGCTTTTGTCGCATTATCAGCCAAAATCTTGCACCAAATTCGCATATTTTCCCCAAAATGTTTTTGTGTTTTTTTTTTCTCTGCAAAATATGTACATATATCAAAATGAATTTTAATTAAAAGTTCCCGCATCGTTTTTTCCCGACCATCACTAATTCAGCTTCGAATTGCTGCATGGCGCATTTCCATTGAATGAGGCGGTGAAGTTGTGAAAGGAAGTGAAATTTGGGTGATTATTGATGGGATTTAATATTTCACGAACACTCGCCGAGGGAGAAAAGGAGGCTCTGGGGAAATTTCAAGAATGCCTGCGAGAGCGAGCAAGGGATTTCTGAGGCATCATGTGACATGGAGCTGCGGCGGGCATGATAAAATTCCTCCCCAACTGACTTTCCTCGTCTGCCAGAGAATGTCGAAGACGAGATAAGGTCGTATCTCAGCCTCCATGCGCTCAAATGACTGATGGACCTGAGAGACGAGCTGAGGTGGAAGTGAATTCCTCTATCTTATGTTCTTCCGAGCAATAAATCAGGAGTGTTAATGCTCCCCCAGTGTCTCAAATTAGAAATTTTCCCCAAATATGAGAGCCTGTGTGCGCCCCAAGAGACTTTCAGCTGGACCGCGAATGATGGGCATTTTTCTCCTCTAAATCTTCATTTCGAACAGACAAGTGACATGAAATGATGAGAATGGAACTCAGCTGAATTATTTTTTCACGCATGGAAGAGTTTTACGGTTGACAAAGGTCTATAAAAACACTATCAGAATGTGAATTGCGGCATTCACAAGCTGAAAGAATGAAGAAAAACAGTGAAAAGTAAGGGAAAATTTGCAACAATGTAGGCTAAAAGTGTCTGAATTTGATTTTTCGAGTTGTTGAGCACACAATATAATGCTATGTGAGGGTGAATTTAGGAAAATTGCCCATCTGAGAAAGGTGAAGGATCCAATTGTGTCCTCATTTCAACATTTAAGTCACTCTTTTCAATCCACCAAGTCACACTTTTTCACTAACGAGAAAGAATATGAATAACAAGGGAGAGTTTTCATTTTCATAAAACCACGTTTTTTTTCCCGGATTTTAATGAGTTTGCAAAAAGTCCTTTTCCTCATTAAATGCGTGTTATTTCTCAACTGGGTCATAATTGCAAATTCAGTCTCTGTTGATGGTATTTTTTTGCAATACACCTCTTAAGGGCGGTGCTGGAGTAATTTAATTACTTTTCTGGGAAAAAAATTGATAGTGTTTTTGCCAATTAGCAGCAGCTTTTGCTTGTTTGAGCGCTGATACACAGCGTGAAAATTGGAAAAGCTCTGCATATACCCTGAGTAAATTAGATTATTCTTGGAAATTTAATAAATCACACCGTATTTTCTGTACTTTACACTCATCTCGCGAGTCTTACGGAGAGTCAACGAGTTTCTTCAGAAATTATAACTCTATCACTCGTTCTCTGTCTTCTTCCTCAGTTCTTCAAATTATGAAAGCTTAATATGCATACCTAAGAGAAATAATGTAGTTATAATCGCTTTCTCCAGGTGATATATTCGCAGAAACTTTCACAAAGTGTCAATCTGGCAGCTTTTTCCTCATTTGAAATTTCAAGTGAAGCACGTTGAGCGAAAGAATAGCTTTCGTGCGACCACCGAAAGTTCCTTGAAGGTCGTCGCCAGACAAATTTGTATGAGGGTGGAATTTATGGGATTCCCTGTGGATTTGCTGTGGCAGATTCAATTGATGCTGGTCAGCAGAAAATACATTTTCCAGGCCTCTCACACATACACACAAGAGCGCATTTGTCCTGGGGCGACGAGAACTTCCAATTCTTTCTCGAGCCATTTCCCGGGGAAACTTGGACCCACCCTCGCCTTTGCTGAGTTTTCAGGGGGTGGCAGGAAAGGCTGCTTTTTAGTGTGCTGAATCAATATTTGGTGCTTCTCTTCGGTGAGGAAATTTATTGCGAAACACGGAATCTATTTCCGCAGAACAGCTCAAATTTTAAAATCACATCCCTTCCACTCAAAATGTCTTTCTGTCACGACCAAAAGCTGAGGAGTTCCTTCAAATAACATATTAACTTTTATGTGATATGTGTTGAGCTGAAAACTCAATTCATTTCACACAAAAAGCAGACAGACAGGGAAATATGTGATATCAAAAGAGATACTTCATCGTTCATTGTATAAATGTCAAATTGTGTCTTATTATCATGCATATCAAGTCAGGCAGTATGAAACTTTTGAAGGTGAAAAGGAGCTTTTGCCATCAGCAATTCACTAATTAAATTGGGCATTTCTTGTGTTTCTCCTTCAGGTGTCCACGCTGGTGCAGCACCGATCCGAGCGGTCGCCGTCGATCAGCTCTGAAAGGACCCTCAGGGCGATCGGACGAGTGGGCCAGGCGGTGAATTTGGCTGTGGAGAGATTCGTGACCGTTGGCGAGACAATCGCGGACGACAATCCGGAAATCAAGCAAGACATGTACGACGCATGCAAAGAAGCTCGCGCTGCAGGTGACTAAAAGCTCCCCCAATTCAATTAATTTCATTGCGTGTCTCACTCGCATTTCCCACGCCATTTCCCCGGGGTGGGCGAGTGACAAGCGTGGGTGGATAACAATGAAGCAATTCAGTGTGTTAAAGCTCGACGCTCACCCCAAATCTGAAAATGAATGCAAAAATACGCGGGAACTGTGCGTAAAAAACGATTGTCTGCACGATTTGGTGGGCTTGTAGATAAATGAACATTACATTTTTATATCTTTTATTACATATAAAAAAAAAAACATTTATGCCAGGCAATTTGTGCAGATAAACAGCATATTATGAAAAATATGTAACAACTAACGTGGTGAAGATGGAGTATTATAAGAAGGATTTGTAAAATGTCTGTTGAATCAATATTTGTGCACTTGTTAGATGATTTCAAGGCAGTCGTCAGACTGAATGGCGATGGAATGGAAATTTTTTTTTTTTGAAAAATCAATGACAAGACCAAACGAAATCACTGAAATTGACGTGAATTGCTCAGCATGAGTCTTAAAATTGACAAAACTACCGTCACTGTTCAGAAATGAAACCAAACAATTAATGTTTTATTCAGCTGTAATTCCTTAAATGATGTCCCTTCTGTATTTCTGTGCATGGAAGTGAATTAATGGGAAAGGCGCAGTGTTCCATCAGTAACATGAAATTCATTGTGTGCAGAGTCAAGAGCAATTAAATTGGATAAACAGAGGAATGCGCTTCACAAGACTTCACATCATGACCCATTGTTGCCAGGAGGAATGCTAATATTGAGTTCTCTGACAGAATCTTAGGGTTATCCTGAGTACCAAAATCATGATGATTTGCTCACGTCTTGTGTGAAAGAAAATCATCTCTCAGTAATTTCCTGGGGAAAGAGAAGTTAAGGGTAAAAATTGCTGAGCTTTTTGCCGCACTGCATCCCGCATTCTGCATTCATGATGACTCTGTCGTAATTCAATGTGGGTTCAACATCCTCCACCCACTCGGCCGAACATGCTGGGTGCTTTGCCACCCGCTGGGTGGCCCAATTGCGTCAGCTGGAGCGCCGCGAAGTGGGCTTCGGTGGCACGTTCAGAGCCACCCAGCATTGCCACATCCACGCGGGTGCCAAATGCAAATTACTGCAATTTAGGGCTTTGGCACGTTAAATACTACCAGCGAGGCCACGAAAGACGATCCCTTCTAATTGGGACACGCACTGGGCACAGCCAGATGCCATCGAGTTGATATGGGGTGGCTTTCCTTGGGACCATCAGGCGCGCAGGGAGAGTCGAAATTTTACGATTCGCACACAGAGTTGCCAAGTCACATGAAGTGAGATTGAAGGCTTGCCTTTTCTGAGAACTGACAGAGTTGATGTTTAGCTATAAGTTCTCCTCAGTGCTGTTCAATTTGCCCTGAGAGACAATTTTCGACATTCAACTCGGCTGGAAGCAATAATCACGAGAGTCATCATGTGTTTTAGTGTCCACTTAAGTGAAATATCGGAGAGAGGGTCAATTGGATTACTTGTGAGCTTCAATGAGGGTTACTTTCACTCGTGGAAAATTTTCACCTATTCTCATTTCACTTGGCAAAGAAAAGTTTCATCATTCTGTGCTGGGAGTGTAAAGATAGGGGACAACGAAGGAGTTTCAAAGAATTGGAGGAAGAACTTTTTTTTTCTTCTTTTCACTCCCTAATTGCATTTTCTCGTGAGGCTTGGCCTCATTGTCCACTTGTGTAAAGGGAAAGAAATGAGAGAACAGAGAGAAAATGTGTTGCAAAAAGTACTACTGGAGATTTAATTCCTATTTATTTCATGTAAATTGGCACTCAGGGACAAACTGGAGAGAAAGAATCTCATTTCGTGTGGCGAAACAACATGAAACAGACACTGAGTGGCGGTCTTCGAGTCAGAAATTGTTAGTGACGCTGGCAAATGGACACAAAATAGGTCAACGAAAATTTCATCATTCAATTCTACATTTATTATTGTGCCATCGATTTTATATTACTGGCCCCTTACTCCGCCACTTCTGCCCATTTTACCTGCAGAAGCCACATAGGAGATACAAATTGGATTTGCGACTCATTTACAAGCTTTTGTGCATTCTTTTCACCATTTAGCTGAGCCAGAAAAAAAATGCTCGCGAATCACCTTTTTGCTATGCAGATTGGTTTTTAGAGAGAAAGAGAGTTAAATGTGTATTTGAAACAAAGCCCATCGGAGAGTTTATGTAATGGAAATCAATTTTGCAAATGAGACAACGCGTCTGAGAAAGTATTCTCCAATTCCACGAACGAATCCACGACAAGGGAAAGGCAATAAAATGTCAGAATGAAAGTCTCTCCTCACCCAATGAGGGTGGTGTCAATTTGAAAAGCATCTCTGATGAGAATCTCGTGTGTGTTTCCACCCCAACCACGGACGCCCAGTGGGTGGGTGGGCGGCTCACCTTTCTCCACGATAACGTGAGAGGCTCATAAAAGTTATTTCTCGCACGACAAAATCGATGTCTCACGCCGGAACACTCCAGCGTTCGATGATGCTGTGCCGACGAACGTTCCTAATGGAGTCTCGCTGGGTTGGTGTCCTCCTTATTAGTGCCCTGGGTGGGTGTAAATCTCAAGACGATGCCACCCTTTGTATCTGGGTCTTTGAGTGTCTCTTGCGAATGCCTCGTCGCGCGCCAACCTACTTTTGCCACCTTCTCAATCATTTTTCACGGCATCGCCAGAAAGAGTTTTTGCCAGTGCGCGTTCGTGTCCGGAATTAAGGGATTTACCCTCCTCAGGTGATCCGCAAGAACAATGATGCAGGGCATTCACGGAACATTTCCGAGCGGACAAATCAATCATGGAGATTGCTCAGCTGGCGTGGGATTTTTTTCCACACTTTTCACGCGTAAAAACTTTTATGTTCACTTCACAAACTCTCCACGAAGTCCTCTTTGCATCCTCAATTGCTTCATTTTTGCAGCTATTCAGTCACGAATGGGCACAAAATCAATCAATTGATGAACTTTCCGATTGTGGAGAGCTCTTTAAATATTGTATTTTATCATAAAATTGATTTTTGACGTACAAAATTATTATTAGCAAAAAAAAAGCGCTTTGACTCAAAAACACTTTTCTCCATTGTCACTTTAAGCTGGGTGAAAATGCAAATTTTTGTCATTTTCATGCATTAAAAAGCTACGATGAGTGGAGAATGAGAAGCAAAAAGTGCAAATTAAATTCTCGTGCGATATAATTCTAATGTTTTGTGCACACGCGGGATGGCTTTTCTAACTGTCGAAAGACGCGCGCGAATCCAGCTGAAAAAGTCGAGCTTTTTCCGCATTTGTGAAAATTCACGCTGCAGAGTCATAAAAGCCTTCGCTCTCTGGGACTAAACCGCCACAGTTATTGTCACCCTCGGAGATGATGTGGGTGAGAAGGTAATTGAATTATTCACATGAATTTCACAGTAGCTGCCATGGTTTGCTTAACCCGCGCCATTAATCATTTATGGCGGAAAAACTTCTCTCGTATTTAGATCAGAATTGCCTATATGGAGATGCCATAGAGTGGCGCACTTTTTTCCGCATTGGCTCCGTCAGAAAGCCAATTGTTAATTCGTGAGTGTGACGCATTTGGCTTTCACTGCCCCGCAACCCCCATGTTGGCGTGGGTCTCTTTTGCGTTTCCGTGCTCCACAGTCTCCACCCACGGCGATAAACTTAATTTCTACCTGGTGTTGCACCCTTAATAGCTACCGTGTCACATGCGCTTATTGATTTTCCCGCCTAATTGCAATCACTTTGACGCCATTCGACGCCCCATCCACTTTGGACGCTCCTGCCAATTTAATTGTGCAGCTTCCCAGCGCCTCATCATAGGGATCAGAGTTGAATTTTACAAGATAGTCAAGCATGGGAAGACAGATAAATGCAGTGAGAGAATAGAGATTTTGAGTGCTTTTACCACAGCTTTCATTCTTCTTTTGAATCCTTCTCATTATTATTCCAAAAGCAAAGGAGCCCACATAAGTGCCTGTTGTCTCTTCCTGTTCTTTTGTTAAACCTTAAAGCCAAGCTTCAATCCTTGGGATAAGGTTTACCTTTCCTTCTGTGTGAGGTAATTGCAAACTCACAATGCCCTGTTCTCCCGTATAAGCATTCAATTTGCTACTCGTTACATAGAATTCAATCCATTAAATTTCAAACTTTCGTTGCAATTCCCAGTGGATTAAAGACGAAGACAGCAATTACCATGAATAATGGATAATGCTCACATGGAGTAACCACTCTTCTGGGTTTGTTGCTGGATTTGTGGGAATTCCCGGAAAATGCACACAGTCCAACATGAAACTTCCTCAAAATTCTGACAATGTGTTGGGCGGAAATTTAATTTACCTAAGTTGGAATTCGTTAAGTTCACGATGCCCATTTTGAGGTGAGGCTCCGTAACAGAGACTTTGCCAAGCCATTGTCTGTGCTCGAGTGAATAGCAAACGATGGTGGAATTGAAAAGAAGTGCCTGCAGGAAATTTTATTTCACTGCGAATGGAGTGATAGTGAGTGCGTGTTGTGAAATGGGAAAATTCACAATTTCACCCAACCATTCATACATATCTCGTCATACTTTTCATGCCTCGTGGGGATAGCAATTTCCATTGAGGACGCCTCTTCTCACGTCGCCATCGTCACTTGAGAAGAGGCATTTTGAAGGGCGGCGGGGCGGAGAATTTATTAATTTTGTGTGAGAGGGAAATTTAAGCCTTGCGATACAGAATGACGATGTGATTTATGATGAGGGAGGGAAAATTGTCCCTTTCGGCGTCTTTCTCAATTTTGTCTCCCCTTTTGCAATTAAAATCCATCCCCATATAGTCATGACATGAGATTCCGTGGGAGTCTTCTGAAGGTGACTCTTGGCACTTTCCGGGCTGCGAGAGCGTGTGATTGCCATGCCGGATGCGAGTGACAAGCTATCTCGGCGGGGAAATTAAGCGTCTGATAACATCATATCAGGCCACCCCCAATAAACATTGGAAATCACATCAGTGCCTGGAACATCTGTGTCAAAATTGGGAAGAGAGCCTAAAAGCCATATCTTTTACGGCCAGTTTAATTCGCCCCCAAAAATTCCGCACACAGAATATCCAATGAGTTGTGATTTTTGCCGAGAAAAGTTTCGGCCATCTTTTTTCTTCCGAAAAATTATCGTTCAATGATGTGGAAAACATGAACCAGGTTCTTGGCAACAAGTTGTATTATATTTTCTCCCCTTTTCTCACCACACTTTTCGCGCATTCTATGACACCTGCCAAACTAAATTCAAATCCGCCTAACCGTCAAGAAATGATTCCCTGATTAAATGAGAAGTTATTCGCCCTCTCATGGGGGAGCTTAAGTAAAGTTGGGGTGATTAAAATTCATCGTGAGAAAGTGTGAAGATAGAGAATAAAGTGGAAAAAGTCTCCCCTCGGAGTTGAAGAGTGCAAAATTCCTCAGCATTTCTCATCATTCTCCGGTTGATAAATTCAAGTGACACACAAATCCGCCCTTAATGAGACATTTTGGGTGTAAATCTCATTCACTCCATGGTGGAAATGGCGAATGCGAAATGCTCTCTAGGCAAGCCGTGTGAAAAATGGAAATTCCGCTATGACTGTCGTCATTTCCGTCCCATTCAACGTGTTTGTGTGTGTGTGTGAATAATTTCACAATTTTCACTCCTTCAGCGCTTAGGATGTCGTCACATCCAACTTGAGAATTTCTACACTGAACTTAATTGTGATTTCTCATGCAAAAGACAGGCTTTTCATCATCACTCATGTGCATAACATTGAAAGCCTCTTTATGCACGCACTCTGTGTTTTATCAACTGATCAAAGATCAATATTGAATTATGAAGCTCACAAAGAGCGCACAATTGCTTGCTCACGTGCAGGGAGTCTTAATACATTGTTATTTACACAATTACTTGCACCGCCGATTTGCACTTTGTCGTTGAACACATCAGGCGACGTGACGGACAGAGCTTTTCCTGTTTGATGTGTGACTGAAAAGCACACTGCTTTCTGGCAGTGTATTTACACCTTCCGAAATCCAATAAGCCATTCATTTCGTGAGCAGAGGAATCGATTCCCCAGTAATTCAATTGTACCATCCAATCTCATTTCTTGCAGGCTCCTCCATCGAGCGACTGTGCGAAATCACAGCCACTGATCCGCTCGGCTATCCGCCGCCCGACGGGCCGCTGAGCGACCGAAGTGCCATGATCAGGGCCGCCAGGGCCCTTCTGAGTTCCGTCACGCGGGTCCTGCTGCTCGCGGACATCGTGGTGGTGAAGCAACTGCTGCTGGCCAAGGACCGCGTCGCCCGATCGCTGTGCCGCATGGAGCAAGTGGCCAACTTCACGGAGTTCGTGAAGGCCTTCTCTGTGTTCGGTGCGGAGATGGTGGAGCTCGCCCATGTGACTGGTGAGTAAGGTGTTCAATTTTCTCGTCTCGCAGGTGCAAAAGTCTCACGCAAAGCAATTAAAAAGTTTATATATTGGCTCTTCTTTGGTCACTTCGTCGCGCTTTATTCGTGCCTCTGTGTTCAGTGAGAGACGATAGCATTTTGTCAACTTCAATCAAAGTTTTGCTTAACTTGAGTACGACAGAAAATTAATTACAGCATCTCGGGTAAGTTCCCTTTTTTATGCAATGGCTGGAATGCAAGATGAATTTTTATATCGGTTTTTTCTGATTGTGTTGTCAACGATCTTTTTCAGTTACATATGAATATTAGCACATTGCAATACAACTCTTCACACTGAACTGGAACAACTGTGAGGTAAAATTGGAAAATCCTGGATTGTGCTGAGATTCGCTTTAAATCACTTCACTATTACGCTGACACAGAGAGTGCTGATATGCGATATTTTATTGTAGTTGAAAAATTAGCCTATAAATTGTTAAAAAGAAACATAATTTCAAATTAATACTGGAAAACCCTTGAGTTTATTCACCGTATTGTCATTATAAATTTTTTTAATCTAATGATGATGACTGTTATTAGCAGGAAACATTGGACATTAAAACACGAATAACTAGTATTAATTTGACCTTTGGCAAAGTATGTTGAGGTTCGTTCTTATCGTAAGCTTCCTCAGACTACCAAACGCAAAAGTGTTCAATGGATCTTGTCCAGAAGTGGAGGAAAAATTCAGTCTAGATGGATTACATGGAAGAAACTTCATACCGATTTCTTTAATGCCCGGACTATCAACGCATAATCACATCTTCCGGAATATGTTTGGACACAGTCCAGATTGTTGGGAATTTTATTTTGAAACAACTCAAAGATCCAATAGAAAAATAATATTCAGCAAAATGGCCAAAAAATACAATCCGCCACAAAATGAATCTTGTGAAGAATTTAACAGCATGTGGGACAGAATTCTTGTATTGAATAAGAAGAAAGAGCTGAAATTTCACTCCCTGCGCACCAAAGTATATTTTGATCCTTTGCCACTAATCTGTACAGAGGAATTAAACTGGAAATCTGCAATCCGAGCAAAGCCACGAATAATAGGCGATTCAAACGACTTTAAAGAGGAAATACACATAGTTTTGTGGTCTTGCAACAATCTTCCAAATGAGCAACACGATCTTGGCATGATTATAGGATACAATTCACTCCTCGCGCAAAATGCAACTGCTTTGCTGTTAAACAACAAAAGAATCAGGACAACGGGTCTGGATTTGGTGAGAAGTCTTCCGTTTGCTGAAAATTTCACCGCTGATGATTTTATAGAAAGTCACTTTTATGATGACTCAAATTGTGATCATTGTGACATGTTTAATTGTAATTAAGTGAGCTTCAATAGAGAACAAGATAGGGAATAAATATTTGAAAAAAAAATCCGTAAAACCACTTAATTCTCCATTATGAGGACGATATTTCCCTTGACAACAGAAAAAATTGTTATTATGCCTATTAAAATTAACAAGCCTACGCAATATAAAGTTTCAAATACGCACAAAATTATATTATTACAGTTTTGGCCCTTGGTTTAAAATGTTACCTTTTTTTATATTCTTGTGCTTGTTCGAATCACTTAATGCAAGAATTTTCAATGGCTCTTGTCCAGTTGTAAATCAATATGATGTTGAAGATGATTTTCATAAAAATATTGTGCAGAAGGGAAGGATGAAAGTGATTTTATTAATGCCCGGACTTCCGACTCACAATCATATTTTCCGGAATATGTTTGGCGACAGTGTTAATTGTTGGGTGTTTAGTGCTCTTACGCTGGATGAGAAGAACATTGTCTCAAAGACTACGATTTTTAAGGATCCAATACCATATATTCACAATAAAAGCTGTGATTATGAAGATATTTACGATATTTACGATATCAACGACAGAATTACAGTTGAGCACAAGGGAAGTGTGATGAAATTCTCAACACTTTGCCCAAAAATATTTTCAAAACCCTTGCCGATGATCTGCAGTGAAGAACTGAATTCACTCTCAAGAATCCACATTAAGGAAGTTTTTGGGAGTACTGAATCAAATTCAGAGAGTTTATTATTTACTCTCTTATGGGCTTGTGAGGATCTACCAAATGGACAGCATGATCTTGGCATTCTGGTGGGATTTAATTCATATCAAATAAACAATTTCGCTGAAGTGATGATGAAGACAAAATGGATAATGGAAACATCGTTGAATCTGGTGAAAGGTTTGCCATTTGCAGTGAATTTCACATTGGAGGATTTCGAGCAAGGCCACTTTTATGCTGACACAAAATGCAATCATTGTGACATGTTTCGTTGTAAATAAAATGTTATGCAACGGTTCAAGGTTTCTCTTTTCATATGTCCTAAATTTTGGTTCTTTCCGTACGATCATAACCATTTTAGGCTTGTCTGAAATCTCTCACCGAATTCTGTAACTTCTGTTTAGTTCTGTAAATCTAGCATAATGAAGGAGAATAAAAAAAGCGAGCTCAACGCACAATAATCACTCACAAAGTGTTCATTATGATGTTTTTATTTGCAATTGAAGGAAGAAAGTGTAATTAGAGTGAACCAAATAAAGTGAAAAATATAGTTTTTGATTCAGTATAAATTGGACATTTGCCTGAAAATGTTGCTTTTCATTCTTCTATTGTGCTTTGTTGCACTGCGCGATGCGAAAATTTTCAACGGATCTTGTCCGCAAGTGAATGAGGATTACAAACTTAAGGACATTACGACATACAGCATGAATGTTTTACTCTTGCTTCCTGCGCAACCATTTCGGAATCATATATTTGATACTATGTTTGGATTTGGCGTAGATTGTTCGCAATTTGTCGCGTATATAAGTGATAAAGGCTTTGTTGAAAGTATTGAATTTCAAAAGAATCCAAAGAATTACGAAAATGTGTTTGCGGGAACTTGTGACAACATCTACAGAGATGATGATCAGATTATTGTCAATTTTAAAGGCGATGAGGCTGTATTTTTTACGAAGTTGAAGAAGATATACAAGAATCCACTGCCGATGATCTGTTCAGGCGATATGAATTATTTGTCTAGAATCCAAGTTCGAGATTTCACGGTGAAAATGGCGAAATATCCGGAAAAATATTTAATTCTCTGGGCTTGTGAGGATCTGCCCAATGGACAGCATGATCTCGGCATTCTGGTAGGATTCAACTCTTTGCTGGTGGAAAATGTCACTGCAGTGAAGATGGAGAGCAGGAGGATCTTTGACAAATCTCTAGAGCTAGTTAATAGTCTTCCGTTGGCAGAAAAATTCATTTTAGCTGACTTCATTCAAGGCAAATTGTATGACAATAGAATATGTGATCCTTGCATAATGTTCCGATGTGAATGACAGATCCAAAAAGAAATTAATTGGATTTTAATATGTATTAAAAAAAAATATACACAATTAAATATTAATCAAGACACAAGAATTAATTCAGTATGATTTCTGTATTTGGCGAAAAATGTTGCTTTTCACACTGTTCTCGGGCCTTTTTGGATTGCTTCATGCAACAATTTTCAATGGATCTTGTCCAGATCTGGAATTACTTCACGATGATTACACTCAAGGTTTGAGTATGAAAGTGGTTTTCTTGTTGCCCGGACTTCCGACTCACAATCATATTTTCCGCAATATGTTCGGCCACAGTGTTAATTGTTGGCAGTTTCTGCCTTATAATTCCCATAGGACGAGCACAGTTACAAAAAGGACGAGCACAGTTACAAAAAGGACGAGCACAGTTACATCAATAGTGATAGAGAAAAATTCTCTGCAAATTGACCATGCAAGTGAATCACTTTGTAAGGATATCTACAGTGATGATGACATTATTATTGCGGAGCTTAGAGGAGATCGGATGTTTCTTTCGTCTCTTTGCAAAAAAATATTTTTTGATCCTTTGCCATTGATGTGCACAAGTGAATTGATTTCATTGTCAAAAGTCCAGAGAATCGAGCTTCGCAGAAATAACGATACATTTAATGTCTTGTGGGCATGCGAAAATCTACAAAATGATCAACATGATCTTGGAATTCTGGTTGGATACAGTCCAAAAAAGTACCTTACTCCAATTGAAATGATTATAAAAAGCAAGGAAATAAAGGATACCGCGATGAATCTAGTTAGAAGTCTACCATTTGCTGCCAATTTCACGCCAAATGATTTCATACAGGGTGAATTTTATGATATCGTAGACTGCAATAATTGTGAAATGTTCCAGTGCAACTGAAAGAATGAAATGTTAAATTAAAAATAAATTGAATACGGAATAAATATCGTTTTTGCAGTGAAATAGTGCGTTTTTCCTGGTTATTTCATATCATTTCACAAACAAGATCACAACCGTTTCTGGACGGATCTCAGAATATGTCCTTTCTGTCCTTTCAGGCGATCGGCAGGCAGATCTCAAGGAGGAGCGAAGGCGAGCCCAAATGGCTGCTGCGCGTCAAGTGCTGGAGCGATCGACCATGATGCTCTTGACGTCCTCCAAAACATGCCTTCGCCATCCTGAGTGTCCGGATTCTCGCGAGAATCGCGACACTGTCTTCTGCCAGATGCGCCGCGCCATGGATCTCATCCACTACGTGGTCAAGGATGGCGTGCTGGAGACAGTGGCTGATAGACTGTCACCACGTGGAGCGGGTCAGGTGGACTGGGACTCCGAGAGAGCGTCCGCCTTCACGAGCTTGAAGCACTTTTCGCGCCTGGTGGAGCTTTCGAGGCCTCAGGTGACGGAGACCACGCCCAAGGTGATCGGAAACAGTGAGATCGTGGAGGAGGCGCCAACGCGTGAGTTGACACGCAGCAGTAGCGTTCGCGATCGGAGAATCGAAGCCGGAGGACGGTCTAAGAATCGCACGTATGCCAGCCTCGAGAGGGAACTTCTGCCGCCGGCGAGCAGGAGTGCCGAGGCTGCCATGCTGGGCCTGTCGTCGGTTCTGGTGCCTGAGACGAGGGATCAATTACTAGCGGCTCTGGACAAGGTGGTGGAGAAGACGCAGGACTTCACAGATTCGGCATACACGACACATGAGCACCGAGAGAACATCCTGCTGCTGTGTGATCGTGCCAAATTGGAGCTGAATCAATTGCTGAGGATCGCCGTGAATACTGAACCCTTCGCCACAAACACAACGGACATCGATGCGGCGATCGAGAGTGTCCAGAATGCAGGGCAGGATCTCAGTCAACAACTTGTGCTAGCCGTTAGTGATCAAGTCACGGAGTTGGCGCACGTAATCAAAGCGGGAATCGACATTGTGAACTCCCTCAGGAATATTGCCTTAAACCAGGAGTTGGATCGACTACAGGAGTGCGCTGATCGCTTTCACGACTACATCGATCACACCCTGGAAGTGAGTATCTCGTGGTTCTAGCCTCTGTGATGCCAAATAATCACTCCCTTGTAGGTCTGCAAGCTGCTGCGTCACATCGCGCTGTCGGAGACGCTACAAGTTCAGGCCAAGTTCATGGAGATCAACCTGAAGATCTACGCACCGCAGGTGATAACGGCCTCCAGGGCACTGTCGGCACATCCCTCAAGCAAGATCGCCAAGGAGAACCTCGAGGTGTTTGCGGACATGTGGCAGTGGCTGGCCAGCGATGTGTCCACGGTATCGAAAGAGATCATCGAAATGGCTCAGGCGCAGACGAAGCCGGACAAGACGGAGTACCTGAGTTTACCGCGACCTGGAGTAAGAGTTGAGGACTTAGACATAATGTTGAATGTGGGAATGATGGTCTGGTTGTGTTGCAGAAACATGGGACAACATCGAAGCCGCTGAAGCCAACGAGACTGGATCAGGAGGAGCAGGAGAAGATCGCCAAGGCGGGTCTGGAGATGAAGATGCTGACGAATGAGATGGACGCCGAGACGGACAAGTGGAATGGGGCCAGCGATGAGAACAATGATATTGTGAAGAGGGCCAAGAATATGTCTTCGATGGCCTTCTCCATGTATCAGTTCACGAAGGGCGAGGGAACGCTCAGGACCACACAGGACCTCTTCACTCAGGCGGAGTATTTCGCTGAGGAGGCCAACAGGCTGTACAAAGTCGTGCGACAATTTTCATATCAGGTCAGTGTCTGACATTGGGCTCCTGAAGAGGCCTGGCTTCTAATGGTTTTCTGTCTTGCTGGGCGCAGGTTCCTGCGGGGCAGCCGAAGAAGGAACTGCTGGAGCACGTGGACAAGGTGCCCACGTTCGTGCAGACGCTGCAGTTCACCGTGAAGGATCCGACGGTGGGCAAGGCGGCCACCTTTGTCAAAGTGGACCATGTCATCCAAGAGACCAAGAATCTCATGAATGTCATCAACAAGGTCGTGACCACGTGCTTCGAGTGTGCCAACAAGGTGAGTCCTCATGGACTTGTGGGGTCGCGGTTCGGGATATGAAGCGGCGTCGCAGAGTATCAAGATCTAAGCTGTTGAATTTTTAATCCTCAGCATGGGCTCTGTATGCCCCAACAAGTGCCTTTTGCCCATTCCTCAAGTGTCTCACACAAGTGATGTCGATTCCACGTGCCTGATTCTCAATTATTCACACTGTTTTCCTTCACTCTCGCGGCCACACTTTGAGGACAGAGTTCAGGGTATTTTGGCATAAATGTTTTACCACCGCGATGAGGACGTTTTTTTCTCTCATTTCTTATCTTCCCCATCGAGAAATCACAAAACTCGCGTGTGGGCGGGAAACACAAACAGACAAACACAATCCTTAGCCACCGACGTTAGTACAAAGAAAAAAAAGAGAGAGAAAAGTGCGGACGACATCACGCCACAGATGAGGACTTTGAGTAAGGATCGTTGAACGCTTTACTGCCCAGTTTAACGCAGATCATCGGCCAATTAATCACTAACACACTTACAAAAGAACACAAATTGCACTGAGATGCAATGGGTGGAGTTTATGGCTACAATTGAGAGAAAAAGTCTGAGCTTTGCTGCTTCTCGTTTATCCTCATTTATCACTCGAGTTTTTCATAACATTTTCAGACGATGATTAATGCACTTTTTGCCAATTCTACTGATTGTTTTTTTTTCTTCTTCTACAGTTCTGGAAATCACATTCTGTTGGATAAGTTAATTGAAATGAATACAGTTGTTGATTAATTGTTTTTGTAGTATAAAAATATTTCAATTATTAAAACTTATCCAACAGAATATTTCTTTAAGGTTCCAATCGTGAAACTAAAGTCTCAATTTACCCAATTAATTTATTGTTAATTGAAAACTAACCGCAGCTGCGCTTTCTGAACAGTTTGCAAACTAATTCTAATCACTCAATCATAGCGATCTGATCTGACGCTCGTCTTTTTCACTCTTACAGTACAAGCTGGACTTCAGCGGACTGTCGGGAAGAGTGGCGGCCGGAAGTTCCAGAGATGACGAGGGCGGCTCCGGAGCGGCCGGAGACTCTAAGGGCGCCACGACAAGCACCGAGGGGGGCATGTGACAGTACGGGATGGCTCGCAGAGCCAAAGGAGACGCCAGGCGGACTCGCGTGTCCTTTCTTCTTTTCTAAGGCGTCTTAGACAAGGAAGGAAGGGCGCGTGCGCTCTCGCGAAAGCTGCCCACGGGGATGCTCATCTCCGCGTGCAGAAGCCATGGATGGACTTATCAGATTTGCATAAGAAGAATCTCCGAATGGAACTGACTTACGATAATAAGGAAAAAAAAATTAGTACAATAACCCAAATTTATGAGATTTCTCGTGAATACGTAATTACGACGGCGTAATCACCGCAGTTTTCACGTCACTTCGATGCACCAGCGCGCTGTAGTCCTTCAGCAACACGTTAAAGTTGTCTCTAAGGTCTTTGAGTTTGCTTTATGATTGAGACATGAGAAGATAGAGCCGGTAGTCTTCCAATTGTGTACATAAAATATATGGGCATAGAAAACTGAAAAGGAAACATTTAACGGCAAGCATTTTCGCGGGATTTTTTTTTTCTTTTATTATAGTGAACATCACGTGCCAAGAGATTCAAGTTTAGATGCGGGTGCGAAGAACAATCAGATTGATTCCTTTCCGTTACAGTTCAAAGCTTTGCTATACTCGGAGAAAATCGCGCAGCTAAAGCATGGCTTCCATTGTCATGTTGGTTAACCAAAGTTTTTTCAGTTTTGTGTTATGCCAATATTGGCTTTTTCCAATTTCAAGAATATAACACATTGTCTTGGGAAATACTTTCCTATTCAGGTTGTCCAATTTGCATAGGCGAAAAAAAAATGGCAAAACGCTGTTGGTGTGAAAGTAGAAGGAGAAGAAAAATCTTAAACTAATCTAGAAAGTGAAAACAATTCTGTGAATTCTCTAAAATAGATCGTTCGAGCAGCCACTATTTAAACATGCAAAAAAAAAATGTTGAAGAACAAGAAACTTTCCTAGATGTTATTACAAAAGTACAGCAGAAGAGATGAATTTTAGGGCATAGTTTGATATTCATATATACAGGGTGACTTGTTAGTAGACGTTATAATGAGATTTGAAATATTGCAGTGTAGCCACAATATAGAAGTATATATTTGATGAGTAATATTAATGTTGTCTGTTGTGAAAAAAAAGTAATGGAAACTTGAAATGTATAATTACAGAAGATGGAAAATGTTAAAGGTATTTTTGAGATGTGTGGAAAGAGAAAAGTAATCATTCGATTCGATGTGACACGAAATCTTCTTATGAAATCATTTTGAACGTTTATTGAAAATCATGTAACGATGATAGAGAAGATGATTATCCTCTTTTTATCTCAATATCAATTTATAATACATATATTCATGTGACGAGAGAAGAAGGTGAAAGAGAAAACTATATATCGACGTAGAAACGTGTACCATGATGAAAAAAAAAATGAGATGAAATTTATATACTCAAATTAGCTTTTATACTTGTATATAGAAGAACAAAATATTTAGTGATGGAAATTATATTTGACGAAGATATTTAATATTTTCTATATAATGAAACATTGATGATGTATTTAATAAAATGAATGTGTGCATGAATTTCTTCAATTTTTCCGAATATACTTTTTTGTCAAGAGCATTTCTCAAAGTCACTCATCTCGAGATGTTTCATTTTTGGGAGAAGAAATTTTTCAAAGAGAAATATGATTAAATGTAACTCTCAAGTTATTAATGAAATCAAATGTCAAATTGAGTGTATGAAAAAAAAACTTTTTCACTCTCTTCAATTTAATTCAAAGTTTGCGTCTTGACTTTTCTCAAATTTAGCAAACCTGACAAACAAAACAAATGATAAAAGGAGACGATTGCAAAAAAAAATAGAAGATGAAAAACGAGTGTAAATACCATTTTGCATAACAAATTCAATTGATGACGTCTATAAGCGCTAAAATTAATGAATTCAAGAAAAAAAAACACAGACGTAAAAAATTTAAATAGATATTGCAGAGAATCGAGTGTGTTGTGAAATAATGGAAGAAAATAAAATCATGCAAATGAAAATCAGTTATGAGGTGAGATTTTTCTGAGTGTTCAACGGTTGCCATTCGAATGGGAATAAAATTTTCACGGCGTTCCTGTAAAAACTTCAGTGTAGTCTCATCACATTGCATTCTTGTCGTGTTGTTTATTGTTTTTCTTCTCTTTTTCCGTGATTTTCTCGAGGACAATGCATGTTCTTCCGGTGAAGGACATCTGGTATCGAAAGATCCAGAAGTGTTATCTTTCTGAAGAGTGTTTTTCTGGCAATTTACGGCCAGGATGTTGGATTATCTGCAGACTATCTGATGGAAGTGAGGTTATATCCCGGGCGTTTCCACATTCTAGGCGTATTTTCTCTCAAAATCTGGCTTATTTGGATCAAAGTGTGACACGAAATACTTCCCAAAACTCCGAGGGACTCTCTCTCGTGGATTTCCACCCTGCAGCGCATGTGGCAGACTTCCGGGAAGCGGTGAGCGTTGATGTTTTTGTAAACAACATCACATTCCCGGAAATCTCTCAGAGAGACACACTTGAGATGGTGTTGAAGAGGATCCTTCGACTGTACACCTTCTCCAGGGACTGTGAGATACTCCTGGAGGATTTCTGTCCACTCCCCATCACAGCAGTGAAGGTGACATGCTGCAGAGAGGAAGGAATCGGATCAATTTCACCGGACGCCGCCCTGAAAATCTCCAATATCGTGTTTCAAAGCCAACGGAAAAGACACGAGGAGTCCTTTATAGGCTATCACACTATTGAGGAGACCATCAGTGATATCTTAATGAGGAACGTAAAGTATCTCAAGAGCTCTGCCCAGAAATTCACTCCACCCAATGAAATCCTGATTGTGGGATCATCAGGTGTGGGAAAGACCACTTTAATCCACCATCTGGCCAGGAAGTTTCACTGCAACGTCTTTTCACTGGATCCTATGGACTTCCATGGCCAATATCCCGGTGAATCTGAGGAGATGCTAGACAAATTCCGCCAAACCATCACGGATTTGAGCAAGAATCAGGAAGATCGCCTGTCAATAGTCACAATTGAGGATATTGATGTGCTCTGTCCCAAGGAATCCGCTTCCGGGGAGCGCAATAACACGGAAAAATTTGGAGAAGCTCTTATGAACTTCTTGGAGAAAATGTCTGGAGTCAAAGGAGTGTTGCTGATGGCCACAGCAAAAGATGTGACGAACTTAAGTGGTCACGCAAGGCGAAAAGGACGATTGGAAGTAGAGATTTTCCTTAAGAATCCCGACAAGAAGGAGAGAGAAGAGATTTGCAGGGGATTTCTGAAGGGAGATGAAGAATTGTGTGCCTGGATTGCCGAGAGAACTTCAGGATTTGTCGCGGGCGATCTGAAAATGCTAATAGAGAAAGGCAAAGCGAGAGGATGTTTGAAATCACAGCTAAAAGCCATGAGATTATCTTCAGTGAGGAGCAGTAATCTCTTAGTGGAGTCGGATTCTGTGGATTTTGAGGATTTGGGTGGTTTGGGTGATCTCAAGAGGACAATTGAAGTGACAATTGTGGCTCCTCTCAAGGATTCCAGTGCATTCGATCGGATGGGCATTGAGATGACGAAGGGAATACTGTTTTACGGACCGCCAGGATGTGCCAAGACAACGATTGTGCGAGCTCTGGCCAAGAAGACTCACATGCCACTACTTGCAATCTCTCCAGCTCAGGTTTACTCACCCTATGTGGGAGATTCTGAGCGTTTCCTGGCCAGAGTGTTCCACGAAGCGAGGATGTGCGCCCCTTCGATCCTCTTCATTGACGAACTGGACGCTTTGGTGGGATGCAGACAGCGCGGAGGAAGCAGCGATGTGCAATCGAGGATTCTAGCAGTGCTCTTGACTGCCTTGGATGGAATTGGGCGACGAATTGACGGTGCTCCCGAAGGGAATGTTCTCGCTGTGGCCGCGACCAATCGTCCGGATGTTATTGATGAAGCTCTGTTGCGTCCTGGGCGCTTTGATAAGTTGATTCACGTTCCGCCACCAGTGACGGCGAATGATAGAGTGGAGATATTGAGGAAAATTACGCACAACATGCCGATTGAGGGGGTGAATCTGGAGTTGATTGCCAAGCAGACGAGAAACTTCTCTGGAGCTGATTTGAGGAGTCTCTGTCGCGAGGCGGCTCTGCAGCGACTCACTGTTGATCTCTCGGCAGATTCCTTGACACAGGAGGATTTCTTGAGGGCTCTGGCTGGGATGCGACCTTCCCTGACAGACACTCAGATCGCCTGGTATCGAGACTTTGAGGGAAATCCTTATCTATGACTGTGACACGCCAATTGATACTTGAGCGACAGCACTATCAGTGTTAATGTCTCGGTTCCCATTCGGCGCTGGGCTGTGTGGGGCGGAGCGGAGTGAGAGGGAGAGTGGAGAGCTGCGATATGGGCGATGAAAAACAGTGTATTCCATTTAGTTGATGATCGTCACTCCAAGTGGAAGCGCGTTGTGTGTGCTGTGCAATTTAATCCCGAAGAGAGATCACTTTTCATCACATCCCGCGCGCTGGTTAATTGCGAAACGCCACTTTTTAATTGCCCATGTGTTTATAAGAGGTGGCCAGGCAGCGGAAAAATAGAGTGGACCGAAGAGTTGTTATAAATAACCGCGAGTGGCGAGGAGGGAAATTCCTGGGGCCAGAGAGGAGCCCTCACGATAAGGCGGAGAGTTCGATATCGAGGCGATATGTGTGGGTCGATAGATACAGCTACCCTCGCGCCCCACATTTGCCCAATCAGTATTAATTGATACGCGGCTCGAGTGTGTCAACCAGCACGACAGAGAGAGAGAGAGAGAGAGTGATCATGAGCGCCCCCGTGAGGATCCTCCTGCTGGCGCTCGTGATAGCGCGCGGACAGGAAGTGCCGTCGCCACTCGAGATTACACACGACGACGATGCTGGTGAAATTCGCGAGATGAGGCGCGAAAGGAGTGAGTGTTGAGTGCACTCGCGCCAGTGTTCTGAAAATTTCTCCTCATGCTCTCACTTCCTCTGCAGATAGCGCCTTTGAGTTCCACTACAGCACAACGCCATTCAGTATTGCGTTCATTGAGGAGCCCCTCGTCAAGTTCGTCTACTTCAATTACACACGCATCGAGAGGAATGTCACGGAATTTGGCAATCACTTTGTCGTATTTGATCCTGGCAAAAAAGCGTGAGTAACTGATAATGTTTTGAGACCCACTTATGTCTCTCCCAACTCCCCAAGCGCTATTCAGCTTTTCCTATGCGGCAAACACAACAGCTGCGAAACGGGGCGATGAGCAGACGGGGAAAAAAAGGTCAAAAGGCGCGATTAGATTTGTGTGAAGGACAGAATATTCCCAAATATTGTTTTTATTACTAAATATTCTAATCCAAATGGTGTCTCTTTGGGTTGAAAATCTTTATTTAGATCTCAGACAAAATAGATCTCAATATGAGAGGAAAATGTTTGCTTTGTCGTTTGCATCATTTGCTTAATTTTATGCCCTCTGACTGATACTTAAATACGATCTGAAGATTTAGGAATTGTGACAGCCATTCATGGAAATTTGATAACCATGAGCATGAGTCATGCAATGAATTGGATTCGGAGCTTTGAAACATAATAACTTTGGTCTTATTACATCCACATATTACACTAAATGCGCCATTTTATTCCCTTGTTCTACTGAAATGATAATAAGTAACAATAATGGAGTTCTTTTTTGTTGCATCTTCTTAATGAATGAACACAACTTTTGATCAAATAAAGAGTTTGTTTTTAACAATGAAATTTCTCGTAGAATTATTTTGCTTTGTAAATTAAATTATTCGTGCTCTTGTGATAAACAGGAACACTTTTAGTTCACTTCGCGAATATGAGTGCTTGAGATGCCTTTTGAAATAATTATCTTACTTGCAATCATAAGAATTTGAGTGTCTTCTTAAGATTTCATGTCATTTTTTTTCGATTTCTGCAAGAGATAATAATAAATAGAGGAAAATATTCGTGAAACATTTCTCTTTTCAGTAAATATTCGTCATAATGACGAGAATTTCGGAGTGAATGAAGCGTTAATTGAGTGGGATAATTAGGGTAATATCGCCCGGATTAGCTGATAAGTTCGTATCGTGCGCGTGTGTCATAAAAAAAAATTGAGGCATTTGGTTGAAAATTGGTCGCTGTAAATCTCTCTTATCACTGTGGCTTTCAGATTGACCGGCCTGGCGCCCTGCAGTCTGTACAGTGTCTTCGGGGAAATGAGGAATTTGGCCACTAATCGCACATTCAACCACACTGAGAGCATTAGCACGGATTACGCTGAGCCCGTGACGACGAATCTGCTGGTCATTCCCTTCGATGACTCCATCGTGGCGCAGTGGAATACATCTAATAGGGATTGTGTGGGACACTTTGTGGTCCGCGTGAGTGCTGGCGAGTGGACTTTTGAGGCGAACACCACGAGATTGGATTGGGGCATTGATGCTCTGGCGCCGTGCACAGAGTATGAGCTTGAGATTGCAACGGTGAACGTGTTCGGAGATGTTGTGAGCAGCGTGACGGAGAAGGAGGTGACTTCGTTCGTGGATCCGGGAGCTGTTGAGGAGTTGGTGGCGAAGTATCACAGTGGTGGCAGAGTTGAGGTGTCGTGGAAGCCACCGCTGGATGGGGTTGAGTGCGTGAGTGATTATACAGTGAAGCTGGGAGAGGATTCGTGCTTGGATGAGGAGTCTTGCTTGTGGACGTACAGAAATGCCAGTAAATCGTTGAAAGGAGAATTTGACGGTTTGGAGGCGTGCAAGAGATACACAATAGTGGTGTATACAAATGGTCAGGAGGATGGAAGCAATAGCACCCTGACATTCGACACGGACTTTCACGTTCCGGGAACAGTTGAGAATTTGAACTACGATGTGGTGAGTCCGTCGAGTGTGAGGATGTTTTGGAATGCTCCGCATGAGAATGCCCACTGCGTCTCTCACTATATCATCAAGTGGGCGGATCTTGAGGAGACTCTCAATGGCACGGAGATCCTACTGGAGGATCTGGAGCCGTGCAGAGAGTATTTGATCGCAGTTGCTGTTGTGGACATTGAAGGTGAAGAGGGTCAAGCTATGACGATTCCCGTGCAAATGCCAGATGATGTGCCAGGAATTGTGCAGGATGTGAATTACTCAGCAACACCGTCTGAGCTGATGATCACGTGGAAGCGCTCACAGTACGCTGGTCAGTGTGTGGAAAGCTACAGGCTTCAGATATCTGGGGACATTTCACACCTTGAGGATTATAATCACACCACAACGGACACATCTTTCATATTCCAGAGGATGACAGCTTGTCGGATGATCTCAGTGCGAATCTTTGCCGTCTCATTCGTTCACAAGGAGAGCTTCCCAATGATTTTTGTGACGAGAATTCCTGCCAGGATCACAGCAATGCCCAGCACGCCTCAACTTGTGCACAGAACGAGATCTTCGCTGCGATTGAAGTCGTCTTTGACGGACACACAGATCGAGTGTACGCTGATGAATGCGAGATTTGTCTGCAATGCCGATGAGGAGGGAATTGAGACGGAGATTCTGGTCAATGTGGATCCTCTGACTGGGAATTCGACGGAATTCGAAGGCTATATCGACAGTTTGCCCTCATTCACAAACTTCAATTGCTCCGTGAGTGTTCTGACCAGCGCCGGATGGTCAGAGTCCGCCATGGCATCCTTCCAGACGGAGGAAGACTACCCAGGAGAGCCAGCTAATCTCGTCTTAATGGAGACGAGCAATAAAGGTTTCCACATCACATGGGAGAGACCGTCAGAGCCCAATGGCAATGTGCACTCCTTCAGGTTGGAGATTCAGCAAGTGGAACCACTGTATCTGGTGCCGAGATCTTGTTCACCGGCTGTCCTGACCAATCTCACGGAGGAGACGCATCTGCAGGAGATGCTGTACGACAAGGGAGAGCCTTCCTTCACCTACTTTGTCCAGGTGGCGGCGGTGAATGGAGCTGGAGTGGGTGTGTACACGAAGCCCATCACTATCAAGACACTGCCGGACATTCCACAGCAAGTGTCTGACTTCTCCGTGTTCTCTGTCGATGGGCCGTTCACGCCTCTAGTGTACAACAGCACAGTGACGATCCAGTGGGTGATTCCCTGCAAGTCCAACGGCGCTCTCCGATCCTTCGAGGGTGTCTTCTATGGCACAAAAGGTGATCTTGAGCACGTCATTGAGTGGGAGTACGCTGTCCGGGGATCTGTGAGAGAGATTTACACCTTCACTCAGGGTGATCTCTTGCCTGAGTTCCAGTACAGAGTCACGATTGCGGCGAAAGTCAGGGATGTGAGCAATACCAGCATCGACGTCTTCCAGGATTTCAACTCTCCGGCGGGAATTCCGGAGACTTACGGCATGGACAACTGGGGCACAGTGGATGTGTTCTCATCGCCCAATCCGACGCACAGTGCGGAGATCTGCATCTCCTCGCAGGTGCTCAATTCAACGGCTGGCGACATACTGTTCGTGGCGCTGCTGGTGTCTGAGCATGGGTGTCAAGATGATCCTGTGCCGCAATTCGGAGCTCTGGGGAGTGAGACTAACTGGCCAGCGGTGATGCGGTGGCAGGAAGCGATGGAGTTCTCTTGCATTCCTCAGTATCAAACCACACCCATACGATGGCGGCCCAGTGATTCAGATTTCCGCGAGATTAGCGAGTTTCTCTACACAATTGGCCGGGAGGATTGCGATGACAGCCAAGGATACTGCAATGGACATCTGAGGCCGGACACGAACTACTCCGTCATCGTGAGGACGTTCACGAGGCATGGTTTCAGTGATTCCGCCGTGATTCACTTCCGGACGGATGCTTTGGTGGCGCTCACGACGATTATTAGCATTGTCACGAGTTGTCTGCTGGTGGCATTTATCGTGGGATTGGTGATTGCGAAGCGCAGCAATTCTTTGGCCAAGTGGAACACGGATAACTTGATGAATAATGGAGAAATTGTGCCTGATGTGGAGTTGAAGAAGTTCTCAGATCACTATATTGCAATGATGAGGAATTGCAAAGAGAATCTGACCAAGGAGTTCAAATTGCTGAATGCTGTGACGATGGAGAAGGACTTCTCCATGGCGGCGGCGAAGCAGAATGAGACGAAGAATCGCTATGTTAACATTATTCCATGTAAGCAATGATGTGCGCACACAAGAAGAGAACTTGAGGTGTTTTTCCTTTGCAGATGACATGAACAGAGTTCTGCTGAACATCGAAGATGGTGAATCGGAGTACATCAATGCCTCTTTTGTATCTGTAAGTATATTTTTTCTCCTCTGCATTCTGCCAGAGAAATGTCTTGACGAGACTCTTTTGCCAGGGCTTCAAGTATGGCAAGGAGTATATTGCGACGCAGGGACCGAAGCTGGAGACTTGCTTTGACTTCTGGCGGATGATTTTGCAGTGCAACGTGAAGAGAATCGTCATGCTGACACTCCTGCGGGAGGATGACAAGGTGAAGTGCTATGGATACTATCCGATGATCAACATGAAGAGCAAGAGCATCCAATTCAAGGATATCCACGTGAATCTGGAGAGTGAATGTGAATTTCCCATCTACAAAAAGAGGGTGTTTCTAGTCAAGCGAGTAAGTCTATAAATTTTCCACTAGGAAGCGTGTTCTAATGCTCAAATGTTGTATATTTTTTTCCAGGGTGAATTGGAGAAGAAAGTGAGTCAGTATCACTTTACCAAGTGGCCAGATCATGGATGTCCTCGGAATCCCACGGATTTGATTGAATTCACGCGAATGTATCAGCTGGAAAAGAAGAACTCCAGCTCACCGACTGTTGTTCACTGCAGTGCTGGTGTGGGACGCACGGGAACCTTCATAGCGCTGGACATTATCATGCAGACTCTGAAGAATCGCAAGTCCATCAACATCTATGAGATTGTGCGCCAATTGAGGAATGAGAGGATGAAGATGGTGCAGACTTTTCACCAATACTGCCTGCTTTACCAGTGCGCGTACATTTTGGTGAATAAGACCAGCAGCATGCGGTGGAGCAAGAAAAGTGTTCTCAGTCGGAGGCTCTCGAGGATTCAGCAAACGCCCTCGAATTCCAGTTTGCAGTCTGTCGGCAGGGAGATTCCCACGCAGAGCACCTTGTCGCTGGTGGGAGGAAAGGAGAAGGCACTGTCGAATGCCGATAGTGCTTTGTGAGAGTTTCCGGTCGTTTCTAAGCATTTCCTGGCCATGTAACGGTCGTTTTATATGAAATACAGAATTTCTCCATATTACACATCAGCAACCTCTGTTCTGGCTGTGTTTTTTTGCCGTCTGTCGTTTGGCTTCGTCCTTGTGATTTTTTTTCACCTCCCCTGAACGTCGCCGAGATGCGGTTTGTGTCTCGGTTAACCACAAAAAAACCGTTGAATTCAAATTTTTTGTTTGCATGCAAGCACGAAACATCAGAATACACCCAAGAAATGGCCGGAAAATCTGGGAAATCCTCTTTTCCTGACAAAATATGATTAAAGGACAAGTACAAATAGTTTTTAGTGCATATTTTTCTAATTTCGAGCTTATGCTAATAACATAAAACGAATATAAAGTTCAGTCATGGAAGTTTCATCGTCTATTCTTTATGAAATGCATTTGTGGGCCCTGAAAAGGGCCATTTGTTTCTTGTCGGGGTAGAAGAGCGGTCGTTTACTTGGAGCTGGTGTACTTGGTCACGGCCTTCGTGCCCTCACTCACGGCGTGCTTGGCCAACTCGCCAGGCAGCAGCAGGCGCACGGCGGTCTGAATCTCGCGACTCGTGATGGTCGAGCGCTTGTTGTAGTGAGCGAGACGCGATGCCTCGGCGGCGATGCGCTCGAAGATGTCGTTCACGAAGCTGTTCATGATGCTCATGGCCTTGCTGCTGATGCCCGTGTCCGGATGAACTTGTTTCAGCACCTTATAGATGTAGATGGCATAGCTCTCCTTGCGCTTGCGCTTCTTCTTCTTGTCTGTCTTGCTGATGTTCTTCTGAGCCTTTCCGGCCTTCTTTGCAGCCTTTCCGCTTGTCTTGGGTGCCATAGTGTCAAAGTGAACTTGATGAAATCACTATAGAAACTGTGCTGGCGCACGGAAACGTGCCGATTTTATGGACTCGACTTCCCCAGACGGACAGGGTTGCCTCGATTCGCTCTATAGCATGCCGTCTCGTTCTCGCTCACACGAATTATCGTACCGCTTCGTTCAACGAGGGGGACAGAAAGTCGGCAGCTCAGCATTCTTGGGCAACTGAGGCTTTATAAGGCCGAAAACGCTACAAATTTCATCAATCTGTGCTAAACTCTTGTCAAGTGTGTTCCGTGCCATTTCTCTAAGTTCAGAAAAGAAGCGATTTGAAGGATGTCTGGCCGCGGAAAGGGAGGAAAAGTTAAGGGAAAGGCGAAGACACGTTCCAACCGTGCTGGGCTTCAGTTCCCCGTGGGCAGAATCCACCGTTTGCTACGCAAGGGAAACTACGCTGAACGAGTTGGCGCTGGAGCACCTGTCTATTTGGCCGCCGTGATGGAATACCTTGCCGCTGAGGTGCTCGAGTTGGCCGGCAACGCGGCGCGTGACAATAAGAAGACCAGGATCATTCCGCGCCACTTGCAGCTGGCCATCCGCAACGACGAAGAGTTGAACAAGCTGTTGTCCGGCGTCACGATCGCGCAGGGCGGCGTCCTGCCTAACATCCAGGCCGTGCTGCTGCCCAAGAAGACCGAGAAGAAGACATAAATCGCCCGTCGTGCCCTGCAAACTCACCAACAACAAAAACGCCCTTTTCAGGGCGACAAATCCACTCTGTAGAGAATTGAACATGAAACCTTAAAATTGCATTTTGAATTTATTTTAGCTATAAAATCGATCAGAAAAATGAAGGAATATTGAAGAAATCCATTTTTGTGTCGTATTTTCCTAAAGTAATATCCTAACAAATTATGTGTATTTATTGAGTACTAGAAATTTTTGATGATAATGCTGATAAGAAAACAATAGGAAATAATGAATGAAGGAATGAATGGTTTTTCTTTTGTGAAAAATAATAGTATATGTTTTTAGTACTCAAAGTGGTGAAATAAACTTTTTCCCCCCAACGCCGCAATTGATATATTGGCGCTGATGGCAAGAAGGAGTGGTCAAAGATGGTTGCCAAATATTTTCCTCCCAGACATAACACAACACATTTTTAGTGCATAAATGCTGATATTTTGAGATAAGTGCGTTAAAATACAATAGGGAAACTTCTCAGTGAATTGTAGATTATTGAATTTGCTTGCAAGATCGTCTAGAAATAGTGGTTTTCTGTAGGAAAACGTGGTGGAAAAGTATGGTGTGTTCTGCGATGGCAGAGAGATAATTTCAGTGTAAAAATACAGTAAGAAAACACTGCAGTTTTCCCATCTATGCAAGGACTTTAGCTCCGGGATGAGCGTCTCGGTGTGAGATTCAGCCGCTCACCGCATCTTTTCCACACAAACAGTGATCGCTTGGATGCATTGAAGTGTAAAAAGTGCAGGGGAGGAGGAGGAAAATGGATGCAACAGTGGAGAAATCTACTCTCGCGTTTGTCATGAGTGACAAAGACATGCTGCAAGCCGTCCAGGAGGTCCCGGAGACGTCGGATGACGCAGTGCAAGCGAAGGCGGCAAGGAGCATCACGCCAACTGAGGACATGGAAGTGTCTGTGGAGCTCGAGAAGGGCGCTTCGGCGGCAGAGGAGGAGGAGCTGCAGGTGACGGAGGTGGTGGTGGAGGAGAAGGGCATGGATGCGGAGTCAGCAGATTTGCCGGACAAGTCGCCAGCAGTGCAAGTGGAGACAGAGGAATTGAGCAGGACGGCGGAAGCGGAGGAAACGACAGACGAGATCACGTGCAATGACAATGGACTGAATGAGGAGAAGCCACTGGTGCAGTGTGAGGCGTCGCCAGACAGTGAAGAAAGCGCGGTAAAGTGTCCGGATACTGCTAAGATGATTCCTGATGTGGCCAAGCAGGTGAAAATGCGCAGCAGCACTTGGAGAAGCTTCACGGCAACACTGAAGAAGCGCAGCATTAAATGGTAAATTCTACAATTTTTCCCTCACATAGAATGAATGAATGATGAAAATCCGTGTGTTTTGAGCAAGAAAACAGCAGCAGCAGCAGCTGAAGAAAAGCATCGCGCGCACACGGGAGAGAAGAGGCAATAATCAAGGCTATAGAGTTTGAGTTTAAACAATTGCAAGTAACATACGCTTTTTCACGTTTGCGTTTCATTTTGAAAAGTAGCAAAGCCCTCTTCTCTCCAAGGTGACGTGCAGAAGCACATATTAACGATACAATATTACTAATAAATGTGAATGTATTTTTGCGACACAGGCTCAACAGAAATCGCTATCACATGATGTACAAGAGAAGTGTGCACGCCAGGAAGATGCCGAAGGGATCACAAGTGGGCTATGGCAATTTGACTGGTGGGCAGAAGGAGATTGTCGACGCGGAGAGCAAATTCAACAAAGTACAAGACGATGAGGACGAGGAGGAGAGTAATTCCAACATTGAAAATCACGCCAAGAGACCTCGAATAGACGATGATGTGGAAATTGTGGCGGTGAAGAGTGAAGATGAAGACAGCAGTGTATGTGATAGGACAAATGGCAAGGAGGATGACAATGATGAGCAGAAGATTGCCCAAGATGAAGTACCTTCCACTGACAGTCCCAGCATAATTGATGGCGAACAGTGTGCAGATCATGCGGAGAAGTTGGACCCAAAGAAGAACCAGAGAGAAAAGTCACCAGCAATGAACTACAGTGTGGACGATTCCATCACGCCCACGAAGAAGCTCTGCCTGGAGTTGGAGATGAATTTTGCCACTCATGACAAAATACTGACTGATTATATTGAGAGTACACCGAATGAGTCTGCAAATGACATTCAGCGCCACGTGGAGCAGTTGATTGTTGAGATACAGACGCTCAACGATATGATACGTGCTAAGGAGATGGAGTGGAACAATATGATTCACCTGAAGAAGGTGAAGGAGGAGATTGTGGCACGCCTGACACGGAAGAGGCACGTTTTGGAGTTTGCAAACACCACACTGGCGCCAGATGATGTTCACCGGTTGTCCGCTGAGGCGAAAGATCTCTCCGAGGCGTCAATTACCAAGATCACACAAGCTCTTCTGCTCAATCGCGCCAATTTGGGTGCCAATGAGCTGCAGCGCAGCAACTCCAATTCCTCAGAGTCTAGGTCTGTTCACAAGGTGGGATTTGTCTCCTTATTCTATCAATTAACTTTTGGGGTGGTTTCGTTTTGTAGAAATGCTCAGCACGCACTTTCGGCGGCCTTTGGTGCGAATGCTGCAGGTGAATCGAGCAGAAATCGCTCTTCTGACTGCGGATTGTCTGCCAGTCAGGCATCTGCATTTCCCAGTGATCTGTTCAATGGCCACAACACGCGACTCACGCAGCAAATGGGTCGTCAGGGGGCGATTAAGGATGTGAAAAGTATTATTGCCGACTATCGACAGAGACATCCGGAGATTGTGCCGCGACGGGGCAGACGAATGAAGTCAATGCTGAGTGAAAACAGTTGCCCAAAGGGTGAGTTGTGGTGAAAAGCCAGAGAGATAAATGCGTTCCTTGGACTTTACCCTATATATACCTTTGCTTCATTTACAGAGAGTGGCAATTCGCGACCCTCCAGTGCGGATTCATCGCACAGCAATGCAGCGAATAGCAATTTTGCTCCGTCCACGGGACAACAGAACACATCGCAGTCTGGCACGACAATTGGTAATCTCTCGTTCAAGGATGTTCTCGTGCAATTTGCCAAATTGAGCCAGAGTGATCGGCAAATGATCTCAACCACGGCAGAAGCGTCGTCAGCCGCCAATGCAGTGACAAATTCACTGGGTGGAAAGGCGCCACCGCCCTATCCTGAGGTCACACTGTATCCCGTGAATAGTCAGTCGAGTGCTGAGCAAATTGTGCTCAGCAACACCAACAACACACACTCCAATTCACTCTTGCACGGTATACTCACGAAGAGCACAACACGACCTAATGCACCCGGATTCACATCCTTTTCGCCCACGCTAGCGCGTCTGCTCACCGCACCGGAGAGAATAACCACAACACAGAGCGCAGGCGGTGGACAATTTCAGCAGCAAATTAATCCGGCACTGAATCTCTCAAAGTCCCACAGTGAGATCACAATAACGCCCGTTGTCAGTCAGACGAATCTGCAGCAGAGCTTAATGCAGCAGCAACAGCAGCAGCGCTTTGACAACTGCAACAACTCATCTGCCGTGCAGATTCGCATGAAGCAGGAGAATATCTTCAACATTGTGAGTGTGAATTTTGTGTTTTGATGTCCTTGAGGGACGAATTACACAACATTTGTGCCTTTGCAGGATGACGAGGCGGATGATTCGGCTGATCGATTGGTGATAGACGAGGGCGGCGACAGGAATTTGATGGAATCCGGCTCGGCGAAGGATCAGCAGATCAGTATGGTTGGTCAGGAGTTCCATGAGAACGAGGTGCCAGAGTGTCAGGGATGCAAGAAGCGCGAGGCGCAATTTGTGTGCGCTGGATGTGGCAATCAGTGGTACTGCAGTCGAGAATGTCAGGTAAATTGTGCAACACTATTGCAAAAGGAAGCAATTTGAGCTTCTCAATCTAATCTTCTTCTCTGCAGGTTTCCGCTTGGGACGAGCACTCGGAAGTGTGCACAGGCTGAGGGAGAAGTCAGTGATTGCGAGTGTGAATTGAGTGGAAAAAAGAGGCATCATTCCAAATATTATAATGATGCCAAAATGCCATTTATATATAACAATATATAATATTCTTACAAAAAAAAAACAGAGAAAGAAAGAGAAAAGAAATATTCCTTAAAGTTTTGTACTACTATTTTTACGCGCAAGGAGTTGATGAAAGAATATTTAAGTGAAATAGTAGAATGATTTATGAAGAGGATCATTTAAATTTTGACGATAGTTGCCAAACATATTTACTTTATTGTGGTCATAGATTGAGCGAGTGAAACTTTCTTATAATGTATTTACTATGATTGTAGTCTTAAAAATATTGTGTCCTCATTAGTTTTTTGCCTCTTAGAGTTCATTGTGTATTTGTGGGTTAGAATAATGTCTCTTAATATATATAAAGAAGAAGAAGAAGAAAAAACAACAAATCATAGGAATTCACACCAGAGAATTGTGAAAGCTATTATTTATTTAGCATTTTCATGAATCATATTAGTTTCTAAATACACACACGCGCATACCAGTCAATTTTTTTTTTTGATTATTAAGATGGAGAAAAATGATAAAAAAGTTTTGATGATAATATTCTTAAGGCATTTTAGGATATAAATTTGCAAGTGAAGGTTCACAATAAACAATTATTCTCACAAAATATTTAGAGATGAATTGTATTGTATTTTTGAGTTACTGTAATACAACATACATTGTATATTATATTACATATCCCAATTTATTAAATTATACGAATGGAAAAATACATTGCTTTGTGTTATATTTCCACTTGCTCTAGCTATACTCTAGACTAGAGCAGTTGTCGACATTGAAGTGTTCATCGAAGTTAAAGATGCCGGTGAAAAGTGATTATTCTGACGATTTTCATTATCTTGAATGTGAATTACAAATGTGATTATTATCACAACAGTCTTTGTTGTAAGTTTCCGAGCGAAAAATCTACTTCATCATCACGACAATTGCTGCAATTTCCAAGGGAAAGATATTATGATCAGAAGTGGAAGTGTTAGGAAGTGGTGTACAGATTTTAGTTATATTATCTTCCCTTTGGAAAAACCAATATGACTTTTATTGGCCTCATTAGATTGGATTCCAATTGAGTGAGCGGGGAATTTATTGAAAAAAAAGAAACTTAGTACAAATTGATCGCAATACTCGAGTGATAAGTAAAACGTATCAATTTATCTGTGACAAAGGAAGTCCTTTAATCGCAAAAGGTACTTCCAAAAATTACCGATAAATCTCTGATAAGGAAAAATACCCCGTTTATACAGGTGCCGCCGAGAAAATAACACACACACAACTTCCGAAACGCCTTTTTTCTCCACCCGTCAAAAGATGTTTAATCGATTTGTGTATAGTTAACTTTGTGGTGTTTTTTCCTCTTCCCCGCGTTTTTCCCACTCACACGCGGGCACGTTAATTACGATTTGGCAGATTCATTCAATATGGACTTGAGGTCGGTGATTTCGCGGCGCGGGAAAGCACCGTATGACTTGTGTGAAGGCATTTGGGAGTGCCTGTGTGGGTTATCTCGTCTGCGTATATAAACACAGCGCGTTGGAGCATTTGAGTTATTAGTGCTGAATTTGCTGTCGCGAAAGATTGAATTTCACGTTGCAAGGAAAAAGAAAGCAGAGGAGACATAAGAGATGGTGATAAAAATCAGTGAACACAACAAATGCTCAATGTCGCGTCAAGAGATAATTGGCAATAGGAAGGAATTCCGCATAGAGAAGAATGAGGCACATTTGCGCATCGTTGGCAACGATAACAGAGTTTACATTGGATTTAACACTGGTTTCGTGGACATCATCGGCAACTGCTCGAGGATTAAGGTGGCCAACAATGGTGGGAATGTTCAGTATACTGGCAATTGCGGACACATCAGTATTGGCTGTGAAAGTGCAAACACTCAAGTAAAATACACCGGAACTGGCGGGCGTCTTAAGTTGGTGAAGGAAGAATTGCTGCTGATGTCATCGAAGAGGAAATCCACAAAAACCACCCAAGCAGACAAAGAGCAGCAAGAAGATGAGCAGAAGAAGCGAGAAAAGCAGCAGAGTTTAAAGGCCAAAACCTCAAAAAATGACGATGTGAAAATCATTTCAAATTCCGGACACATTGTCATCAATAAGACAATCTTCTCGTAGACAAGATTAGCTCAAAACAATTTTATTTATTGTGTATGAATGATTAGATATTATAGTGCAATTCTTTGTGATATTTTCTTCACACAATTAAGTCGTTAATACAATTTATGGGAAGACTGAAATGTTCCTAAAAATTTTGGAGTAGCAATAAAGAGAAAAAAACGATCCTACAAAGTTGTGAAGAAGTTTTAATTTATTCATGTGAGCACAATTAAGCTTATAGACAAAAAGACTCTCTGAAGATGGTAAATTCATGCACAAGTCTCAATTATTTCTCTGGCGTAGAACCTTTGAGGCCGGCGATAAATTCTCCTTGCCGTCCATGAACAGACACTTGGGCGTCTTTGGTGTGCCACTTTGGACATTTCTCTCCCTGCGCGGTTTGTGTGGCGTCACTGGGGCGCTATTTGTTGTTGTATTCAAGTCAATGAGATCCTTCAACACATTTATAGTCACCTCCTGATCTTTTGTGACTGACTCCAGATGGCAAATCCTCTGCAAATGTAGAGAAAAGTGTTAAGATTATCAAGAAATCCATATGAAAAATGTATAAATACCTGCTTAAGAATCACGTTATCTTCTTTGTAGCACTCAAACCTCTTCTCTGGCATTGAATTCTGTGTTTCCGCCTCCAATTTCTCCACCTTCTTGACCATCTCGCCGAGTTGTTGACGCAAAATTCTGTTCTCATCCCCCTGATCTGCACAATTCCAGCTGGCAAAGTCATCGAGGAGACAAATTTGACGAGTCACCACCGGACTTGCCTCCTTCTGCAGCTCGTCAATCAACTCCTGAATCGCCTGGTTGGACTCCACACCTTCGGGCGCCTCGCGTGTGGGATCCGGAGTGGGATTTGGTGGCCTCAGACCACTCGATTTGCCGGCATGTCCATCCGACTCAGCCTCGAACTGTTGATACTTGAATTTGTACGTCATACTTTCGAGTTTTATCGTGCGATTCTCCTCCTCCAAGTCATACAGCTTCTGATCCTTGAGGTCTAACTCAATTCTCGCCAATTCGATGCCATCGGCGAACTCTTCGAGCAAATTCTTCATGTCCTTAATGTAGCTCTCGCGCATTTCATAGCGCTTCTTCAGATCACTGTACATCTCTGCATACTTGCTCGCGCCCTCGTCAATGCGATCCTGGAACAGCTTTCCCAGATTGTCCACCACGACCAGTGTCTCGGCCTCGGACGTCATCAGCTGCTCATAGAGCGCCTCGCGCGCCTTCATCTCCACCTCGAGAGCGACAGATGACTTGTGAAGTGCCTCGAGAGCACACCTCAGCTCCTCCTTCTCGTTCTCAGTGCGCAGAATTTGCTCCTTAAGACGCTCAATTTCGCAGTTCATCGATGACTTCTCCAAATTCAGCACCTCCACATCTGTGTCAGATCTCTTGAGGCGCTCCATCAAAATATTCACGGTGGATCGCGTGTTCTCCAGCGTCAATTGGTAGTTGTGCTTCTCTGTCATGAGCTTCTGGTACGCTTCCTGGGTCTTCTTAATCTCCACTTCACAGTCACGTCGCGCAATGGCATACGTATCGTCCTCCTCCTTCAGCAGATGCTCCAATTCGGTTATCCTCCTGTCCTTCTCCCGCATCAACTCATTAGCGTCATCCAAGAGCGTCTTGAGGTCTCTCTTCTCGTACTCCATCTGCAGAATCTCATTCTCGGCAATCTTCTGACACCGATCCAGCTCGGAGCGCCAAATGCTCGTCTCTCGTCCCACTGCCACCTCAATCTCCCGCTGGAGACCGCGAATCTTCTCCTGTGCCTGCAGGCCAGCAATGCGAATCTTCTCTTCGGCGGCTTCATTGATCTTGTCAATGTCCGTCAGCTTCTCTCTCTCCACCTCCGCCAGTTGCTCCACATGACTCTTCAATAGCTTCGCCCTCTCGAGCACCGCCACGGATTCCACCTCCTTCAGCCGCAAATCATGATTATCCAGCTCTATCTGGCAATCGCGCAGCTCCTCAGTCAGCTCGGCAATAATCTGCCTCGCCCTGGAAAACTCCTCCGTCAGCTGCTTCCCGTGATTCTGGGCTGAGGTCAATTCGCTGGATAACTTCTGGACTTCCTCCTTGTGGACAGCATTCTCGCGACGCAAATCCATTGCCTCGTCAATAAACTGCCCAATGCGAATCTCGCACTGCTCGAGAGACACTCTGAAAGACTCTGTCTCCAGCTGAAGAAACTGCACTGCCTCATCCTTCTCCTGGCAATCCAATTGCAACTGTTGATTGCTCCTTATCAACTCCCCAACGCCCATCTCGTAATCCCGTAGAATTATCGCTCGCTCCACTTCAAGCTCCTCAATCTTCTTCACTGATCCGTCGGCCACTTGCTGCAGCAACTTATTGGACATTTCCAGCTCATCAACTGTCTTCCTGAGCGCGCTGTTCTCGTCCAGAATGTCCTCATATTTGCTCTTCAGTGCCGCAACGAGATATTCGCATTCGATCAACTTATCGCACTTCTCCTTCAACTCCAGCGTGGCAATTTCAAGTGACTCCTTCTGCTTGATTGCAGGAGGCAAAGGTATTCCTCCGGCATTTGTCTTTACGGATGATGTTGACTTCTTGGGCGTAGACTCGGAATTCGTGCGGAATTTGAGACGACGCGGCAGTGACGGCTGAAAAGATGCGACAATATAATAAGTTGTTGCGACAATGGAAAGAAGGTGCTTTTCTCACCGTTCTGAAGAGACGATAAGCCGAGGATTTTGAACTCTTTGAGGCACTTTTCACAGAATCCAAATCCGATGCACTTCCAGATTTCTCATCCTTCTTGCTGGCTGAATTGTCGCGTTTCCCACCAAAAGGTGAGCTGAAGACTGCAAAAGAAGGAAGTGTAATTTAGTTGGACAATACGATAAAGCAGTAAATCTTCTTTGAAATCATATTCTGTTTTCAATTTTCAGACACAATACGCGTTCTGCAATGCATGATAGACGAATAATACTGATGTATTTCCCATTTATATACAACACATATGCGTGTATATCAAAGACTCGTTCAGAGAAAGGAAAAATAGGGGAGAACCGGTCCTTTTTCTTCGCCTTTACTTCGGTCACACATGATACTTTGCGCGGTAAATTGCAGCGTTATTAATTTGCATATGAGTCAATATCTACCTAATATCCTTTAATTAATTTTACTAAAAGGAACTTTACCTGCAATATCGTTGAATCTCTTCAGTTTTGCCTTTGGAAATGACATTTTTCTTTGCTTTTCTCGCTCTTCTTCACTCGCGCACTAATAGAAATATTATATTTAGGTGGAAAACACTATAAAAAAAAACTATTAAAACGCAAATAAAAGAAATAATTAACTTCAGCAATAACACTTTAAATTCACTCTCAACGGCACTGAACAATTATTGTGGTAACAAAATGCAGAAAAAAAGCAAATCAACGACACTTTAAACACACACACTTCGAGTCAACGAATGTGAGCAGACTGATGAGCTGGAGTTAAGAGTTCACAGCAGGAGCGTCGGTTTAATCTGAGGTGCGGAACAGCAATATCTCATGTCCCATTCTCCAGCTATTGTTCATTATTATATGGTTGCAAGGCAAACGGCGCAATAGAGTGTATAGGAATTATATAGAGGGAGACCGTTAAAAGTAAAGTTCATATCCTCTGGAACTCGATTTTGGTGTAATTGTAAATTTCTTGCGAGCCATGCAACATCTGCCGGTTACTCACAAAATTGTCGCCCAACCCTCTTTTCTTCAGCGACGCACACACACGGAAGGAAAGGCACAAGAGGTAATTCCTCCACTTCGTCGTCACCCTTGAGAAAAAGCGGCGATCGACTAACCGTGATACGAATGAGGGGAAGTTACAAGACATTACGATGGTTTGTACATAGAAAATATATAAGGTATGCATTAAAAGGCAAAAAAGGGATATTTAACTGTGACATTTAAATCACATTCACCAGAATAAGACTCTCATAATATCACATTAAATATGCCGATCGTTTGTTAATTGGTGAAGATTGACTTCAGGATCTTATCACGCATAAATTTACTCATTTGGCTTAATTAAGTATTGGCAGAATCACTGGCATTTTCGACTATTTGCGAGGAAAAAAAAGCACGTAAAGACGGGAAAACTGAAATGGTCGTTAATTCTGCTGAAATTGAATTCTTATTTGATGTGAAAAACTCTGTGCTTTCCTCCAAACGGTGCCCGAGATAGTATGAATCCGGGAAAAAAAGCTTCTCATCAGAGGTCTCTCAAATGCCCATCTAACTGCTAAACACCTTTATCTTCTTCTAACCTGCGAAATAAACATAAGGAAGCGAATAGAAGTGAGTGAGACGAGAAATCGCAGGGGAAGTGATGTTGACTAGTCGCACTGCTTTTCAAGCATGAGAGCTCTGAGGCAATGAAGTCGATGGATGAGCTCTCAGTTCTAGTCTAGTCCACTGTAGAGAAGCATCTTATCAAGTGTTGAGCCTTGTATAAGAATAGCTAAAAAGAGTGAGAAAAGTCTCAACTTGCAATCGTATAATTTTATTGCGAAATATCCCGCTTGTGACCTTTAATCGAACGATACGCGCGCATGAAAACATGGAAAATCACACCCGAGCACTATTCATCGTAGGCCGAATTTACCATGATAGATGTCGTTGAAAATTTTCCTCTGCATATATTGTGTAAGAATCGATTAGCTAATTTTTTTTTTTTGCTGCAAGTGCGAACGTGACTTGCGGAGAAAAGTCATTTTCTTCTCGGTGCATGAATGAACAGAATGATCTGCGAGAGCTGTATTTTGCCATTTTAGTGCAGAATTGAGGTGGTGATGTTTTAATTTACCTGTGAATTGATGGAAAAAGTTGCCCCTCTTTGGCCACCGAATTTTCACAACCCCTCGAGAGCGCCGCAAACACACCCCAGCGGCATATGCTGGAAATAGTGAGCATAAAAATTTCATGCTTTCTGAAGTGCCGAGGATTCGCAGTTAAATCATTTTTTTTTCCCTTCCTCTTGCCTCGAGGCCGAATATCAATTCTAGGATTTTCGCAGTGTGTGTCACAAAGAAAAGACATTTGGAAGAGGAAGTTTAATGTGATCAAAAATAAATTGATTATATCACAATGTGTAAATTAGTAATTGATAAGAGGATGAGCTTCCGTTACGTAATCTGTTGCACTGCAATTTAAAGAATTTACCCGCATGTTTGGGGGTGGGAAATGAAAAGAACGAAGGAAGTGGTTTCAATGGTCAAGTGACACTGTGGCTGAATTCCATGTGCAGATTCAATTGGTAGCAGAAATCTTTTGAATGCAGTAAAATAACCTCTTTTTGATGCCTTAAATTCAACAGTCTTGTCATCGCTCTATGTCTCTCATGCCTCTTCTAGGTCCGTGCCAGCAAATCACCGTGATTTCAGCGTAAAAAGCTTAAGTTTTAAATGTAAAAAAGGTGGTATTCGAGAGCACGTGAATGGCTCAATGTGAGTTATGCAATAATACAACGACTGCCACATTATTTGACTGCGACAGTGGCGACATCAATTGATGCTCCCCACTTACAGTGCGGTGCCTATGTTTGTGATCCCCACCATATCGACTGAGTTGGATGCCGGTGTAGGGCAAAAAGAGATAAATATCCGTGAGTGAGACGAAAATAGCCGGTTGCGGCTGGCAAGCGCGCTTCCAAGTGCCGGGTAGTGTGTGAAGAAGAGGGACACCAGTGAAGATAGCCAGTGAAGGAACAGCACAAATCCACCGTCGCAGGACGACAGCGGACAATCACATCAAGGAGGAAAACTCGAGGGATTTTCCACCAGGCGACAGAGAGTGTGTAGAGGAGTAAGATGGGAAAGAAGGGGACAAAGAAGAAGACCAAATGGCATTCGCTCCCAATGGAGGACACCGCCAGCACTCCACAGAGTGCAGTTACACATGGACTCCATCGAGGTATGCTAACATATAGTCCAACTGGCATATAAGAAAAAGTACAATTAGTTCCTTAAGTTCTCTCACATCCTATTCTTAACTTGAATAATTTGGAGATGGTGGTGTAAAAATAGCACCTGAAGTGAGGGAACATAGACTTCACATTTTCTCTCAACTTCCATTTTCAAGCGCGTTATGTAATTTTTCCACGTTTTTTCACTCGTTCTCCCAAAGATTCACCTCACAGTCTCTGTACTGTGGCTGAACCACATAGAAATTTTCAGTCAATTTGTAATTGAGAATTCAATTAATACATATATTCACGCTATGTAGACAAGAAAATACATAACACGACAACTTTTAGCGAGTCCTTCACCTTGTTATGATAGTTTGGGGTACGGGAAATCTATTTCTTATATCACCCATGTGCTTTTATATTATTTATAAATTCAAGTGTATCACGTTTGTGAAGCCACACATTCTCTCTCTCTGAAATTCTCTCTGTACTTTCATGTGACTAATCTTAACGAACTAAAGGTAAAAAGGCGAAATTATGAGAGGAGTTTGTTTGAAACAAAAATAGAACAAGAATTTCTTTTCTTTTTTTCTCTCAAACACTCGCATCAACATATTTTGGAGTCTCTCCGAATGCAGAGTCGCAAATTAGAGAATCATGATGAGCCACTGTGAAGAGATAAGGAGGAAAGAATTTGAGCATAGTAGATCAAAAATCACTTGTTTAGTTTACCAATTTGAACCGTAATGTTACATTTTGGAAGATGTTTCACATCTTATGCCAGTTACTAGTTGCACAAATATTTTCTCCCAACACTATATAGATAAAATGCTCCGCATAACTCTTCCATACATTGTGTTGGACAGATTTATTTTACTTTCTGAATGGGTGAAGAGGAAAAAATTGTCGTGAAGAAAATGTGTGTGTGTGACGATGTGAGACTTTATCAGTCATCGAGCTTCTTTCCTCCTTACCTCTGGGTCTCTGATGATAACGTGGCTTCTCACATTTTTGTGGTGCCATGCGGGATTTAGGATAGGATTATTATATAACTCACATGGAGGATTAGCCGATTTTGAGCGGGAAGAAATCGACCTCAATATAAGAAATTCACTTATCACACTCCTGATAACGCACTCCACGACTCTATCAAATTGCAATACACATATTAATAAATATATACTTTGGCATAGAAGGGGAGGTGAAAAAAAGAACGCATAAAAGCCGGATTACTTTGTCTCTCAATCCTAGACATTGCACATTAGAAGTTTGTTGCAAATAAACAGAACTTGCAGAATAAACAGCAAATATTCATGTGATATCTTTATAATCATGGAGAACTTTTTGACCTCTCCGACACTCAATCCTTAGTGTGTGGAATAGTATAGAACATTATCAATGATCACAAGCATTAATTTTATATATCTGCGCAAATGTGATACATTGTAGTGACATATTCGGAGCATTTAAGCTAGTGTGGATATTTTTAAGAAAACATTCGTCGAAGCATTATTTGTCAAGTGTGCGTCAATTCATTGCGCATGAGATGAGATTAAAATTATTGAGGTTATCAAATGTATTGGATGATTTTTTTTTCTATTAGGAAATACAGTTTTTGTATATGCAAAAGCCAGTGAAACAAAACGTTGTTTTTCAGACCAAACACTAGCGGGAAAGCCGTTCTCAGTGTGGCGTCTGCCACCTACTAAATCATCATCAGTATCGTCACTGATGTCCAACGAGACAAATGCGGATGGATCACACAAAGCACAGGCCGAGATATCAAGCAATACGCCGGCCAATGGGCACTGTAACAACAGTGATCATCTGTCTCGTGCGCCGAATCATCGCAGACGCAATTATCAGGCGAATTCCTATCACGGTGCTGGAAGGCACGTCGGCCACAGAGCATCATACTTTGCCAACAACAGCAAAAGCGCGTATTCTAAGCCAACATTCAATGAAGGTATGGAAGTTGGGGGAAGATTTTGGATCTGTGAGGAAGTCAAGATGGTGTTTCTTGCAGATGAATACACGCGAATAACCACACCGCGTCAGGATGTGCTCTTCAAGAAGGGATACTTGACGCGCCCCAAGAACAACATGTCGTCAATTGCAACAAATGACTCAATCGCCACTCCGTCGTCTTCAGGAACAGTCAGTGTCAACTCCATGGACGATTCCGCCACACCGAGCACACAATCCGTCAGTCCGGAGCATTGCAACAGTGTGTCAGAGGCGTCAGAAGGAGAATATCCTTCGATTGTCTATCCGGGATTTTTGGATCAAAATGGAATTTTATACGTCAACCGTGAGTTGAACACTTTTCAGCGCCGTATTTCTCTTCTGGAATTTCCTAACGCTTTGTGTGATTAATTTCAGCCTTCCCAACCTTTGATCCTTACGTGAATGGCCAAATCATGATGATGCCGTACGCTGTGAACAATATGGGGTCAATGGACTTGTACAGCGCACCAATGACCCCTTATGATGCTCCCTGCTCATCTGTTGACTCTCAAATAGTATGTTGAAAAGATGTGTATATTGCGAAACCACTTGATTGTTGCTAATTCATTGTTCAATGCCAGACCTCACCGGACACTGCAAGTCTGCACAATGAGGAAATAGGAGCAGAAGCACCACAAGTTGCCGATGACAGCAATGATGCGGCGGCAACGGCGGCGGCGGCGGCGGCAGAGGGTGAAGATGGAGCCAGAGGCTCTCATCTCAATCCCGATTCGATTAACTTCTATCCACAATTGCTCCCACCTTTCCCCCAACCACCGAATGCCTTCTTCTACACTCCCTATCTAATTGACTCTCCACCGATGATGCCCATCTGCGATGATCCCTGCGACCAGGTTCAGGACGAGAGGATGAAGAGAGATGGAGTGGATGAAAATTTGTCTGGCGTGAGTATTTTGACGATAATCTTGCAAATCTGATTCAAACACTGTTTTCTTCCATCATTTGAAGCTCACGTCTGAGGATGAGGAGGAGACGTACAACGAAGGGAAAGTCGCAGATCATCAGATTCCACCTGAATCCCAAACTGACATTGAGGATCACCAAGAAATTCACAAAACACTGCGAATACCACAAGAGAGTGTGGTGAAGAGTACATTAAATGTGGAGGTGAAGGAGTTTCATCCGAGAAAATACAGCAGTATAAATCAGTGTGAGGATGATAAGAAGGAGATTGAGACGAGTGAAAATGCAAAGGATAAGAAGATTGGCAAGAAAGAGAGCGCGAACAAGAAGAGGCAACAAAATCAACCGTACAGTCAACTGGTGAACAACAGAAAACTGCTTCAGGAAGCCACAAAGTCTATTCAGGAACAAAATATTGATCTGCTGAAGAATAACTCCGCCGCTCATGCCAACTCAGCGGCGGCCGGAGAGACCAAGTGGCAGACTATTGTCAAGCCACGAGGCAGGAAGGGCAGATCGGTGGCGATTGAAGATGAGGAGGGCGATGAAGATTGCCCTGGTGATCTGGAAAAGACAGATGGGCAGGACGAAGTGGAGAATACAGTGAAATCCTCTGACACGCCCGTGCAGTTGTCTCCAATGCATGGCAAGAGCTCAAATAAGAAATCATCCAAAGGCAAGAAAAAGCTGGTATCGAAGAAGAACAAGAAGCAGAGGAATTGCGCGGGTTTTGAAGTGATTGAGCCAGATTTTGGGCGCATTGTCCACAATAAAAAGACTGAAATAACTCACCTGATCGAGAATGAGCAAGAAGAGGATTCAGATGTTGATGAAATTGGTGCTAATGTTAATGAGAAAGACAGTGAAGTATTGGAAGACAATGTTATTGATGTTTGTAACGATGAAGAGTGTCGTGAGCTCGAGTCTGAGCTGCTGCACATCGAGAGCATATTGATGTTAAAGGAGGAAGAGGAGGAGGAAATTGAGGAATCAGGTGATTGTGAAATTCTATGTGACGCAATGGCAATATCCGCAGAGTGTGAAGAAGTGGCAGAAGATGCTCATTCTCAGATTTGTGATGATGACGAGAAGACAGAGGAGAATCCATGTGAGGTTGCAATTGAGTATTCTGGAGGTGAAATATTGTGCGATGATCATCACACAGAGAGCGCCGAAGATGGGGCGCTTGAGGAGTCGCAGGAGGCAGAAGGAGCAGGTGAAGAAGAGGTGCAAGAGGATTGTGGGGCAGAGAAGGTATCTCTCCTTGATATTGTCACTCAGTGGCTGGATGAGAAGTATCGCACGAATTGCACAGACGATCTCTTCAGATTGCCGGACAATCCTGCTGTTCTGCAGCGACTCTACGAGACCACCTTGGGCGACATGGGCAGCAGAAGCAGCAGCAGCGAGAGTGACTCCGAAGAGGACACGTGCTTGTTTGACTTGTCCGCCCAGTCGCCTGGTCAGCTGAAGAATCAGGTGAGTCTCTCGGAGGATGACTCAATTGACACGGACAGTGACTATCAGAGCGATGGTCAGGCGAAGAATAAGCGAATGACATCGATTTCATCATCAGAATCGCTTTCACTTGGACAACAATCGCGTGCTGGAGAGGATTCTCAGCCCAAAGAGAAAGTGACAGAAGAACTGATAAAAGGATCTCCAACATTAACAGTAACCTCGATAAATTCACTTAATTGTAGCAACTCTGCCATTAGTGATAGTACACACGATACGACGCTTCACGATAAACCATACACTAAGTCACCCGTTTTGTGCATTCTTATGTAAAGATAAAGATTCACTAAATCTGCATAATAATTAAACAATTAGTTATTAGTCATGTTGAAAAAGGCAAATATAAGTGGTTAAGAGAAACCAAAAATAAAATTCAAAATCGTGAATAGGCATAAACAATAAATATAGGAAGAAGTTTGGCGGCAATAATAACAATCTATTCAGCGAAAACGAGATATCTTTAAAACATTTTGTTAATTATATTTAGCCAAAAAAAAAAGTGTAATCCTATATTTTCCCGCGCTTTCTCAAGCCATATATACATATAGAGAGTTTATCCCATTTTCGGAATTTCAACAACTCGATAAACTTAATATATTTACCATCTTATCGTATAGGAAAGCCAACTGGATTAATATAGGATGAAATCATCCTTTCACATTAAGTGCTACTAGCTTTTAAGGAGAATATTGAAGTGAAAATTAATTGTTACAGAAATCAAATGACATTTTAAATACATCTTTAAATGAAAAAAAAATACCACATGATGTACGTTAAAAGGGTGTTCTTTTCTTGGCGACAAAAACATTTCGCAATCGCAATCTCAATTTGAATGGCAGCCTTTTGCCGCGCTTCAATTTAAATGCTACACTAGCGCCATTTCTTCAGCAAACTTGTTATACTCGCTGTGGTGAATATATTTGCCGATGTCACTTCAGGCGGCGCGGTGTGCGGAATATCAACAACAATTGCAGTTTCGGTCTGAACAAGAGGAACAAGGCGACTTGGAGGAGATGAAGTGAGTTCAGTAGCTGTTGTCATCCCGGGAAAGGCTCAAAGGATGTGATTTCTTTGATAGGTTGAGCATAGACGGACTCCTTGTGTATTTCCCATATGAGTACATCTACCCAGAGCAGTATGCCTATATGCTGGAGCTCAAGAGGACACTGGATGCAAAGGGGCACTGTCTCCTGGAAATGCCTTCCGGTACAGGCAAGACTGTCACCATTCTCGCCCTTGTGGTCGCCTACATGCTGGAGAATCCCCACAAGATCCGGAAGCTGGTCTACTGTTCGCGAACGGTGCCAGAAATTGAGAAAGTCATGGCAGAATTGAAGCAACTTGTGAAATACTACGAAGAGCATGCCATTGAGGAGTCTAACATTCTCGGCATTGTGCTGAGTTCGCGTAAAAACACTTGCATCCACTCAGAGATTAGTCGCGAGCGCGAGGGAAAGATTGTCGACGCCAGATGCTATGGATTGACCGCGAGTTACGTTCGCGAAAGGAGGAAGTATGACGACTCCATTCCCTCGTGTCAATACTACGAGGGATGGGACATGGAGGGGAAGGAGTCACACATTCCCACGGGAATTTATGCCCTGGATGATCTCAAGGAGTTTGGCAGACAGCGCAATTGGTGTCCCTACTTCATGGCCAGATATCTAGTCAGTTAATTGCACATTTCTCCTAGAAAAAAAAACACTTCTGACGCTCTCCTCTTTGTAGATAATGCACGCGCAAATAGTCGTCTACAGCTACCATTATTTGCTAGATCCGAAGATAGCTGAGATTGTCTCCAAGGAGATCCCCAAGGAAGCCGTCATCATCTTCGATGAGGCCCACAATATTGATAATGTGTGCATCGATTCGATGAGCGTGAAAATCAATCGCCGAACCATCGAGAGAGGAACAAATGGTCTCAACACATTGGAGAAGACAATAAGCAGCATTAAGGAGACCGATGTGAAGCGTCTCACGAGTGAATATCAGAAACTCGTGCAGGGACTGAAGGAGACTACAGAAGCGCGCGAGAACGATCAGATGTTGGCCAATCCTGTTCTGCCGGATGAGATTCTGCATGAAGCAATCCCAGGAAATATACGAACAGCCGATCACTTTATCGGCTTCCTGAAGCGCTTCGTTGAGTATCTGAAGACGCGATTGCGTGTTCAGCATGTGGTACAGGAGTCATCGGCTGGCTTTCTCAAGGATTGCCAAACGAAAGTGTGCATCGAGCGGAAACCGCTGAGATTCTGTGCAGAACGTCTGGCATCATTGCTGAGAACACTTGAGATTACAGACATGACGGAATTCGGAGGACTTATTGTGGTGCGAAGAGATTTCAATCACAAACCTCTCTGCAGATTAATGCCAATTTCTTCTCTTTTTCACAGATAACACACTTCGCCACTCTCGTGTCAACGTACACAAAAGGCTTTACTATAATCATTGAGCCATTTGATGACAAAACACCAACAGTTTCCAATCCCATTCTCCACTTCAGTTGTCTGGACTCATCAATAGCCGTTCGACCGATCTTTAATCGCTTCCAAAGTGTCGTCATCACATCTGGAACACTGTCGCCCATGGATATGTATCCGAAGATCCTCGACTTCGATCCGGTCATCATGAGCTCCTTCACAATGACCCTCGCTCGTCCCTGTCTTCTGCCCATGATCGTGTCCAAGGGCAACGATCAGGTTGCCATCTCGTCCAAGTTTGAGACGCGTGAAGACTCGGCAGTGATCAGGAATTACGGGCAGTTGCTCGTGGAGACGGCCAAGACCGTTCCGGATGGCATTGTGTGCTTCTTCACGTCGTACTTGTATCTGGAGTCCGTGGTGGCGGCGTGGTATGATCAGGGCATTGTGGACACTCTGCTGAGGCACAAGTTGCTCTTCATCGAGACACAGGACAGCGCTGAGACGTCTTATGCCCTCATGAACTATGTGAAGGCGTGTGAGTGCGGACGCGGTGCTGTTCTTCTGGCTGTGGCCAGAGGAAGAGTGTCAGAAGGAGTGGATTTCGATCATCATTTGGGTGAGGAACTTCTTCTACTTCTTATAAAAGAGAGTTTTTTGAGGTATAATTGACCGGTTAACTCTTTCAGGCCGCGCTGTCCTCATGTTCGGCATTCCCTATGTGTACACCCAATCGCGCATCCTCAAGGCGCGCCTCGACTATCTGCGCGATCAGTTCCAGATACGCGAGAATGACTTCCTCACATTTGACGCCCTTCGACATGCAGCGCAGTGTGTTGGTCGAGCCATTCGCGGGAAGACGGATTACGGCATAATGGTGTTCGCTGACAAGAGATTCTCGCGCCAGGACAAGCGTGGAAAGCTGCCCAAGTGGATTCAGCAGCATCTCACCGACAATTACTGCAATCTGAGCACAGAGGAGGCAATGCAACTGGCCAAGCGCTGGCTCCACATTATGGCGCAGCCCTTCACCAGAGAAGATCAATTGGGCGTCTCTCTGCTGACGCTGGAGCAGCTGGAGAACACGAAGAAGGAGAAACTGGAGCAACAGGCGCAAGGCGACGCCATGGATGTCTCTTGAACCTCTGTGTTGTGTGTTCTCTGTCTATTTTCCATGAAGCGAAGTGAAAATACAGCCATTAAGCGTGCGAGAAAAACATGTGACAATTCTCTTCATCAAGCGCAACACAATGGAGAGGAGCAGTAAAAGGGTTTTCAAGAGAGGTAATGCTGCTATAAACTCATATTCCACGTGCAAATATTTGAATGATAAATTAGCATTTCTCTTTTCGTCGCTCATTTTTTTCTCTCTTCTTTTCCACCACCAAAGCCCAAACAGCAAAACTCTATTGATTGCGCACTTTAAGTTCACTTTCTTCACTTTAAAGTTATTTGGTGCGAACTTTTACAATCATAATTTTCTTCTTTCGTTTCTGTTCAGCCTCTCTTTGGCCAGTATCTTCTGTTAAAAGTCAAGAGAGTAAAACGAGAGATGAAAAAAAACACACTTTGCTTATTAAACACACATCACTTATAGAAATTACGTGTATTGCGATCGTTAAAAGAGATCTTCATGATCGCGTTTCAATTTTACCACCACATTTTTTCGCATCTTCAGATCAATCTGAGTGGAAAATTGAGGAGGAGAGTGCAATTCAAGTACCAATTCAATCAATTGCTATGGTTGGCAATTAAAACTAACGAAAAAAGGAATCATTTGAAAAGTGTTCCATTCTTTATAGCGATTCTGATTGGCAATTTATGCATTTCAGAATTGTCTTTCCGCATTTAAGCAGTGCCTTAAATGTGAAGAATCTCATCTTTTCTACCGCTCCTGGAAGTCTATTAAATTGAGACTCTGCTTAAGAAGGGTTTTCTTGAAATATGGAGCAAAGATGAAAAAGTACACCTTGAGATAATTTATGTTTCAAATTCCACTACGCATCGCATTATATTTATTGATGAGTGGGTAAAAATGCATCAACATAAAAATATTTTACTCTCAATTGAATCGATGAACAATCTCTAAATTCCTGCTTGATTGAAAGAAAGAAAGAAAAAAAACAAGCACCTGAGACGATTTCATAGATATGCTCGCTTGTACAAAAATCAAACCAATAATAGCCGATGATGTTCGTTGTGTGTAAGAAAGTGCAGATCATCGAAGATATTTTCATTTTAATCCATCACGGATTGATGGAGGTGTAATGCAAATTTCGTGCAATAATATTTATTTTTTCCACACTTATATGTGTGTGTGTGTGTGTGAGAAATGGTGAATAATAATTGAAAACTGCAATTATTGCATTTTTAAGCTCCAATTCATACCAATTTTTGCATCTCACTCGACTCATATAATTTGCTCCACATTTATGATCCATCCCATTCTTATAGACATCTCATCTTCGTGTATTTTTCTTTCAGCTCATCTTTCTCTCCTCTATCTTGCTCTCCCTCTTCTGCACACTTGAGGGCCCCGTTTTTGCTCTCTTCCCAACCCATTCAATCCAATCCACACACAACACAACCAACAACAAATGAGAAATTTTTGCATCGCGTTGTCTACACAATTTTTCAGTTCATTTTGAGCTTTCCGCGCTGAAAGACGAAATTTCGAAGAACACCTTCTCTTTGTAACTGTCGAAGCCCAGTTTCTCCTCTTTCTCGCTCTCGCCCAATTGAGTTTTGTGCATCGCCAAAGATGACTCTTTTACGACACCCAAAATTTATCACCTAAAAAAGAAAAAAAACAGTGTCCCACTAAAGTCAATAGTGTCATGGATGTGAGTGGATTATAGGAAAACGGGGAGAGAGAAAGGACACTGCCTTGGAACATTGGATACACGCAGGAGAGAAAGGAAGAATGTGGATAGAACAGGGAGAGAATCAGCAAAAGTGGAAGAGAATTTGAGAGAATCTTTTCGCCTCCCTCACCGCAATTCATCACATTGTTCTTGTTTGCAAACGCTGCACTCTTATTTATAGATGAGAAGAAGAAGGAAAAAAGCGACAAACTCTCAACAGACTAAAGGAGAATAAGCATTCCTTGTGCATTGGTGGTGTGAGTGTTTGTGTGAAAAAATAATTTCGAGAGACAGCACAAATGTGGTATAGGATTTTTTTCCATATGAGGGGCCACTCATTGGCAGAGGAAATTGATTCTTGATTTCATTTTCCTCACTCTCGCGAATCACGTAATAGTAAATTTTTATAACACAGACAGAACTTATCGGAATTCATTTTGCAAGAAGAAAGAAAGAAAAAAAACACACACAAATTGGCTATATTATTTCTGTTACACGCAAAGAAGTGAGGTAATTGAAATTGGGTAGAAAATTTTGCCACTGCAGAGAATTTGTCTGTGCAAATGATGAGCCCCGCGCCTAAGAATACCAAATATCTCATACAGATTTAACAACTTCAACCGGTTTCCTCAGCCAGAGAGACACACTCCATCTCCAGAGCCACACAAGACAAATCCACCAGCAAAGCTGTACAAGAGGCAAAGTGGAGGAGAGCCAAGAGACTTATAGGAAAAGAAGTGGTGAAAAAAGACAAGGAAAGAGAGAGAGAGAGAGAGAGATAATAGCAAAAGTGGAGTTCACGCTCGTGATCGCAATCAGCTTATTCTTCCCTAGTTTAGTATGGCTCGTCAGCCAGCCAAGTCGGCGATTCCCCTCGTGCTGGCGACACTCTCGGCACTTCTCAGGCTCGTCACATCGTCAGACTACTACTCCGTGTCTGTGGACAGTGACATCAACACAGTACATAGTGGTTATCCTAAATTCGGTGATCGCATCTCGCCGCGACATCGGTACAGTGCTGAAGAACGGACAGGTATCACGAGTGTGTCCAGTGGCAGTAGTGCAAAAGACAGCCAGCGCAACATTACGCATCTCCATCGGCTGACGGAGAACGACGTGGAGCGCAAGAGTGACGAATTCACCAATGAGATCGATCCCATCTTCAGTGATAATCAATTTGAGAGCAATGTGTCGTCCGCCCAGGCGCATCGGCTGGAGATGTCCACGGAGTTCTTCGTCGTGCCGCCAACAGTGGCGTCCACGAGCCGTTATCCGCCCGTGCGATCATCGCCATCCTTCGGCGGCATGATCCTCACGGCCAAAACGTCGTCAGAGCCATCCGCCGGCATCACGCCGCCCACGATCATTCCCACCCACAGCATGGGTCTGCGCAAGGAGCCCTGGGTCGTGCCTGTGCTGATCCTCTCCTCCCTGGCGATGATCATGATGGTGGCCTTCGAGATCTTCGTGCTGTGCAAAGTGTGGCGCACGTCTCCGAGTCGCCGTCACCTCTTCCTCGGCCAGATGCTTCTGCTGGGCCTCTTCGCCTGCGCCGGCCTCGCGGCGATCATCACCTCCACACCTACTGTTGTGTCCTGCGCCATCGTGCGCTTCGGCTCGGGCGTGGCGTTCGCCCTGGTCTTCGCCTCGCTCCTGGTCAAGTGTGTCTTCCTCATCAGTCTCAACGGCGGCGTGTACCTGCCGGCACCCTACCAGGGACTCCTGCTCCTCTTCGCCGTGCTCATCCAGGTGGCCGTGAGCGCGCAGTGGCTCCTCACGTCCCCACCGGAAGTCACTGCGTCCGCCATCAATCGCTACGCCAACACGCCAGTGCAACAATCCGTGCACCTCTGCCGCACGCCCTTCTCCGAGCACCTGCTCTCCCTCATCTATGTCGTCTTCCTCATCCTGTTCGTGGCCGTGCTGGCCATCAAGTCGCGCGGCATCCGCGACAACTACCGCGAGGCAACATACATCGGCCTAGCGATCGGCGGCAGCATTCCCATTTGGCTGGGCTGGACACTGTGCGGACTCGCCGTGGCCGAACGCCATCGCGACGCGTGTCTGGCGTTCGGACTCATCGCCACGTCCGCCACGGTCTTCCTCGTCATGTTCATGCCAAAGGGACGCCAGCTGGCCGCCATGGGCAAGGAGGGACTGTACATGGAGGACCGCGAGGAGCGATGCAGCTCGCTCAGTCGCACAGCGTCAGGATATTCGCCGTCTTTCTTTCACTTCAAGCCCATCAAGTACGGCGTGATGGGAAACAATTCAGGGAACAACACTGCGACGCCCGATGGCGGAAGGTCTGCCGGGGGCAGTAATCAGAATTCCAAGCACCAAGTCATCGCAACATTAGGAGGAGGTAAGAAAGTGACCATTTCTCTGCTGCCTCAAAGGGAATCATGCATGATAATCAAACTAATGTGCCCAATATAAATACAATATGCTCATAACATTCATGTTATGAACACTCAGATAAACGTGCGAATTGTATAATAACACTCTCATGCTTCTTTTTTGCTCTTACAATGTTTCCTTCACTTCTAACTCCGGCATAGAAGCATGTGCATGTCTGTCTTTATGTACACATATGCATAATTTTTATTTTTCACATCATTTAGTCACAATTTCACTTTTCTACGCTCCGTTTCATGAACTAATTGCGAGAAATTTTCAAATGTATTTCATATTTGCTATGCAAAATTGAATAGAGATTAAAAGGGAGGAGAACTAATAGAGTCAAGTTGTTATCCTTTGATAATTTATCGAGTTTTTTTCGTGATGTACAAAGACGAATTTTAATACTTCATATTTTCTTCACGCCGTGAGTGCGTTTTAGCTGTCTAACGGCAACAAGCACATCTTTAAAATAAAATTATTACGGTGCCTTCGTACATTATGTATCTATGCATACATACAATGCCAATTGTTGATGTTGTGCCTTTACACTTTTCGTAAATACCACGCATATTCCGGCGTGATTGTGGTGAAAATAAAAAGAAGTTTGTATCATCAGATGAAATTACACCAAAAATCGCCCATATAAAACTTTCATTTGCAATTTATAAACGGTACTTAGGAGAGATGAAAAATTAATTTATACAAACAGCGCCTCACAGAAGTCTAATAAGATAATTTGGACATTGCGAGGTAGAAAAATTATGGACAAATTGATGAGAAAATGACTTTTGCTACTGCGCTTATCACTTCTTTCGCTCCTCCATATGTTGTATATAATACCTCCTTTTGCACATTGTTAAAATGCCTACAATACACACAGCATTTATTGCTTGGTAGAGAGAAGAAAAAAAAAGATTATGTTATTACTATTTCTCCATTGAACGAACAAAAAATCACACGATTGCATTTATAGTTTCTTTCTTTCTTTCTTTTTTCTTCACTATCTCCTATTTTGCTATTTTCATTCGAGCCATATGGGAAATGAAAGTCTCTCTCTCTTTTCCTCTAGTAAATGGGTGAAAAAAAAAGAGTTTATAAAGTGAGGAAAAATGCCTTTGATGCTAACTTTACTTCCACTTAATTTGCAGCAATTAGTCAAAAATTCTCATTTTGAAGTTGAAATTAACAATGTGTTGCGCTTTAGTTGATCTGTTGAAAGCTGTGTTGTTGTTTTTGTTTGGTTGAGAAGGAGCAGAAGAAGAAGGAGAGAAAACCTTGTTCATGTGTTTAATTATGGATCAATCTAACTCTGGTTCCAGACGCCGATATGAATTATCGCATGTATGATTACTTTCGAGCACACTTGACTTATCCCTTTTGTTACTATCTTCCCATCGCAACACAAATTCCACCACAAATTCTTCCACTTCACCAATATAATCACAGTTGGTATCCAGGTGCAGGTGGGTACATTGACAGACATCAATAATTCTGTTACTGATATTGAAGAATGATGCAAGAATTTGCAGTCATGCTCAGCGCAAGTCAGCACAATTTGAGGGAGGAGAAAATGTGGTTAAACCCACGGAAATTTCCCCACCTTCTGGCATTATCTTTAATTTGAGTTTCTATAATTTATTCAATGAATTTGATCTGAAAATGAATTTGATTGTAAAATCCAAGGGGTTACTAAGTATAGATTTTGGATGTCAAGCGTTTCGACGTTTCGAAGAAAGTTCCGTTGAAGATTTAGATTCTTAATAATTTTTGCTGAGGAAATACATTTTCAGCGACTGAAAGCGACCAAAAGCCAAATATTCGAAGACACAAAACAAAATCTGTAATGAATACAAAAAATTGAAAGAAAAACAGTGGGAAAAACGTATTTTTTAAGTAGAAAAAATGAATTTGTGATTAAGATTGAAGTGAATTTTTTAATATCAAACCGTAAATATCCATTTAAAGATTAAGTATTTAATCAATGTTGTCTATTCATTGGTGATTGTAAGCTTTTCATCTGAGAAATTCACGTTTTGCCCTTTAAAAATTATACACAATCATTTTATAAATACATTTTGAAGAGGAAACGTTTTATTGGAAGTTGATTTTGCATCTCAAGCCAAAGTGACACTGAATCTCCAATATTGGCAGCCCCTTGGGAAAATCAGTCACATCAATTACATGAGTTTTGACCGAAATATCTCCTCCTTGTGTCAATTAAATAACCTCCAATTGTGCTGACTATGATTGTACATGTGCATCCAGAAGTGTATGTATGTTTATGTTTGGTGGATTTTCTGGAATTAATCAATCAAATAGCAAATTACACTTTAAGCCAAATTCCGCTGAATCAATTTATCAAAATTCTCGCAAAATTCCTCCCAAATGCATGAAACACACAATCCCAAAATTCACCTCCGTCGCATTTGCAAAATTCCTCTCTGCATTTCCCGTAAATTTTTCGTTTTACTTTGATGCATATGTGATTTTTTTCAATTGGAATTTTAGGACTCTTTATGCGTCCCGATGATGCTAATGTCTACACAACATTGGAACAGACTCTCAGTAGCAATCCGAATGTGTATTTTCAAAGAAGCGGAGGAGTTCATCCTGGAATGATGTACTGAGAAGATGAAAAGAAAAACTTCTACTCTCTCAAGCGCGATTCCAAGCAATTTTCGACGAAAGAAAACACACACACACACATACACACACACACTTGATATAATAATTGTATCATGACTGAGAAGCTATTCATTTTGTTGCCTTACAAACGAACGAATAGACAACCGTAATTAGTATTTTTCTCTCTTTTGTAAGCTCCAAGTGAAGCATACACTAAAAAAAAAATGTGTTATTACTCTAAGAAAGTTACACTTTTTTATATGTCTCCCAATGTATAAATAAATATAATTACAGAAAAGATTCAAATCTATGTATTTTCATTGAGTGTGAAGCACAAATGGTTGTGAGTTATGTGTGGTGTACATAGCGAGGGTATGTATGGTGATTATATAGTGTCATGAGGAAGTGAGTTGTGCATTTTTTAATACGCCAATTCACTGTGGGCAAAAAGCACCAGTGAACAGGAACTTTTGACATATATTGAGGAAGAAATGGGTATTTATTTGTGTGTGTGTAGTTTAAATTGTGGAAGAGATAAAATAAAAATGCTCAGTTATGGATATAATTTATTCCTTTATTTACTCATTACTTTTTTTTTGTATGTCTTATAGAAATTTGCCTATTAAGAGATTATTTTTACATGACATACACATATATTCAAATAAGTGGGGAGCAAAACAACTGACTACTGGCTACATATTTTCATTTCTCTCTTACAAGGGATACATTACTATGTATTTTGGGTTACATCATATCCGAGAATTACACTTTGACTTCAGTTCATGTTGATGATAGTGGCAAATTCTTCCATTTTTTTTTTACATACACACAAAATAAACAAGCAAAAGAGAATTGCAGTCAACAAAAATATAATAATAAAATGGCTCAATAAGCTGGAGAAACTAAACAAATCTGTTCATCATCACAGTTCTACCGGAAAAAAAATATACAATATATAATGTATTTATGTAATAAAAAGCAGGTCTTCATAATTCTTGCACTGAACCCTTATTACTTCATTCGATCTGTGTCTTTCCCCGTTGTTTAAGATCTTTGTAAGAATTTTACACTGGATTCGACAGTCAGACGACACAAAAAGATTTCTTGGAAATTCTATATAATAATGCATTTCTTACAATGGTTTTCATTTTTGCTAAAATACACCGCGCGCGCTCTTCTCATTTTTTGTTTTGTTTGTTTTTTCTCGACAAATTTTGCAAATTCCTAAAATTTCAAAAGAAAGACGAGTCTTGAGAAAAATCATGACTAAAATCCCATTAAAAATATCCTCCAACATTGACTATTTCAGCAGATAAATTTCTTACCTAAAACGTTTCAACTCAAATTATGCGTATCACGTTAGACGGAGCATAAAAATTTTGGTGTATTTTCTGCCTTCTCTCATTCTTAAATCCGTTAATTTATGTTCATATACACACTTATGCTTAAATCATATTTTTCTCTTCCTTTCTTTCCTTTTTTTTTGGTAATCTATTCTTGTAATTTTAATAAGTTATTCAACATCAATTGTCATCAATTACTTCCAATATTTCCGTACATATAATTTCATCATGTTTCATCCTTAAGTGTCTAAATATTTGCCTAGTTAGTGTCAGGATCCAAATCCAAAGTGTTGATAACACATTTTAATTAGTAACAAATGAAGTAAAAGAAATATACATATTCCACTCCGAATTCATTGCGAATTTCGCCCATCTGTGACTTTCAACATTATCATTGGATTACTCTTTTTCTTTTTTCTTTTTTAGTAAATTGCAATCGAAATTATCACAAAATATCTATATAAGATTACAATGTAGACTTCATAATATAATTCAACTGTCTTTGGATTTAACAATTTCTTCTTTTTTTTCTCTCTCTCTTCCTCTCGTGTGTGTTTGTTTTCTCTTTTAGCACTTCAAATAAAAGATTATAATGTATGAATAAATATATAGAGAAGATATTAGAGATTGCATACATATGTATAAGTATATATCAAGTTTAGCTAGGTCACTAAAATACATACACACGCGCGCATCGCCTTCACTTGGGATGCGGAGGATTGCCAAACGGTGGATTCATCGCCGCACCCTCGCCTCCATGGTAGAGAGTATCATAGAGATAGGGAGGAACACTGTGACCTTTATTTGTGGCGGGCTCAGTCGGAGCCCTCGACTGTCACTCTCCCGCTATTGTCACTGTCGTCCACTGCCACGGACTTATGTATCCTCCGCCCTTCTGCGGGTTGAAGTTGTTCAAGTCCCTGCGGCGCAAGAGAACGACACTTAAGTCACGCACAATCCCCAATAATAATGGGAGATAAAAATGTGAAAAATCATGCACAGAGATTTCTAAAATTAACCAACCAGTGACCTAAAATCAACTCCCTACGAAGACTGACAGAATATTTCATAATAGAATGAAAAATCAATCCATTTTTGACTGCAATATAATGCTTAAATTTAATTTATCACATCAAATATTGAAATGATTCATTTTCAAGAACAATTTTAAAATAATCAAAATTTTAATGCCCCGGAAAATATTTGAATAAATCAAATTTTCTTTTATAATTTTCTGAATATTTAATAAAAAATTAAATATATTTGATGCCTTTTCACAAAATTAATAGCTTGAAATCGCAGGTGACTTTCTTCTTGATTATGAAACACTATAAAGTCCTTTAATGAGATCCTTTTTTATTCCCAGGGAGCGTAAGAAATATGTTAGTAAAATCCAATCATAGAGACTGACCTGCCAAATAATGGGTGCCAGAGTGAAGAATTGGCGTCGGGGCCGTCATCTGACATGCTCGTGGTGCTGCCAACCTCCGCGAGGTCGTCAGTGGCCAGAAGACGCCTCTGCATGGCGGCCGGATCGAGGAGATGCTGTCCCGACTTCACCTTCAGCTTGGGTTGCGGCACTGGTTGATGGCTGGCCGTGGCCGTGGCGTGCACCTGCTTTGATTTGTCCTCCTGCCCGTAGCCGCCGTGCGACGATGGATTAAGGAGATTGAGGAGTGACTGATATGACGCACTCTTCGCCCGCGCCTCCTGATAATTCTGATACTTCTGCCGTGACAGTCTCTCATCCTCCTTCGCCTTCTGCATCGCGTGTTGGCTCATCTGCTCGAATTCACTCTTGCTGAATGCTGCCGGCGGGAAGTGTGGCGAGAAGTTGTTCAGCTGTGGGGACTGCGGATGACTCTTCTTGCTGCCGCCTTGGGCAGCGGCGGCGTGGGGGTGAGCGAAGGGTGGCACGGAGCCGCCCTTTATGTGACACCCGCCGCGCGGCGAGTACGCTGGACCGGCGGCAACAGCGCCGGCGGCGGGAAAGGGTGAACTGGGGCTCTTCTGCAGACCCATGTTCTGCTGCTGTCCGCCGAATCGGAAGTTGCCCAGTGTGTTGGACATGCAGTGCATCGGATGGGCTTTCTGCTGAAACTGCGGCATCTTCATCACATTCTGCTTCGAGGATGTGTACTTCTTCGCCGCCTGTCGGTCCAATCGCTGCAAGTGCTGCATATTCATGTTGCTCTCCTGCAGCATCGCGTCCTGCCACAGTGCCAGCTCCAGCGGATTATTACACCCCATCAGATTCTGCGACATTCCGCCGCCATTCAAGTTGTTCACATTCAAGTTATTCTGCGCGGCCAGCAGCATGAAGAGGTCCGGAAAGGCGCCTGGCAGGTTGCGCATGTTTGGTCCCTTCATGAAATCGCCCATGTTCTGATTGCGCAAGTGATTGAAGTACGGCAACCACAGCATCTGATTGAAGATTGACGACTGCAGCAGACTTTGATCAATGTCAAACTTCCCACCCATCGGCATTTGATTCAGTGCCGGCTGTGCCTCAGGCCGCGGCCGCTCTGGTGTCGCAGAATTGTGATGGGCGTGTGAGAATTTTTGTGGTGGCATCTTCTTGTGGTTTCCAGCCTCTGCGGTGTGATCCTTTAGCTTGAACAGCTCCTCCTGCTTCTCCAGAATCGTCTCCAGCTGAGTTAGTGACACCACCAGAATGTCGGGATCCTGCAGAATGGTAGGAAAGGCAAAGGCTTCTGGCAGACGCAGCTCGGGTCGTGTGGTGAGAAGGAGCGGAATCTCACGAGCCGGTGATGCCAGGACTGCATTGAGACGATCTTTTGGCACAAGGAGTGTACTCGGTACTTTCCATTCATTGTTGGACATCAGCAGGCGCAGCTGAGTCAGTGGATCAGGATCTTTACCCATGGACGTCTTCTCCGCGTGACTCTTCGCATCGTCCGTCTTGAAGGAGTCGGACTTCATGCGCTTCTTCACCGGCTCACTGATGTTGGCATCATCTGTCGGCGTGAGATCACTCAGGAGATTCTTGGCCTCTTCGGAGCAACTGACAGTCGGACTGGCTGACTTCCTGCAAATGCCCAAATTGAGCGGTTCCGGCTGATGCTGAGGATTCTCCTGGACATTCCTCCTGCCGCCGTCGGCCGTCTTTGGCGATGTCACGGACAACGAGTGTAGCATGCGACTCTGCTGCGAGTACAGATCAGGCGAGGGTGGAATTGGTGGCAATCCGCTCGGCTGGGGGGATTGTATGGTATCGGATCCGCGCGACGTAGGCCGCGTCGGTGACGGACTCCTGTGCTGATTCATCCCCTTGCAGCTCAAATCCTTCGGCATCTCCTCCACACACGAGTCCGGCGACAGGAGCGACGTGATCTCGGCGATGTTCTTCTGGCTGGTCTCGCACGGTGTCGCCATAAATTTAGTCTCTGTTAGCTCTTTGATGGTCAATGACAAATCATCAAGACTCTGTTCCGTGCCAATCTTGAAGATGTTGTTGCTCGACTCGAGAATTGTTTCAATTTCACCACTCTCCGTGAATGATAGACACTTTGGGGAGTCACTGAGGCGTGAAATAATATTCGCCACTGGTTCTGAGTCTAGCAGTAATTCGTCCTCCTCATTGTAGTCATCCTCAACATTGCATGCCGTTTGTTGCTTCACATCATCAATATTGCCTGCGAATTCAATGAGAGAAGGTATTGTATAAATTGCATTTTCCCCAAACGATGATATCGATTTAATTGAACTCCATTCATGTTAATAATTAGAGCCAATCAATAACGCATGACGAAATTGTCACAGCATATCATGTGTATGCAATGCTGTGTCGAAGGCATAAGAAATGCAAGTGTGACTTGTCCCAGAAAATCGATTTTTCCCCACCATATATGTAGGTAAGAATTTTGCGAGCAAAATCGCGCACAAAAACGTCTCTATGTTGTGTGCGGGGAAAATCCTTCCCCAAAATAGGAGCTCAACAGGGACTTTAAGGATTAATTAGCGCTCTTTTCTCACCTGATATATTGTTCACTTCGCAGCTATGCTCAATGAGAGAATCCAGGAGTTCAGTTCCGGTCATTGTATTCTCTCCACACTGATCCGTGAGGTCGAGATCCTCGGAATTGCTCACGGAAATCTCCCTTATTGTCTCGATGAGTTCCGACGTCACGTTCAGGTTGTCTGCGAAGGATTCCTGCTTGAAATTTTGCTGGGCGTCGTCGTCCGTGATGGTCTTGCACATAAAGGGAATAAACTTTTCTTCGCACTGCTCCTCCTCCTCCACCTGCTCCTTCTTCTCACAATCCACCAGCTCCACGTCGCGATTGCATGGATCCCGAGATGGATTCCGTGTGGGGTCCACGTCGAGAAGAATGTGTGTGTCTTGAAATAAAGATGGTTCCTCTTGATTGTCCTTGCAGGAGTTCTGCACACAATTCACGACTGTATCCACCTCAAATGTCTCATAAACTGATGCACTGAGAATACGGGCTTGCTGCTCATTCTCATGTGAAATATCATGAATTGCATTAATGTAGTGTTCTTGCTCTTGCATTTGCTGCATTTCCACCACATCTGTTTGTTGCATTGTCGATACATTCTCATCTCTCGCCTTATTCTCACTTGTGCAAGCGCCCGCTCTATCATTCATCTCGCTTGTCCTCCCAAATCTCTCAATAGATGCCAATGTCTCCAGCTTTTCTCCACTCTCCAACACATGCGCACCGCTGTCCACCTCCTTGCCACCCTCGAGCCTCTCTGCGTCCTCTTCACCCACTCGTGACGCTACTAGATGTGCCTCCTCTTCACACCTCTCGTGTTTCCTCTTCTTCTGCTTCTTCTCCTTCCTGTGCTTCCTCTTTCGCTCGCCTTTCCTCCTCTTCTTCTTCCTCTGACGCCTCTGTGCCTCCTGCAGACCACCATCGTCCTGCAAGTGGGTCCTCGGGATGGCCTTCCACACACCGCTGGCCGTCTTTGTCAATCGTATACGATTCCTCTTGTCATAATCCTCACACCGCACATCGATGATCTCGGTGTCGTTCTGTGTCACCCAGAGAAATACCGGATTCACACTGGGCAGATCACCTACAGAAGCCTCCTCGCAGCGTTCTCCGCCATCCTTCGCTCCTCCCTGCTCCGCCGCCGCATCCTCATCCCTCAGTGTTCTCTCTTGAATCGATACTTTTTCCGCCTCACGCATTTGTCTCTTCCGCTGACAAGTGTCCATAAAATTGTGTGTCCAAGATTGTCCGCTGTCATCCACTCTGGCATCATAGTATCGATGGCCATCACGATTGACTTTTCGACTCCTCGCCACCAGTGCACTCCTCCGAATGGGGATCAGATCTGGCAGTGGCGGACGCGGGGATTTGCTGTTCCTCTCCGAACATTTGCCACCCGCCACAAAGTTTTCCTTTTCCACAAATCTGCCCTGACAATCTTCATATGTGTTCCATCGCACGCCGATTTTCTCGGCGCTCATATCTTCATCATTCCAGTGAAGGCGAACTGCACACCAAAGCCCCAACTACGTTGCCAAAGAGAAATAGGAACAATTATTAGAACATTCTATCGACATTTAATGTCCACAAAAACTCACCCTTTCTCACTTGAGACGTCTTTCTTCGCCAGAATATGTGGGCTTCTCCCTTCGTTCTGGCGAAATTCCTCGGAGCACAAATATTATTATTGTTTTACACTTGCAACTTTTGACACTTCAACTTCGGCTTCACGTAGAGAATATTTCAGCTCAACGAAAATCCACGGTATTTTTCTCCCTATTGAGCCAACTTCTATTGCATACACTTGGGCTCACAAATCCACTATTTTGCCTTAAATATTTCACACTTTTTTCACGCTCTCCGAACTCTCGCCGTCAGAATTGTGGGCATATATTTCTCGTCCAAAATGGCGTTCACGGGTATTATTATAAAATAAATATTAATGTCACACTGGGCCAAAACTACTTCCTCAAGCATCTATTGCTGGACTCATTTCTGCCTCTTCCACCCACAGAAACACCATTCACCATTGCCAATGGTCTTTTTCTCATTCGTTCGCTATGCAATTCAGCTCAGGCGACTCTCATATTGTTGATTTGGGGATTTTTTGAAGAACTACCGCAAGAATTTTCCATTTTCACTGTCAAACATACGACATATTTATGTGTGGCAATGAGAAAGAGAAAGAAGTATGTGTGTGTAGTATTATAAACACTGTCCAAATTACGTAAAGTTCACCGTACGAGAGATTATAATGAACTGAAGGGGAGAAAACCACTTCGCTCTGAGAAATTTCTCAGGACAACGATGACACTACGTGTATTAATACAGAGTGAGACAAATATTAGAAGCACCCCGAAGAAGGTGAAACAATCAATACAGCGACCAAGAGAGACATCAATGAGAAATCGTGACGCTAGACGATGGTGAACAGGATGGACATATTGTGCATTTTCAAGTGTGAACAACCGAAAGAGACAAATACAAGTATCTCGAAATCGTCAAGAAAAATCACAGATTAATTAGCGAACGAAAATACTCTCTCAAACCTATCAAAAGTGCCCACAAGAAAGTCCATTGAAATGACGATTAACTGAACCAGAATGAATTTCACGTGGGAACAACAGGAAGGAACAGAATACTTCAATATGGTCTTAAACACCTCCAAAGTACTGTACGCAAAGTATACATTTCAAGATCATCCATAGGATGGAGCGAGACAGACACTACACGCGAAACCATGAATGAACATACACACGTCTCTCTCTATTCCGTAAATCCACTTTACACACTTTACATTTGGAAGTTCAATACGTACGAAATCCTCTTCAAAACATTCTATACACACAGTGCAACACATGCATATGAATTCCACAGCGCGAGGGTTCGTCAAAGTGACGAATTGCAATGCACAATCTCTTAGGGAATTTCATTTTAACTAATAAATACAAATATATAGATGGAATTTGGTTGAAAATCTTAAAAATAAATATGATTAATGATCTGTTTAATTAACGTGTAAGCAATGAACGCAAAAAGAGTGACTTTCTCACAATTCCACATGATAATAATCACTTTATAGAGGACCATTAGTCGCACATGTCATGTCTAATAGGCAAATGTAAATAATGTTGTGTATAAAACCACACATAAATGATTTTGGGGTGCGCATTTAGGTAAAGTCTTGAAAGTCGAGAACATGATTGAGAGCGAAAGTATAACGAAATTCCGCATTGTGAAATGTATTCTGAGATTTTATCAACTAAACGGCATTCTGCCGATAACATTTCCGCGCAAATCAGTGATTGAGAAGATTCTCTTGTGCCTCGGAATGTTCTATATTCTATTCCTAATCGCGAGCATGACAATTGCTCTCTACTATTTCAAGTCTCTGTTCGACACAAGAAATCCTCTTGGGCTGTTTATGGATGTTATTCAGCTGGCAATTCCAATTAACACGCACATTTTCATCATCTACCAAGCAGCCACTCTCAGGAAGTTTCACCGAAAAGTGTGGCAATTGTTCATGATGGTGGAAAAATCCCTAAAAGCGTGTGACATTGACACAAGAAGCAATTTGGAGAGATTCTTCATGAGATATTCTGTGAAGTGTGTGACTCTTATCGTCATTGCTTGTGGCACAGAATTAACAATAATTGGATTGATTGCTGAACATTCAGATGGTTGGAAGTGGCATCGAACACTTGCATTGGCGCCTTTCTTAGGCAATCGCCTCTGTCTACTAATGCTGATGCTTTACATTGAACTCTATCATATATTTCTCACTGTGATAGCAGAAGAAATGGCCAAAGTGGTGAAGCTATCGCAGGCGAACAATCTCCAAAACCCACTGAAGCAATTCATTTTGTATCACAAGTGCAAGTGTTTCAAGGAAAATGTGAGCACTCTTTGGTACATCATGAAGTACATCAATAAATCCTTTGGATGGAGTATATTTGTCAACATTACGATGAACTTTATCATCCTCATTGTGGACTACTATTGGAACTTCAAAGCTCTCTATTTGAACACATCTGCAAGCGAATTGGCCTCATTGCTCTGCTCCATTCCACTCGTGGCTGTTCTCTTGCCATTCATCCAATCCTGCGACAGGTCTTTGCGGCCAATTGAGTCGATAAAGCATCTCATGGGGAAGATAAAACTGGACACGGACAATCAATACCTCAATCGCTTCATCAAGCAATTCTCCCTTCAAATCCTACAATACAAATTTGACCTTAGCGCCTCTGGATTTTTCTCCATCAACTTTGGATTGCTTCAGGGCGTGAGTAAACAATTTGCAATTGACATATTAATATTAGGTACACTCAATAATGTTGTACTTTCTTCTCTACTTCAGTTTGTGAGTTCCATGACGATTTATCTGGTGATTGTTATCCAATTCGAACTGTCTGACCATTACACCTACTGAGTTGTCTGCGCCAGTCAAATACCTGGGTTAAACCACAAGTGATTTATTCTGAGAAACAAATACTTTGTAAATAAATTTCAATCGCTGAAAATTCCCAATTTTATATACCTTCACGAGGCGAGAAATAAAACTGACTCACGAGGTGAAAGAAGAATCCAAATTCTGACATATAGACATAAATAACACTATAAACAATAGTAATGTAAACAAGATGTCACGGTGAAAAGGAGTTTAGTTAAAGATTTCATCTTCATTCTCAACTGTTTTTCTCCCCCCCCCCACAAGTTTTGGCCAATTCGCCGATTCTTTCAGCTAAATTCTTCCCATGAATCATACATGCTTTCTTATCAAGAACCGCAATATATAAAATGCAGTGGTGACGATGAATAAAGGAATGTAATTAAGAATCCCAGCATTGTACGCATAATGTATATATGTAAATGTTCAACAAAGGTGTAATTCTTTTCCGTGTCTGAATTGAAAAAATCGATTCGCTGACCGCTTTGCTATATTTGCATAATTGCAGTAGAAGGTTTCCTCAGAAGGTTTATTGCAAAAGGGATGAAAAAAATTAAGTAGTTCGGTGGGTAAAATAAAAATTACATTTTGGTTGGAGAAAAGAGAGAAATTTGATCATAAACTGAGGCAAATGGAAATCATTCACATCCAGTGATAATAGATAGAAGTGATTGAGGGTAAAATGTTTTTCACCCTCAAAAAGAAGTGCTGATTTTCACGGAAAATAAATCACCAAACCAAATTCACGCCTCAATGTCAATGAAATAATAGTATAATCAGTTGAGATTGACACATCAATCATTTACCCATAAATGCTGCTTGTATCTGTGCTCCATTGAATTGTACAGCAAGCTGTAGGTTACAATTCTCTCTATTATATTTCGTACAAATATTTGAAAATCATGAAACACCAATATTCGTAGCTTTTTTGTCACTCAAGGTTCGTCTCTCGCTGGTTCTGTGTTGGCTAATAATCAACGAAGCAAACTCGTTTCGCTTGTAATCTTCATTATACGCCAAGCTCAGTCTTCATTCAGCCACCGTGAGGATTAAATCGTGTCGCACAGTTACATATTTACAATTGTGTGTGGATCAAAATTCGTCAACAGAGCCTAATTAAGGTTCACATCAAGTTATCACTCTTGGATGCCACAATAAATAGTATTTAAGCGGAGCATTTGCACAGTGATGAAGTGAAAAAAATTGTACAAGTTTTCTCTCAAGGTGTGGAGCAAATATTATATCTATCTAATCAATAGGTTTGTCTTCTATCGCCACATGATTAGATAAGAAACACCGCGTTCAACATTCTACTGCATGAGAATATGAAAAGGAAAACTCCGCCACTTTCGTGTGACTTCTCCACAGGTGAAAAACTCGAATATATTGCTCAACACGGATTCAATCGACTGTGTGGAATTGACTTGGATGAAGTTCAAAACCACATAATGTCCGCATTCATCTAAAATAGTCAAATAGGAGAGAATTTGTGTGGGATCTGCTGAACCAGTCCGCGGTGTTGTGTCCATTGTGTGCTTTTCATTTACGCTAGTGGCCAAAAAAGTGAGTGATTTACGAACAAAAAATAAAGTTCTTCGCACAGACGATAATAATAAAAAAAAAACCAGTGGCAGAAATACTATGTACACAGATGACTGAGAAATCTAATTGAGTCACAATCGTATTTGGTGATTTTCTGGGAGAATAATAATGCCATTGAGAACATATTAGAGTCGCGCATAGTGATAATTTATATTAATAATACAACATGACAAATTTCCTATTGATAATTCTACTACTAAATCAACTGTCGTGGAGTCTTTCGGCTGAGAATGACACCGAAGAAGTGCTGCGCGGAAACATCACGGTGGAAAGTGAAATTTCTGTGACCCTGAACACAACTTCTTCTAGTCAGGAAATTGGGCAAACCACTCCAATGTCAGCAGAAGAAGCCCCAAAAGTCAACATTGAGGCAATGCTGGAAAATATTCCGCCAAATTGTCACAATCTAAAGGTAAAGTGATAATTTTTTTCACGTCTCTTCTCACGTGTAGGTTCAATTTTTTTCTATTCACGCATGACACAGACAAATTTATGACTAAACGCCGGTTTCCCGCAGTTTATTCTGCTTCTCAGTATTTCATTGTGATTAATCAGAAAGAAAGTTCTCCGAAAATGCGAGTGTCGTCAAATGAGACAAGCAAAATCGATTCTTGGAATTCCTTCTCATGCGCTATCACAACTCTTATCGTTTTGCGACTTCTGATTAAACAAAAAAAAACCTATCGGTTCAATTAACTGAGACATGTTTTCACTCTCAATGCCTTGCAGCGCCTCCCATCGCAACCACTCCTGACCGAATCCTCGGCCATAAGGAAGTGCTGTCCGAGGAATGAAAATCTCATCCACAGCAACAGAAACATGAAGGAGTGCCAGCCGACGGAGCACACTTTCCAGCCCACCATTGTCAATGCCACCTTCTACGAGGGATGCATCGAGGACGAGGAGACGGAGCACCTCCACTTGGCGCACGTGTACGGCAATCCGTGTGCGCAGCGTGAGTCCTTCATCTACAGCCGTCACGACGGCGATCTGCTGTACGTGCTCCTCAACGGCTCGCTGCTGATTGTGAATGAGAAGTTCGAGTGGATTGAGATTCGCGACGAATACTGCTTGGACACTGATGACAATGGCACACTGTCGGCAATTGTCTGCCCAGATGAGCTGGGCAGTTCCACACCCGAGGCCGCTGTCACGCACGCTCAGCTTGTCTTCCTTGCCATTTGCATGCTTATCTCTATACCATGCCTCCTCGTCACATCTTTCTTCTACCTCACCGTTGACGATCTGCGAACGTTGCATGGGAAGTCCCTCGCCTGCCATTGCCTATGCTTAGCCTTCCGCTTTCTGCTGATCACAATCATTCAGCTGCACATTGTGGTGGAGAATCTCACCACATTCTCCAATTACTTCATCGGCATGATCCAGTACTTCATCCTGGCGGCCTTTTTCTGGCAATTTGTCATGTCAGTGGACATTGTCATTAATGTCTGGTACTATTTGCCGAAGAACATCTCACCGAAAGGCACCTTGCGTGGCTGGATTCACTTCTCCATCTACTCCAGCCTCTCCATGCTCCTGCCCATCATCTTCATCTTCGCCGCCATGTCATCACATGAGCCCGAGACGCCGTACTTCCTCAAGGGCGTCTCCTGGGACGCCCACTCCAACCAGAACTTCTACATTCTGCCCGTCATCGTGCTGCTGTGTCTCTGCTTCTGCTGCTTCATCGGCGCCTACTACGGCTTCCAGCAGCTCAACGAGCTCAACATCATGGCGTGGCTGATGAAGATGAACCCTATCAAGAAGCACGACAGCGAGACTCACACCACCAAGTTGTGCACGAAGGAAATGGAATATGTTAAGCAATCGTGAGTCAATCAATCCCTTAAATGTTTCCTCATTGCACAGCGCATTTCTTTTTCTCGTTTTCTCACAGGGCGAAGGCCACATTCTACATGTATTGCATCCAGGCAATATGTTTCATCTTCGAAATCATATCCTTCTACGCGAATGGCAACAATATCATCCTGATGTTCGACACCATCAATGCACTCCAAGGACTCCTAATCCTCACAATATTCATCTGTTTCCCTCACACCCTCAAAATTATCAAAATGTGGTGGAAAGATCGCGGATCTCACGTCATCTCGGAGTCAAGTGGTGCAGAAAGTATTCCTTTGCGCGATATTAGGAAAGAACCAAATGATAAAATCTAATTTTTCTGATTAAGAATATTTAAAGAATAAATTTAATAGGCACAAAATTATTTAAGAATCTAACTTTTGCTTTTCATTTTATGCTCAATAAAAGGGATGACAAAGAGTCATTGTGAAGAATTTGAAAATATATTTATGCTTATTCGGAATCAGTGAGTGTTGAAGATTTTGAAGCACTTAAGAGAGACAAAGCTTCGCTAGAATCTTACGCCAGTGGCATTGCTATCACCAAGAAGACAAGTGAGAAATATAAATTTTACCGACATTTCTCTAAGCTCTTAATATTGATATCATTCCATTCTGTTCATTCACAAGAACAACGCGAAATCTTTTAAACGGTACTCTCTTAAGCGCGCCTCTTAAATTTGCTTTAATTTTCTCTTCACTCTTAAAGTAATTTGCGAGAAGCTCAAGAAGAATATCTTGAAGAATATGCATTTAAAGCCAGAATGGCCAGATTAATTTGATGTTTCTTTCGTATTCCTTAATTTCACGATGGATTACCCTTAATTTTTCTGCAGAAAAATCTAATCCTATTCAAATATTTTCGGAGAAGTTGCATTTAAAGACTTCAAGTCGATCATTGACGCTCATTTGTCTATCATATTGCAGATTATTGCGTTGTGAATCATGTGTTATATTAGTTTTTGCACATGGTTCAAGAAGTAAAACACACCATATCAATTTATTTGAGAGAGCAAATTGATAGAAAATAAAGTAAATATGGAAAAATTGGGGAGAACATTAAATATTTTGATCATTTTTACAATTGTTCAAATCGAAAAGTTCCAAGAACTCTGTTAATATTTTGTTCTCCAGGAAAAAGTCACCTTTAAAATTGAACTTTTTTGTGACAGAGATCGGTTATAAAATGCTCTATCATTTGGAGCAATTTTCAGTGAATCTCCAAATCTTGAGCAGTTCATAATGTACTTCAAACTCCTTGTCTTCGTCGTGTGCTTCTTGACTGTGGCGCATTTCATCAATGCCGGTAATTGATCATTTATTGACTCTTCAAGATTCCAAAGTGCAGTGAATTAACTTTGTTTTCCTAGAACCCGAGCCTGAGCCGACTTTCGGATACGGATATGGATCCATGAGCATGGAGAGCATGGAGGGCTACTACCCATATTACATGTACCCCCCGATGATGATGTACCCGAAATATGGCAAATAAGACGCGCAAGACCGATTGATGCTGCAATAAAGAACTCTGCACTGTGTTTGTCAGCGGAAATGCTTCTTTTATTGACCTCTTCCCGCTTTGAGCTCACATGGGCGGCGGCGGGACGGGCAGGACAGCCATTGGCGGTGGCGGAGGAACCGGATTGAACATTGGCGGGCGCGGAGGCGGCGGCACAGAGCCCATGCCCGGCCCACCAGCGCGCAGACCCGGCGGCGGCGGTGGGATAATCTTGGGCTCCAACTTGAAGGCGAACTGCAAGAAGAATTGCTTGGTGTCCTTGTTCCAGTATGTCCAGAACTTTCCCTCCGTCTTCTCCACCTCACGACTCGGCACCTTGAAGGCGATGGTCTCGTACGGCTCTGCCGCGAATAGCAAGTACTGCCACTTGCGATCCGGCGGCTCTATCTTCTGCTCGTAGGCCGACATGAATCTGTGGCGCGGCATGATGCCGTCCGAGATCTCTGGGTAGTCGATTTGGAACAGCAAGCTCTGCTGACCGCTGTCCGGGCAGCGCTGCTTCGTCACGCGATAGCCGGGACGGCCGATCTTCACGAACTTCTTCGGCTCCACGCGTGGCTTCTCAGGCGCCAGCGATTGAGGCGCTTCCTTCGCCTCCTTGGCGGCTCTCCTGGCCAGATTGGCCTGATGCTTCTTGCCCTGCGTGTGCGCCAGGTAGCTGCCCTCGTTGTTGTGCAGCGTTAGACAGAGCTTGCACTCATACGATCCCAGGTGGTTCTTCATGAAGTAGGGATCCTTGGCCAGGTCAATTGTCTCCAGGGCCAGCTGCCGTAGCCGCTCGCGGCGGTCGCGATTCGTCTCCGACCACGACGCCACGCCGCCGCCCCCGGTCTTGCCTCCCGGACGATTCTGGAAGTCCATCCTGAAGAGTCTGCAAGTGAATTGCACCGTAATCTGACGTCCACACGGAATCCCGAGAAGTCTTTACCTGACTTTCAGAGGATATTTGCAAACTCTTCCAAGCACACACTTCTAAACGTAAATAAAGCCACTTGTCAAAACTGAAGTCGATGACGTCGATGACATCATCAACTCATCGAATGTCACAGTTACTAAAATCATCAACACATAATTTTTTCATTCGCATTTTCTCGAAGAACTCTTTTACAATTTTCCACTTTTATACGGTGTTTTTCCCATCACAACACTTCAGCAAATGTGGCTTGAAGTGTCCATCTGTAGAAATAACCAGTAAGTAAGCGGGAAATTGCAGAATATCATGGTGAAATTGGGAGTCTTCCTGTGGCATTAACAATGCAACATTTTCTCCGCATTTTCTTTTGATGAAAAAAAAAAATTATCTAATCTTTACTTTTGCATGCTCATCAAATCTCCTATTGTCTCCACAATAGAATTTATCTATCTGCCCTATGCTCGCGCCCTTCCCACAAGCGATATTTCTTCACAGTTTTCCTCGCCATAGGCAATGATGACGAATCATCCGGAAGACTTCGATCAACAATTTCAGGCAGATCTTGAGAAAGCCACTGCCCTGAGTCTGGAGTCACTGGCACTTGAGCAGTTTCGCAGGAAGAAACTGGGCTTGCCGCCAATTGAGGAATCATGTGAGTATTTTGAACGCGTAAAATGATGGCCGAGAGTGATGAATTTCTTCCCTTTCTCTGGACTTCCAGCGCTGCTCAACTCAAAACCAACATCACAGCTTCCGACGCGGAGACATAGTGATATCCATCACAATGTCCCACTGCCGGGCAGCATCCCGAGGCGTCGTCAGGATGAAGACCAGCCTGACTTGATATCCTTCAGCCAGCCGGAAGGCGTCCAGGAGACGCCGCCAAGGGCGGAGAACACGGCGCACGACAATTTTGTGCAGCTGGTGGATCAGATGCACACGCTGAGGGCGAAGCAACTGAGCGAGAACAACCTGTACCGCAGTCAGAGTCTGCAGAATCCCGCCACGTCCTACTCATGGCAACTCATGCCCTACAATCTGAACCACACAGCGTCGAATCCCGCGCAGCCTTACACTCCTCCGCCGCCGCTTCAGGGGCCAAACACGGCGGCTCCGCTCACGCCGGATCAACTCACGCGACTGTACAGCATGAGTCCATACGCACAGCAGCCGAACACGTCCGCCGCCAGTCCGTATTCCGCGCATCCGGGCATGTACGGCGGATACATGCACTACCCACCACCATCTCCAGGCCCATCCGCGATGCCACAGCGTGCCACAGTGTCACCCATCGGTGCCCACTTGGTGGCCAATCCCGAGTCAGCCCTTGTGCCTGTGCCCAAAGAGCCACCACAGCTGCCTGTCCTCGCGCAGCCTTCGCCGCCAGCGCAAGTGCCCGTGAGAAGTGCGAGGAGACCAAATACGGATGATCTCATTGACTTGGGCAGTGGAATCGACAATAAATCTATCGATAAGTTCGTAAAATGCATCATAAACTCAAAGTCATTCATGCTCTAAACACAATTTTCATCTCTTTGTCTTGCAGAGTAAGCGTTCTTGAGGCATTTGATCCACTGCTGAGTGATCAGGCGTCAAACAGTTTTGCCGATAAAGGTAATATAGACACGCTAGGAAGATTCTAAGCACACATTCAGTGCCTTTCACATACATTCTAATCCTTTTTTTAGTATTCCTTTGACGAAGTATTGTTGTAAACTTTGCATTTACAGCGTAGGAAGAGAGAGAGAGAGAGAGAAGAAAGAGAGATAAAAAAAGGCTTTATCGCAAATTACTCTCAATTTGAGAAAAGTATTGTTATCTAATCTATGAGCATAAAAAAAGAAGTATTCCTCTCTTCTCTACATATTTGCTAAAGAGAGTTAATATGCTATGTTACGTAAACTGAAATGTGAGACATTTCCTTTTCGCACCCTTTTAAATTGAAAGACGACATCTATAAATTCAGACAATTGTTACAAGTTTTGCAAAGAAAAATTGGGAAGTTTGAGAAAATATACGTGAGATTGAAAATCAAACAATAAATTGTGTTTTATTAGTCAGTTTCTGATAAGTGATTATTCCCAACGAATCACATTCTTTTCCACCGTATATTTTCTCAAGTTAAAGTTTTTTTTTCGAATTTTGAGGGCGTTTTGGGAGAAATTGTACCCTTTCCACTCTATTTTACATGTTCACACATCAGATGACAATGCTTCAGAGTGCACCAACAGTTACTACTCGGAGTACGATCCCTTCGACTATCTCTACAGCAGCGGCGGCACACAGTATTCTGATCCTGTTTACGAGGCAGTCAACAAAACCGAACGTGGATTCAATGCAGGAAATGGTGAGTGATTTGCAGGAATACAAAAAAAAATGCACAGAATAATAACAAAGTGACCTTTCTGCAGCCCCACCAATAGGATGGAATGTGCAGCCGATTGGGTGGAATTACGGTCAGATGGGAACTCCGCCGCCACCACTTCCGCCCAGGAATATATCAGCCAGTCCAATTCCATCGCCGGACGATAGCACGATCACGCGCCAATCGGGAGATCGCAGGAAATATCCAACGAAGCTGTATGAAAATGTGGTGATTCGCAAGTGTTACGATGGCGAATTGATGAGCTTCTATCGTATGATCCTCGACATACGGAATCGGTACAAACACGGTGATTTGGAGTCAAATGTGGGTCACATTGTGGCATCGGAGTTTGAGAGTTCATATTCTGAGTCGACAAGCATCAAGATTCTCGTACATCCAGCATTGGAGGCTGTGGATCAGATGGCGCTGATGAGGAACATTGAGCGGAATCGTGTGAGCAGCATTGAAGGCACGGCGTTAAATAGTAGCAAAGGACAAATTCCAGGCTATGGTCCACCTATAGTATTTACCTGTGATAGTAAGTGAATCCTTTTTTTCATAGAGAGCGCAGCAACAATTTTCACTCACTGTGTGTTATTCCATTTCCAGTTAGTACAACTGTAGAACACGTGATAATGCATGCATTCTGTGAATTAGAAGGCCAAATAAGGGGTGAAGTTTCTGATTTTGCACTGAAGGTGAGAAACTCTCTCTCTAGAAGTTATACAAAAGAATTCTTGCTAATTTACTATAATAATATGTCTCCAATTTTGTGTTCTTTAGCCAATTGGTGTTGTGGAATGGCTCTCGCCCAAGTCAAAATTGAGTCAATTGCAGTGTATTCACAATAGTATAAAATTGGAGAAGGACGTTCAGCTGGGATTGTGCCCAAAGACGTCTGCCAATGTCAAGACCATCGCGCGCACTCTTCAAGATGACTTGAGGGATGCTGAAATTAAGCCCGAAGACATTGTTGTGCACGAGCCTGTGTCGTCGATCAGCTACAACAACCTCATGATCCTCCTGGAGACGCTGGAATCGGAAATTGCTCAGCTGGAGTTGGCGGCCACGAATCCCAATCGACACACTGTACTTAGCTGTTCGGGCGTTGTGCAGTCCGTGAAGGCGATTTGCGCCCTTCTCGGAAACATTGACACTCTCGACATTTCCGATGCGATCGTCCAATTGACGGCCGTGTGCGAGAATGGCCAGAACATCTTCAGCTGTGCGGGTGGAAAGTTGGACATTATATCTGAGAGTGGTGACTATGCACAGGTGAATTTGCGACCGCGAACAGTTGTCGAACAGATTCGATACCGATGCCACCACGTGAGAGACAGTATTCAGCATCTCCTGGAGATCTACTCAAATGCCTTCCGTGTGGACTTCTGTGTCAACCAGCCGGATTACATATCATGTGAGTATGAAGTGAATTTAATCACGAGATCAATCTGTAATATTGTGTGTGTGTGTTTTTACAGCTTCTGTGCCAATATCAAATGTGTCGGAGAGCGTGATGGTTCACGTGATGTGTCTACATCGTCCTCCGGTGACATGGAAGCATGATGAGTACAATCTTGGTGCCCAGATTTACCACGGAACGCGATACATTGGCGATGCCGTTGTGACACAGTGCACAAATGAGATTAGTGGCATTTATCCACGCCTGACATTCAACACTTGGCTGAATTTCGAGGGCATTCCCGTGTGCACGTTGCCACGCGAGAGTCGACTGATCTTCGTCCTGTACGGATGCTCAGTGGAGACATCAGATGACGCTGGGAATGCCACAAATGCCCCAAGTGACGCCACAGCAAACACCATGAACGGCACGAATGGTGAAAGGATGACAAAGACGGAATTGGGTTGGACGTCAATTCAGTTCTTTGATTACGAACGCAACATGATTCAGGGCACATTTTTGCTCTCCCTCTGGCCACCAACGACGGACAAGTACTTGGGTCCGGCGCCGGCGAGAGGCACTCATCCGTATGGTGATACGTATCCTGTTTTGGGTGTGGAAATTCCCAATTATGGAGGAAATGTGGTGTTTCCCGAAGCGCCGGCGAATCACGTACCGCGACCACGATATGACTTCTATAGTCTGGACTGCAATTTGCGACAGGAGCTGATTGACACCGCCGAACAGGGATATCCGAGTGCCTTGGACAAGCGCGAAGTGCTGTGGGAGAAGAGACACTATCTCCAGGCATTGCCACATGCACTGCCCAAGATTCTCCATGCGGCGCACAGTTGGGATTTTGCCAGTGTCATTGATCTACACGATTTGCTGCGCTCCTGGAGTCCACTCTCACCTTTGCAGGCACTGGAGCTCCTCCTGCCACGATATCCTGACATGGAAGTGCGTCGCTATGCCGCAAAGTGGGTGTCAGCCATACATCAGGATCAACTGGTGGATTTTCTGCCACAATTGCTGCAAGCCCTGAAGCATGACACTTACGAGGCGTCCTCCATGGCCAATCTGCTTCTCTCGCGCTCACTGGAGTCTCCGCGTGTTGCTCATCATCTCTACTGGTTGCTGGTGAATCATCTGCCCGGCGAGAGTCCTCAGAACACCATTGAACCGCAACAAGTGGACAGCGACACGACGATGATCACACAAGCGCGATATCACAGGCGCAATCAGATGATGTTGCGAGCACTGCTGGCCACGTGCGGTGAGAAGCTCTCGGCGAGATTCCTCGCGCAGAACATGATGTGCCGGGTGAGTATTCATGTCCAGAATGCAACATGGAAGAGTCCTGTGTAATGTTGATCCTTCGCAGAGTCTCGCGGAAGCTGCCCAGTGCGTGAAGCAGTCGAAGGAGTCAATGAGACAGAAGACACTTGTGCAGGGAATGGAGGCGGTTAATCACATTCTCATGGAGCGTCCAACATCTCTGCCACTCGGTCCTGAATTGGAAGTAGTGGGTGTGAGTGTGAGGAATTGCAGCTACTTCAATTCCAACACTCTTCCGCTGAAGATAAACTTCATTGGGCCCGATGGTGGAGTTGTTCCTGCAATTTTCAAGGTTTATATTTGCTCTCCGTTCAGACTGGGTGAATTTCACACAGAATGACTCTCTCTTCTCCTTTTCAGAGTGGTGATGATTTGCAGCAGGACATGCTGACACTGCAATTGGTGAAGATTATGGACAAATTGTGGCTGCGAGAGGGATTGGATTTGAAGATGGTGACATTCAATTGTGTGCCGACTGGACACAAGAAGGGCATGATTGAGCTCGTCACCGATGCGGAGACACTGCGGAAGATTCAGGTGGAATGGGGCTTGACAGGCTCCTTCAAGGACAAGCCAATTGCCGAGTGGCTGGCGAAGCAGAATCCCAGCCAATTGGAGTATCAGCGCGCCGTGGACAACTTCACGGTCTCGTGTGCTGGTTACAGCGTAGCCACGTATATTCTTGGCATCTGTGATCGCCACAATGACAACATCATGCTCAAGACGTCCGGACATCTCTTCCACATTGACTTTGGGAAGTTCCTGGGCGATGCTCAGATGTTTGGCAATTTCAAGCGCGACCGAACACCTTTTGTCCTCACATCTGACATGGCGTACGTGATAAATGGCGGTGATCGTCCATCGACGAAATTCCACCACTTTGTCGATCTGTGCTGTCAGGCATTCAACATCGTCCGGAAGCATGGAGATCTCATTCTGCACATGCTCGCGCTCATGGCAACCGCGGGCATTCCTGGCGTCACGGCCGATGCTGTGACGTACGTGAGAAGGGCTCTGTTGCCGGGACAATCCAACCCAGAAGCCGCCGCGTCATTCGCCAAGATGATTCACATTTCGCTAAAGTCCTGGTTCACCCAATTCAACTTCTTCCTCCACAATCTGGCTCAGCTTCGCTTCAGTGCAGATGAGGACAATGGTGAGCTGTTGAGCTTCGTTCCGAGAACTTACACGTGAGTTAAGAGGAGCCTTTATTTATTCAGTGTGTGACTTAAAACAAATTCATTTTCTCTGCAGAATGGCACAGGATGGAAGGCTGCAATCGGTGGTGGTTTATGGCTATCAGAAGAGATACGATCTAGAAAAGTATTACACGTATATTCTGAAGGTGACAAGACAGAATCAACCGGATCCAGCATATTTATTTCGCTCCTACAAGGAATTCCTGGAGTTTCACCAGAAACTGTGCCTTCATTTTCCACTGGCGAAACTCCACAGGTAAGCTTCTTATACACATATACATAAATTGAGTGGAAGATCTACGCTTCGGTGTCGGAATAATCGCGAGCGAGTGAGAGCTTTTCCCGCTCTTTTTCCTTCTGCATTTCACGCAATGTTTTCGGCGGACGATCGTCATCGTCATCAAGTATGATTGGCGCCACTTTTTGCTTGTGATAAGCCACAGAATCCCTGGCGCGTGGCTTTGGTGCCGGCGCGGCGGACAAATGATTGAGACTCTGACGGTGTCTCGACACCAAATCCCAACTATCGTAATTCTCACTCTGTCCAATGATTTCATCTTCAGGTGCAAACTGAAGTTGCTTCCTTGTCTGATCTTGAGTCTCATTGATGGGATTGATCGCGGTGTTGTTTCGAGGAATGGCAACAGGTGTGAAGATTGTCGATTCAGCGAGGATTTTATCACTGTGCTGATTGCTCTCCAGCATTATTGATGGGCGATCCTTCTTCTTTTCCACCACCATCACTTTCTCCTTGCCCTTGGTGTGTTTCTGCTTCAACACTCGCACTTTTGTGCCTTTGATCTTCTCCTCTGGACCCGTGATGCTGAAAATACTCTTCTTCTTGCTGCTCTGCACTGCCTGATGGTTTGACGAAGTGTCTTCGGGACGCTTTGCAGACGCCTCGGCAGTGTTGTGATGATGATGGTGATTGGATTGTTGGGGAAGATTTTCCTGCACTGCAGCCACTGGAGCTATTGCTGGTGGTTGTGGAGCTTTCTTCTTGCTAACAACCACATTTTCCACAACACATTCACTCTTCTTCACCTCCTTTTCCACCTCTTTCACACTGATGTCACTTTCTGGGGTGGCCTTCGAACCATCTCTGGCACCATTATCAGTAATAAGAATCGTATTTCGTAGCAAATGTGAATTTCTTTGCGTGGATCGCTTATCAAGTCGTATGGCTGTGTGGCAAAAATGTGAGGGGAAGAGAAGTTTTAGAGACAATTTCAAGGAATTCATATTATTCAAATTGTACTCACGAGGGAGTGTTTGAGGACGTTCAATGGCCACAAAGGTGTCGAAATCTGCACTTTTGCGATAAAATCCTGTAACAACCACCGTCGTTTCCTCCGTCGAGTCACGCTTTGGCGCCGTTGGCAGGCGATCAAATGTGAGACGATGGCGAAACCATCGCAATTTGATGCCCAACACTGTGACAATCATGCACAAAATTGCCAAAATGGAGCAAAGAGGCACAAAATGGTTGGAAACTGAAATAATTTCATAGCTAAACTTTTGGACTTTCTTTGTTCGGATAAACATTTTCAGAGACTTTACCATTTTCCCTAATTTGAGTGGATGCCATATTTATAATGGCTTTTGAGAATACGACGATCAGGACTTGAGAAAACACACGCGCGCACACAACAAGATGAACGAGCGCGAAGCCAGAGGAATTTGTAAAGTGTAGAGCAAAGTAATTCACCCACTATACTGAGCACCAATTAATTTGTCTCTCTTTTTTGCCAACCTCCTACTTCTGTTGTTGATAAAAATACGCGTAACAATATTGATAAGGTGCCTTCAATAGGTCTGTACAATATATATATATGTGCATAGAAGGTGATTTTGATTGGTTTCGCTGAGGTTTTCACCAGCAATGCTGAGAATTCACAATACACTTAATTTTTCTTCTAAATACTGATCCAACTCATTGTATTATGGATAATTCCTGAGGAGCAAAGAGTGTGACTGATTTGGCAGAGTATTTGGCCAATATATTATCGATTTTCATGTAGTTAGAGATAAAATGTAATTGAAATTATCAATATTTCCACTCTCTAGATTATACATACAGTTGTGAAAATTAATTTAGGACACCTCAGAAAAACTAAAATGCATTGATCAAACAAATACACTTCATAGAAAACTGTGGACAGGACTTGGAGCGCGGTTATGCGTGCTTTGTCCTAAATTAATTGACGCTACTGTACATATGTGACTAATCCATTCACATATCAATGATAGCAATAGACGCATAGAGAGTATTGTGGATGAATGTCTTCTTTTATCACCTTTTTTCTTCTCTTTAATTTTCATCAAGTTTACCCAGTGGAATTCACGTGGGTCGTTCAAATGTGAAAACTGTGGCGGAACGAAGATTGCCCGAGATTCGCACATTCTTGACGTCCCTGTTCAATTCTGCAGACGAAATAGCGCACTCGGATCTCGTGTACACCTTCTTCCATCCGCTGTTGCGTGATCAACAGGAGGCGGACATACACGTGGCGAAAGTTAAAGGTGAGAAAAAGTGATGATGATGAGACTCTGGTTGTATTGTTATTCTGTCTTACTTGGGCAATTCTTTGCACACAGAAACTCGATCAATTCCAACTGAGAGAGATTGTGGAGAAATTAAGCTGTCCCTTCAGTACCATCGCGGTGCCTTAACAGTCATGGTGAGGAAAAACTCCGCGAAGCTTATGCACAAAAATATTCTCTTAACTGACCTTTTTCTTCTTCTTTGCCTCCACACACAGATTCACCATGCGCGATCTCTGCCGCTCACAACCGGTGGCCAAGAACCGAACACGTATGTGAAAGTCTACTTGAAACCAGACCCTACGAAGGCAACAAAACGCAAGACAAAAGTCGTCCGCAAAAATTGCTTCCCCAGCTTCATGGAGACGGTAAAGACGAGTGACATTATTTTGGGCCGCCGAGAATGAATTCATTAATTGCAAAAACCTCTCATTTTTCCACAGCTCGAATACCGAATGCCGCTGGATTTCATACAAAGTCGCTCACTGCAAGTCACCGTGTGGAGTCATGATTCTCTCCAGGAGAACGAATTCCTCGGCGGTGTTCAGCTGGAGCTGAGCAAGATGAATCTGAGGGAGGAGATTATTCGATGGTTCCCTCTTGGATATCTGCCGAGATCCTAAATCTGCATTGATTTTCAAAGCCTGCAACGCGCGAAAGCTTCAAATATTTTCAACCTTACAATAATAATAATAATAATAATAATAATTTACTGAGGGTGTTTATTTCAACACACACACATTCCCCTAAGTAACAAATCTCAAATCTTATGAAAGTTATATACATATATACTACATAAACTTGCACATTGAAAAGTTTATTTAAATGGCAAAAAAAAGAAGAGAGCAATAAAAAGAATTACTTGCAACCGCCTGACTTTGTGCGCGAGGAGGAAAGAAAGGAGAGAGGAAAAAATCGCTGAACACGGTATTCGGGGTGTTGATAAGAAAAGTGAGATTTTCATATATATATTCTACACACATATATATATTATGGAAAGCATTTCGCGCGCGCGCAGAGAAAAAAGTGGAAGAGAAAGACACACGAGGAAAAAGAAGAACATGTGTGTTTTAAAGTTTATTGCTTCGCAATTCGCGTTGCACTGTCTCTTCGTGATTGTACAGAGAAAAAAAAAGAATAAATATGTAATAATAATTTTTGCACTTTATTGCTAGGGAAAGAAAAATATATATATATGGCGTGTAGTATTTGCATACAGCACAAATTGTGTTATTGGTAACAGTCAGATAATTAGGATTTGTATTTGTGCCTGGAAAACTCTTCTGACTTAATGGACAAATTTGAGTGCAACTCGTGCGTCAATTAGCAAGGTTGTCCAATGAAAACATTGTGACCTGTGCACACTTTGTGTTCACATTAAAATTACTTCCCAAAAAGCATTGAGCGAGAGCCATTTCAGAAAGTGTGTATTCCATCATTGCTTTCCAAGCGTCGAAGCCAGTTCGAGGGCTCAAGGGTGATTTTGAGACACATTTTTAACATTCCTGATATTATTTACCATTTCTGACTATATTTTGCCGCAAGTGCTGTTTTTTTTCTTCTTCTACCATTGTCTTCTTCTTGTCAAGCACATTATTTTGTCAACACACAGAAAAGTATCACAAAATTCCATCGCTGTGGGGTATAAATATATAAATTGTGAGAAGGACCGGAAAAATCGTTGCAAATTCAAGTGAAAAAGATGTTCAATGTTGTAAATATAGTCCAATTCAAGGTGAAGATCATTTGCCTTAGATCTGTACACCACTTTTATACACATTTAAATATGCCTCAAATGATTTTAAGATTCACGAAGCTTTCTAGATCACAAAATTGGCTCTTATGATTTAGCAATGATCTCAAAATTGTCCAGAAAGTAAAAAAGAAAAAGATATTCTAAGTTCAAATTAGTATTTTTGAGGTGATGATCAATCTTAGCACAATTTGCAATGTTTCTTGACATCAAAGATTGAGAAAAGCAATGTTTATTGCATGAAAACGCCAAATTCTGTCAACGATTGACGATTTCTCCGACTTTTTTTTCCTTTTAATGCTGTACGGTTCCAGCCTTTTCGGCTACAAGACCATTTCTCCGACTTGAGAATAAGAATTTGTGCGCTAGAATCTGTCCTTGAAATGTTACATAACCTAGAAAAGGTTAACTGTGATTATTTCTATGTAAAATATTAAAAGCAATCCAACGAAATGGGATAATGCTGATCTGTACACCACTTCAGACTGTATTATCTCCCCCTTGGTTTAATTTTTCTTAAGAAAACCCAGTTCTTTTGCTTGGAGTTTCAAATAAAACCACTAACAATAAGTATTTCGCTCTAAAATGTGATGAGATATAACCATTGAAGAAGAAAAAAAACAGTAATTAAAGTTAAATTAAATTAGGGACTGACAATTTCTGCTGCAGTTGTGAAGGCGCTTTGCATGAAAAAGATATGCCGAAATGGTGAAAATGATGGAGATTATTTTATGTACAAAAACTATACATATTATGTAGTGGTATTTAAATTCACGTGATATGTAATTAACTCGCATATAGATGTGACTCTATTTGTATTCATCAACCCCCACGTTGTGTGTGTCAATGCTGCATTTGCGGGGGTGTTTTATTTGCGACAGTCGTGTTTTATTTATAGAAACATCAAGGGGCAAAAATTGCCCTTTCCACCCTCAATGCGACATCGAAAAATAGTCTCGCTTTAATTGCAATCGCCAATACAATTTGTAGCTCAAATTGATATCACTTAAATTTGTGTCAAATTCGCGTGGTTTTCCTCTGCGAAGGACACAATGTGTTGAGAGGAAATTCACGGGGGCAAAAACACCGGTTGGAGCGAAGATGAGAGAAGTCCATAACTGCACACGCTCGCGTGCCCAATGCGGGCCTGTGGAATATATCGTGTTCCTCCAACTCGCGATATTTCCACTTGTTGAGCTGAGACCGAGTTCAAGCAGAGTGAATTCCGAGTCTCCCCATTCAGTTTGATTTGGACAACTGAACAGACTGGTGCGACTTTCTGTTCAATTTCTTGAGCACATTTTTTGTTATTTGCCCATTACGGTTCACCATTACCTTTCCAAAAATAATATACCGAAGTATTAAATACATTTCTTCCGTTCTTTCCGCGCCTGAGCTTTATTTAGTTTTGGTTTTGACTTTTCGCGCGCCGAAGAGAATTTCTTGCGAATTTCAACACAAAACTCATTGGTGAAGAAAAAAAAATTATTTTTTGAGAGCTCTGGTGAATGAAGAGCAAGAAGTTTTTTTTTTAACTCTCTCACTCTCCCTCTACTTAATACATAATTGAGTAGGAGAAGGAAAAAAAAAAGCGTACACGAGAGTGACTTTGCCACCCTTCTTCACTCTCTTGGTTTGCGCGTCGAAGAGAATTTCGCATTTTCTGCCATTTCTTCACTGCGCGCGGCATATAAAATAAATTGAATTTGTATCCGCGAAAAAAACAAGGGGAATCACTGAAAAGTGTGCAGTTTGTGGAGAGATAGAGGAAAAAGTGTTGTTTTTTTGCGCCTTTGCATCTCCTGGAAAATCCCAAGACATCTCAGTGGAATATGAATATGGAAACATTCTACGATATTGGCAGTGGAGACTTGAGAGAACTCTGGGAGTCTGACTTGGATCCGGTAAGTTTACTGTCTTTCACAATTAATGCCAGTGACAAGAGAAAATGAAGAAGAAAAAAAACATTGTTTGGTAATTGAGGGAGATTTTTTTTTTCGCTACTTTATCTCAAAATAAGACAAGTTTTCTTGTGAAACTCTCGCCTCAATAATGTGTTGTGTTTTTTTTCGTTATCGTGTAAACTGGGAATTGTAGTGATAAGAGAGATTCGCAGGGAATTCACAGAATCACTTCACCGACATTCATATGAAAAATTATGTTAAATACAGTGAAAAGAAATACCACTAATGCTCATTATGGGTTTTCGTAAAATCCATTCTTCAACAATTTCCTGTCAAAATAATTACTTTCAAATTTGTGTCTTGAGAGCAAATAATCTTCCCCTTTTCCACAACACACACACACACAGAGCAGTGAATGAATATCAATTAGTTGTCTTCATATCATGGGATATTTTTTCTCTTCCATCTAACAAGAACGTTTTTCGGTGTCTCTTGACCACCAGCTTTTTTTTCTCCTTCTATATTGTGAAGGTCTTTGACTCTTGACCCTCTCATGAACGCCGCCCTGAAACTGAGAAGAGAAACACACCCGAAAAAAGCTCACCAATTTGAGGATTCATTGGGTTCACCTAAAGCCGTATTTAACCTGTTGCAAAAAGCCCTGATTTAGAACAATTCTCCGCACTCTTGCTTCAGAATTCTCTCCCATCAAGTTTGCCCATCGAGACGGAGTGAATTACACACTCCGGAGCCATCGCACGCACTCTGGCCATAAGTGATTTGTGGGGGCCCCTCGAGCGGCATACAATGACGTCAGTTTTGGTGTAAAAGTACACTCATTTGAGGAAAAAAAACCCGTTAAACAGCAACTTCTTACCAGCCATTTTCTCGACCGCGCAAAAATTCCACACTTGGGTGTGCCTCACCTGTCCCTCTTTCACTCACACAGCCCGCCTTCCGTTGTCTCTCTCTTCCTCAGCCCAGGTGAGAGGCAGTCTTCTGCCACAGGTAATCTTGGCATTGCAGGATAATGAGTGACTCTCATCACTCCCCAGAGGAGTAGAATTGGACACATTGCAGAGGATTTGTCCATTATCATAACCAATTAAAGATAAATTCACCAAAGACTCACTCGAACCTTGAGGGATTTCAGAGAATTAAGTAATGATGAATTTGAGGCTGTTTTCTATTGAACTCAGCGGATCAGGGAGGAAATATTTTGTAAAACTGGTGATTAGTGAGTGGAACAAAAAAAATCAGTGATCATTGTGATATTTTCCACCAGCTAAATTTATTATCATTCAGTCAAAGGGGGAAATATTATGGTCAGAAGTGGTTAATAATATTATATAAACACCTTTTGGAAATTCATGGGTTATTTTGTAAAGTTGCGAGTTAGATTTCAGTTAGTTTCCATTTGATTTAATTCAAATTTCAAAGTTGTGCTTTGACAATTAAAAAAGTTTTCATCTGGCGCAAAAAATACCCTCTAAAGCACTTGTGAACTGGTCAGCATGGCCAGATGACAAAATGTCAAATGAATGTCACGTCGAATTGTGTATGAATTGGTCAGATCGCTGATTTTAGCCTCATTGTCAATTATTGCCTTGCCTCGATGCACAGAAGTATATTTTCCCCTTTGACGCATTACACCTTTCATCGAGAGTGAAAAGAGACAGATAGAGTGCGAGGAAGAGGGATAGAAGAGCTCAATTACTGCAGTCGGCAATGAATTATGCCAAATAGAGAGTTAGCATGTGGAGACCTTCCTGAAATTCTCAATATAAATTGTGAATTTGAGTGAAAATTCACCAATGAGGTTATTATTTTTATTTTATGCATATATTGTTTCCTAAATATCATCAACTTCTTTCGCGCACTCAACAGCGTGCTAACTTTTTTTCTCTCTCTCCAAAGCCATTGCAGAACAATATGAAGTACCTGAGTGATTAGAAATATAGGTCATTTTTCATTTTATGTGGGACTATGCGATAAGACTTGGCGGAGGAGAGAGAGAAAAAAGTACAATCACAAATTGTATACTTTCGAAAAGAGCGGCACAATTTTCATGCACAGAAAAGCCATGGTATATAAATTGAGCACTGGACGACATGACAGGTTGATTTAGCAACTTCACCATGTGGAAAGTCAAAGTATTTACTCCGATCGCATCTGGAATTCCCATCAGATGGAAAAAAATCTTCACCATGTCTGGTGACATTGAGAAGCCATTCTGCCTCTTCTCCTCCCCCATTTTCTCTCCTCCTTCCGCACAATATATAATAGTTGCTGTGGTGTTTTCACTGGGCCGGAAAATTCACCCTCACGAGACAATTAGTGACGTCAGAGTCTCCCAATGCGCGGGGGCTTGAAATGACGCACAAACTCCATGAGATACCACGAGACTTATTGCCCCAGAAACACGCGTGAATCTGCTTTGGGAGAATTATTGCATAAGAACCTTGAGCTCATTAGAAAATTTATTAAGTACCGCCATGAGTTGTGGTAGAAAAATTAAAGGTTGCACATTGTAAAGAATCATTTTCATCAATTCTAACGCTTCTGACTGTGATTTTACACCACAAAATTGCACACTTCTTCCAATTTACTTAACATTAACACGCTCGGCGAATTAAATTTCGCATCTCTCTTTCTCTCGGTGTCTCTTTTCTGTACTCACCGAAACATTTTTCGCCAACACAATGCATTACACTTTCACGTTTTAATGTCTCTCTCTCTCTCTCTGTGCCCAGGAAAGACGCAGATATAGATATTCGCAGAGACTAATGTCCTCATTGTAAAGTGATCTTATTTTCCTTTCGTCAAAAATCACCAACTATTGACTTTTTTCCACTCATTCGGCAAAATATTTCTTTTTCAACATTATGCATTCCTCGTCTTCTTCCCCTTCCACGCGGCATTTCGCGAGAAATTGAGACCTGCTATACAGATTTTTATGTAATAGCGATTTTTTTTTTTGAGAAATAAAACCCGCATTGGGAAGAAGAGAGAAAATGTGTGTGTGTGTGTGTTGAAGTGAAAAGGCAAGACAATGTCTAAGCTTTTCATTTCATTTGGAATGGTAAATGACTTCGAAAAGTATTTTCGATAAAGTAATTCATTAGAAAAATACTTGTGAGAAATTCTTTCAATTGAATCAATTGGCTTTTTACGCAAAAATCTGCTGCCCGCAAGCAATAGAAGTCAACGCAAATATGCAAATTGTGCAGAGAAAGAGTCTGAAGTGAAATAAAAAGATCGAAGAGTAACCCAGAGATTTACTTTCATCACCCCAAGTGTGCAATAGAGGCCGGAGAAATAGCTAAAATATTTCAAAATCAATCTATTGCACAGCAATGGATTTTTCATTTCTTCTACACAAGTCACAGAGAGCCTAATAAAATGATTAATAATAAATTTGCATGTCACCAAGGATCACTCTTCTCTTAAACTGAACTATATGTGAAAATTGCGACAGCATGTTATGGAGAAGAGAGAGAGAAAAAAACTGTTAAAGAAACCTTTAAAAATTCACCTTTTCTCAAAAGAGAGTATAAGAGATTATTTCACGATTAATAGATTTGGCCTTTCTAACCATTCCAACACACACACACACACACATGGCGCACTAATGTATGTAAAATCTCATTTATGCGGTGTACATAACAAATTCATGACGAGTTCACCTTTAGCAGCAGCCAAGGAGTGACTGTGAACACCTGAAATACCTAAAGTGAGAAAAACACGTGGTCCAGCAACTTCTCTTATGTATAACCACTTTTTCAGCTTCAGCAGCATTATTTAACAGAAAATCGTATACATTATTAATTCTTCTGGGCATCCAATTTATTCCAATAAGATAGGAGAATTGTGGATGGAAAAATTTATGTTTGATCTTTTTCGTGAAGGGGAGTTTGAGAATCCGGTTCTTCTCCCTTATTAGCATTTCCCATAATTTCCTTATATTCCACATCGTGCTATAGATGAGGATTTGCCTCTTATCTCTAACCCCAGAAAGAATTTTTTTCGGTATTTCAGCGTGAAACGAATTGGAAAGGCGACATTTTCTAACAATAAATATTCTTCAACATCTCGCGCTTGGAATTAAAAAAAAAAAAATGTGTGTTTGTGTGTGAGAATTCTAACTAGAATTAATGTCCATAATTTCATTCAACACGATTGCAACCTTCGCTGGCGAATTATACCTGATGAAAAACCACAATTTTCCCAATATCACAGTGTCACAGCTATAAAATGTGCTTTTTACGAGATTTTTTGGTATGAAATAAATTAAATAACAAGAAGACATCAAAATAGCACATAAGACTGCACACAATTACCAAGAAAATACGTACAAATCTAACGTCACAGTGAATACATTTAATAGAATATTGTTTTGCTCTGCTGCATTTTTGTATATTTTCAACTTATACTTCACACACAGTCAAAATCTCAACGGTATTCGTAACACAGCCACAACCATTCTTTTACTCTTGGATGTTGTGGAAAAATAACTTGGGAGGTTTTCATGCTGGTGCTCAAGGTATTTACTTTAACTACCAAGTGCTACATTTTGATCCATAAAAAATCACTACACATTTAATACATTTTCTCAATTTGCAATTTTTTATGTCAGCGCAACGTTCTATTCCTATTAGCGTCAGTGTAATCGTTCAACTTCCGTTCCACAGCTAAGATTCTTGTACATAAACCCTTCCCTCATTGGATATATGAAATAGGAAATGTTGCATTAAATACTGTGTTTAGTGATCTTTGATATGATATCAAATAAATTGTACTGAAAGATAATCATTTTGCATAATTGTGAAATTTGTTATTGTTTAATTTGAATGAACTGAAAAAGTGTGCGGTGGAAAGTGAATGGAAGAAGTTTGTGCTGAAGATTCAGTGAAAAACCGTGATTTTCGGAATCTCAGTTTGTGTTTTGTGAACATTGAAAAAAAGAGTGTATGCGCAATGGTCATTAGAAAATGCAGATG